TCAGGCTGGTGTGAGGAAAGCATCCCTCAGTGGGAAAAAGCTAAAACCCTACTTTGGGCAGGAAAAGTATATGGTCAGGTATACTGTCCTGTTATCACCTGCTGGAAGGAAGTGTCCACTGAGGGACATGTCAATTTGGTAGAGGAGGAACTAGGATTTCTCCAGCCTTGTAGATTTCTGCTGTGGGAGCATTAGAATGTAAGCAGTTAAGTCCAGTGGAGTAGGCTGTGACTACTAACAGTCTGGGGGAAAGACATGAAGCCTCATAGGCTGAAAAATATGTGCATTTAAGCACTTCACTGATCTGGTAACTAGCATTAAGTTTTTTTCAAAAGCCCTCAGCCTTCTTAGGTAAGGTTAAAAGTTCTAGACATCCTGACTGTGCCAGTCTTTCATCAATGAAATGGGTTAGGGCAGAAAGAGGGCAGAAGCTCCTGTAACCTTTGGTACCACTTGTTGACCTTAGGGATAAATGGCAGTTCTGGTCAGAGGACAACTGAATCTCTTAAAACTGATGAGGCTTTTTCTGAGCGGCAGAGATCACTCAGATTCTGCAAACAGACATGATGGCAAGATGGAAAATTTTGTGGCAAAATCCATTTACTTGGCTTGAGGGAGTTTTGTCAAGGAGAACTTGCCACATGTAGACTCCAGGAAGGAAGCCTATGGGCCATGGCAGGGCTCAGTGGCTGTGCTGTGGAGGAATTTTTGAATGTGAGGGTGTGAACTTAGTGGCTGCCTCCTTGGCTTGAAAAGGGACAAGGATGGGGGCTATTTGCCTGTGCACCCATTTAGAGACTTGCCTGGAGGAAGGATAGGAGTGCTTCAACACCTGCCATTCATAGAGCAAGCTTTCCCTTTTAGAAACATAGAAACAGAGCGAGTCAGAAGGGGCCTCCCAGGACATCTAGTCTGACCTCCGGCACCAGCCAGCTCCGCTCACGACATGCCCACCATGTGGACGTCCAGCCTATCCTTGAACACCCACACCAATGGGGCCTCAACAACCTCTCATGGAAGCCCGTTCCACACCCTTGGGGTCCTGACTGTCAAGAAGTGCTTCCTGGCATCCAGATGGAACCTTGGCTCCCTGAGCTTTTGCTCTGTCTAAAGAAAGCCTTATGATATATTGCATATATCCTGGTGGTGGTGGCCTTCCAGGATACCAGCAGGGCATGCATGCCATCTCAGAACAACCTGGGGCTGAGTAGATATTCCTTTCAGCAGTCTGGCAACTAGCCTAGTTGAAGCCCCGTCAGTGAGAGTGTTCAAGGATAGGCTGGACATGGTAGGCATGTCATGAGCGGAGCTGGCTGGAGCCAGGGGTCAGACTAGATGGCCCGAGAGACCCCTTCTGACTCGCTGTTTCCATGTTTCTGTCTGACTTCTGTGAAAGAAAACACAGGCTTTGCATGGCTAGAATCTTGGAAACCCATGGTTGTCACAGCCAGAAAAAGACTATTAGGATTATCCCCTGGTTCCTTTCTGATTTTCTGCAAAATTTGTGATTAATGGGGATTGGAAGGCCAATGCTGTTCGGCACTTCTATTCCTTTAGCTCTCTAAGACTGGATAGAAATTTTGGCAGCTTATGCTTGTGTCTAGATGCATACAGATCCAACCTAACTGGACTGAAATGATGTAAGGTTACCTAGAAACCTCCTGTGCTATTTGTTGCTGACTTAAATAGCCACTGTATGTCCAGGATCCCACTGAAGTGTTGGGCTAATATGGAAGTTCCTTTTTGGCCCCTTAACAGCATGCTTTGAATCTCCAGGTGGCGGAAGCAGGGTATGATACCCTCCTGACCAATATCTGAGAATGTAGCAGCTGATAGGAGAAGCATTTCAGCCCAGCTAACCACTCTATACCGTGGTGCTTTCCCCTCTGGATTCCATTTCCTTTAAGCCAGGAGGAAATTGCAGTGGTATCCCCATCTCCTCAGGTTGGCATGTCACCAACATGATCATCTTGTCTGATTCTGGGAAGGGACGCACACCTATAGATTTTGGAACTGTTGCCACCACCTGACATGAGGGAAATAGGTGATCTTTGTAATTGGTGTCTGGAAGGATTGTAGTAACTGATGCACGGGGCAAGCAGTCTGACCCACACAAGGATGAGGCACCAAATACAAAGATCACCTATATTCAAACCCAAAAGCCAGTTTCCATTAAATGCTTTGCTTGGACAATGAATTGTCCCTGAACGATTCTAAAGCTTGCCTATTCTCTCCAGAAAGTAGATTCGCCGGACTTATTAGAGCAGGCTGTAACTGGGGTTTGAACCAGGCATTTTGGAAACCTGCATATTTGCTAGTGTTCCAGAATGGATGAAAAGATGGATAAGAATGGACCAGGATGTGGATCTTCAAAAGCATGACTGCTTACATTATTTCTTTAGTTTACATTAGCATTATCTGTTAAGGTCTTTTTCCTGAGAAGGCTTGCCCCAAGGAAAGGTAGGGTTCCCCTTGAGAGATCAGCAGTCTAACGTTGAGCCAAAAGGAATGTCTGGCTACTTGGTAGCAGCTCTGGATCAAGAAGTAAACTGAACCACACCTTGCATGACATCAGCCAGTAAGGCAAAAGATTTAGAGCTTATGCAGAGGACCCATCAAAGCATTCTGATAAATAAGAAATTGTATCTTCTATCCATAAGATAGAGGCTCTTGTGATAAGCTATACTGCTGAGCCCCTCTAAGTCAAAGCTTCATCTGTCTTTCAAAACGCTGCATCAGATCTTCTTTTCCAACTGTCTTTTAGAGGAAAGTCACTATCTGTAAGAATTATGGGGCCTGAGAGCAGGGCTGCCACAGGGGCATCTATTAAGTGGAATTTTCATCCTTCTGTCACATTGTGTGGCAAAGAACAGTATCTTTGCAGTGCAATGGCTCCCTTTCACCCCTACTCACTCCTCTTTTGTTAGCTTATTAATTAGGGAAAGCGGTTCTGGAAGCATCACTGCCTCTAACTATTGCTATTTCTTCAGTTGCATTGGATCCCTTGGCTAGTAAGGGGATTGCTTTAGATAGCAGAGATAAAAACTCTACTAAAGAACTGATCAGATGAGCAACCCTCTGTAACCTCTGCGTCTGACCCTCCCCTTTCATCCTCTGCTGAGATGGACTTCTGAATTTATGAAGGAGTCATTGCCAGAGTGGGGTTCAAAGTGGTATTGGCTCTGCCAAGTACACCCAACAGCTGTGGCACATGCTCCTGGAACCATCTCCAGTCAGTGCACTAACTATGGGGTAGGCTAGGTCATTCTGATGTTTTCTTTTTCTTTCCTTAAGTGCAGTGGTGGTGGTGAGGAAGAGACCGAAGTACACAAGTTTCCAGTACACTTTGCAACACAGCTTGATCTCAATGTTGGTCTAATAAATGGTTAGATTGGCCAGCACTGCCATTGTAATCTGGGATAAGCCGCGTTTAGCTAAATGAACCATGACTGTGATAGGGTAAGGCTGTTACTCCGCAATGGAGGAGTGGTTTTACCATTTGGAATCAAAAGTACAACTTAAAACAGCAACTCACTTTTGCAGGAACTTCCATGGGTGGAATGAGAAAATATGGATTTGATTTCACTCTTGATGTTATCGGAATATGCTACTCTTTTGTTTCCTCCTGTGTTGAGCCTGACAAGGGATGAAGGTAAGCCTCCGCATCAGCATGTGGTGTGGTCCTGGAACCCAAGTGCCCTGACTTCCTCAATAGTGGCTACTTTGTCAGGGGCCAAGACTGCACTCTTTCTGGCACCCATGAGCCTCAGAAGACAGCCAGAACAGGCTTGTGATGTCTTATCTAATCCCTCCCAAGTGTGGTCAACTCTTGGCAGAAGTGAGTTGGCAGAGTGGCATTACATCACCCTTTTGTAATGACTCCCACGTGAGTCCTTATTTTTTCTTCTTAAGCAGCAAAAGATAAACTCTTTTTCAGTAAATGAGGGTTAAAGAGGCAGGCAAGTTGGGGGGGGAGGGGAAGAGTTAAGAAAATAAGGAGAAAAGAATTAGCTTTGTCCTTGGCAAAAAGCAAGAACAAACTGGTTAGCAAGAACTGCAAACCAGCAGTGTTTAAAATTTACTCATTTGGGTTCCTAGCTTTTCCTGGGCAATACTGGATGTTAACCTATCGTAAAATGCCTTCCTCATACCAACCTGAAAATGCTGTAGTTTTCTTTCAGTTTTCTAGCCGCTGAATTCTGTGTCAAAGTCACAAAGCTGTACTGATTATGTCAAACAATTATGTTACGTGCAGTCTACAGACAACTTCCCATGGAACCATAGTGCAACACATCAGATTTGGGAAGACTGTTCTACTCCATTTACATTCTGAAATTGTGAAATGCCTTAGAAAGATCTATAAAGATCAGTACAATGTGAATTCCCATGGGATTAGTTTTTATATTTAGAACAGACTCACACTCATTGGCCAAGTTAGCCAATGACTAAAAATGAAAATTAAATTAGAATTCAGTCACACAGAATTCAGAAACACATTCAGTTAAGAGAAACTCTTCTCACAAAAATAGTCTGAACCCCAGGAAGATGTGGAGGCTTCAGAATTTTTTTAGGCTCATATAAATAGCTATTTGGAACTGAGGCATTATGCCAACCTGTCACCAAGTTACCACAGGTTTTATAGAACCTCTTTTTGTTCATGTATTTTGGGAGTGACCAAGCATCTGTTATGTCTCACTGCCTCCTTGCCCTTCCTCATGCCCAAGCCCTACTTCTATGTGGGAGAACACGGCTTTTAACAAGAAAGGATGCAAGCTGCAAAGTCATCTAGCAGTCAGCTACAGGTTGTATGCAGCTGAATACCTTCCTTTAGTCTTTTAATTAGGTGAATTTACTCTTAAGGTTAAAACACTTTCCTCCTTTGTCTAGGACACAACTGTCAAATACATTTAGGCATTTCTGAACAGATAAGCTTCTTGAAAGTTCAAGGAGTCGCAGATGGGTAATAAAGGCCAAAGATAAAGACTCAAGAGCACCACACATTTCTATTCACAAGGAAAAAGCTCCAGTCCATCTTTTTATTTTTTTGAAAAATTTCTGACATTACAGAACTAAACTGAAATGTATTAATTCCACTCTTACATTTCATGACATAACAGAAAAACTTCATGAGCCAAGAAGGGGGGAGAAGCTTATAAACTAAAATATGAATCAGCATTTTAACAGCTGAACAGAGAAAAGGAATTAAAATGCTGCAATTAAAAAAAATCATGAGTGGATGGGTAAAGCATGTAGAACTGAAAATTTACAAACTAGTTAAAACCTGGAATCGCTGACTGCTCAGAAACTACACAGATGGATCATGGGGATGAACAGCAGAAACGGGTAATGAGTGAGGCGGTTGCATTGTCCTAGCTGCTTCCCATTCCACCAGTCTCCGAAGAAAGCCTACAATGAGAACAGAGGTTAAAGACCTTTAAACAAATGTAGACTGGTTGAGATCCACAGTTCTTATGTGAAACTAAATTCTCCCCAGCTGTACAACACAAACCTTCAATACATCAAAAGCTTATTGTTTCAGCAGAAGCTGGAAAAGGACTGTAGTCTTCTTTACTTGAACTTGACCACCCGAAGTGGGAGCCAGTCCTCCAGTTCAGCCCACTTCATGCCCAGGAGCACAAAAGCAGCTGCACTTTTACATCAGCAATGGCTCTGAATGCCTTATCACTTAGTCGCCTAGAAGGGAAGTCTGTTTTAGGCTACAGCAACAGCTCCATATGCCCAAGTAGACTGTTCTCTCTCTCTCTGAGGTGCAACACTTTAGAGTGCCCTGAATATTATGTCTCCTGCATATTTTCATGCTTGATCATGTGCTTACCAGAACTCCTCTTGTTCATTGAGATCTGTTAGTAGTAGGCCCAAAATAGTAGGCTGTGTCCACTAACACCAGGCAGACATACAGCCACTAAGCTGTAGCTACCTGCCTTACAAACTGGGCACCCTGCCTTTGAAAGAAGTCACTAATATGTCACTAATAATTCAGCAACTCTGTTCTGGGATTAAGCAGGTAAGGTTAAAGTTTACTGGGCTTGAATTAAAAGCTGGAATAGGAGTGCTCTCTTTCTTCCATCATCACCAGCTACACACTGAAGGCCCAAGAGCCCTGTATGATCAAATAAAATTATTACACCTTTTATAGTCATCTGATACTTTAAAAGCCCAAAGTCAAGTACATTTAGCCTCCCTGTGATGTTTTTGCACAGGCTAAGCCAAGCCTCATTTCAACTCAACAATTTCAATTCTTCAGATTGGGATCTTTCTAGTCAAGATGCGCTGGCCAAACTATTTTTAAAAACCCTTACCTGTTATGTTGCAGGCTCCCACACTGTTGGGAAAATGTTTAGATGACCCAACCACATGGGTGGGGCTCAAGTCTGTGGGTCTTTCCCAGAGTCATGCTGGGAAGGATGTAGAAGATGCACATGTCAAGAACCTGCCCATGTGCCTGGATCATTTGACTGCCATCCCAGGCCTATCAGGGTAAGATTGTCAAGGGAGTCTCAAACATTTGAAACTGACAGCCCACTGGTAGAAGATAGATTTTTATACTAGAATCATTCCAAGTGTGCACAGTAATAACCTACAAATTAAGAAGGTGAACAAGTATGCACACTGTAACATGCTGTATTTTATTTTGTGCACAATTCCTCCAGAAACTGAAAAGGGAGATGGAATTTTATGGAGCTGTCTCATGACCCTACTCCAGTACACAAAATGTGGTTTAGCAAACACTGCAGATGTCCACAATGTCTTCAAACTTTCCCTTTTTTCTTTCTAGAGAAAAGCTAATGGAGATTCTTCCTTAGTGCTGTCTTGCTTTCAAGCAGCAAAAACAAAACCCATGTTGTTTTTTTGAACCCTTGTCCATGAAGGTGGGCTGGGGAATTCTGCAACACTGCTGAGCAATAGCTTCCCTCTTCATTTAAAAATCTTACTTATCCATAATATCAGTACTGTCCTTCAGTGCACAGAATAACTGTGTTTGTGTGAGCTGCAGGATGTATTTTTATGATTGAACATTTCTCAAAATGACCCTTGCAATGAAGGGATTAATCCCTTCAGGCATGAGCATGTTCCCTAAACAGTCACAGCTGAGGTAGACATGTCATTCCAAAGCAAGCTCATTGGTTTTAAAGAAGCCAAAAAAGCCCTGTGTTTTTATCTGCAGAACACAGAGCTAGTCTACTTGGGATCTTAAAGCAAGCTGATAGGAAATCAGATTAGAGCAGTATATGCCCACTGCATGAGTGAAAAGGTCATGAACTCAAGGAGGAAGCTGCCAAACATAATTAGATGTGCGAGTGAATAGCATGCTGGAGAGCCTCACTGAATGAAGCACTACTGGAGCTGAACTATTTTGCATTAGTCTAAAAGGTCCAATTCTCATAAACAGACCACAGATCTGCTCAGCATTATCTTCCACCTTCCACTGAAACAATTACTTCAAAGGTTCACATGAACTGAGTGAGGTGCAAACTGGTTGAAAAAGGGCATGATTCTAAGGGATATAATGATTGCAGACTTTTGAGAAGGCAACCTGATATCACCTACACATTTTGGAGTACAACTCCTAATTCTGGACCACTGGCTATGCTGATTTAAATTGTAGCCCAAAATTTCTGAAGGGCATCAGGTTGGCTAACCTGGTCATAAAATTCTTGGGTAAATTGTTCAGTTGTAATGCATGCTTAGTGCTTCCCCCTTTTAGTATAATGTGACAGTGAAATAGCTCTCCCATACTTTAAGGCCCATATAGATACCAGTTGAAGAGAAAACAGAAAGAATAATGAAGTTCAGACCACAAGTTCCAATCATTCTGAGCTCCATATGGTTGCTATTATTGACCAGGATGGCTACATAAGCTAACAGCTTTTGGACCATACATAACCCCACTTGCTAGTCCAGAACAAGTTACAGATCATGGTATCAGCCTCTACAAAATATGAAACAGACGGCCAGCCCAAAAACTTGGTTAAGAGTGGACAAATTTTACTTAATGTGGTTACACTACAGAGCAGAACAGTGTTTTTTTTAAAAAAGTTACAATTGTGAAAGTCAAACTGCAGAAACAAGTACTAAAAAAGACTGCTAGTCAAAGAAAAAGGGTTTGACAGAACTGCATAAATTAGTCAGTTCACAGCCACCCCTCCCATCCCACATACACAATAGGATCAGATTCAACCCTCCATCTCCCTGAATGCAAAGAGTCAAATTGTGTAGCCCCCAGAATCTAGCCATAAGCCACCATTTCAAACTTGTTAACTTAAAAAATACAGAGCAATCACAAGATTCTTTGTAGTTCCAACTGTCACATTTCTTAACTCAATGTTGTCTCAATTTCTAAAGGTTTGTAAGCACCAGAGATTGCTCAAAAGAAAAAAAAAGGAAGCATCTGCAGTGTTCATGTGGCAACCCCAGACTAAAGATTATGTGTACCTGGGTACAGAACAAATGAACAAGCACCATGCTAAACATAAGAGCATGCCATCCCATTGCATTTCCATATTGTCTGCCCAGGGTCCTACTCAGCTTTCAATGAGCCCTTAGTGGAAGAAGCACAGCTACCGGCCTTCAAGACCAAGCAGAAAGAAAGGGACAAGTGAAGCCAACCAGCCACCTTCTGCAAAAAGACTGTCATTTCATATCACTTACATGTCCCAAGAAACACCTGTTAAGAGGTTTGAGACTAAACTATTGCTGTTGTTAGACAGCAGCTTTTAAACTCTAACTTTAGGCTATTCAACTACCCACACTAAGAACTAAGTATCAGACAGCTGACCCCAGAAGTGTCATTTTCCAACATACTGTAACATTTTTACTGCAGTATTGTTGCATTTGCAGAGTGTGCACTGCTCCAGGTGCACTCACCTCATTAGTGGCTAACCTAGGCTTGGATGTGGAGAAAGCCAAGTGACTGAAGCACCACAGCTTTTCATAGGTGGGGAGTGTGTGTGAGAATCTTACTACGAGTCAGCTGGGAGAAGAACAGTATGCAAACTCCCACCCCACCCCACCCCACGCACTATTATGGGTCATTTGTGTATTAGGTATCAGAACCACAAAGGATAGCATTTATGTATATAATCATCTTCTAAGGCAAGCTAGCTCAGCCTGGTGCCCTTCAGATGTTTTCCCATCAAAAGCCAGGGTGATCAAGATCTGAAAGGGAACAGGTTTAAGGAAGGCTCTTCTAGAGCAATGGTTGGCATCTCTCTGAAGCTTTAGCCTGGGGGTGCAAGGTAAAATTCAACCAGCTTGTGGTCACATAATTCAGTCCCAATTCAGGCACACCTGTGCATGTTCTCACCGTGATAGCTTTATTACAAAGACAGACATTGAGACAGGTTTGGCCAAAGTGGCCTCTTTGCACAGCTTAAACCAAGAAATTGCAAGTTGAGTACTTTGTTAGCAGACCCTAGCATACCCTGCCCACCCACTCCCTCCCCAACCACATTATTCCATGTAACAATGCAAACAAAACTACTAAAGCAACAGCTACAAGCTACATAATCAAGATCACTATTGGACTCCAGAACTGATTAATACACTTGCTCAATTGTCTTTGACCTAGTGGAGGTTGCCAGCAAAAAAAACTCCATCCTAAAGGAATCACAAGCTCACTTCTGTTTTGAAGTGTAAAAAAAATCTCTTCCAAGTCTCCTCTACAGGATCCCCATTGCTGAAAAAACAATCTGCTGTTCCTCTAAGGCCACAAGCAGACACTCAGTAGGGAGAGAATCTCTGTTTTTCCGTTTTCAGTTTGTTAGTAACACATGGCACAGCTGAGGTGGTGGAGGCACCCTTAGCAGCAGACACAACATTTAGAGCCAGGAGAGGGACGGGTTTCATGCCAAGCAGACTGGAGACACAGGGGGCGGTCGGAAGAGGGTTGGGGAGGCTGGAGGGTGCGTCGGAGACCCCTGCTGTCGCAAGCGAGGGGGTGGTGGTGGAGGAGGAAGAAGAAGAAGGGGTGGAGGGTTGAGAGAGGTTGATGCTGAGGTGGTCGGGGATCGTGACGGAGGCTGCCTGGGAGGAGGGTTTAGCGCTTTCTAAACTGTAACAGAGGAAAAAAGGAACAAAAATACGGGTGGGTGGATGGGAACACCACACAAAAAGCACAGGACACAAACAGCTTAAATAGCATGAGCCTAGTCTGGAGAAGTTTGGAAACAGCATAGCCAGAAGAAAGGTGGGGTGGAGAGAGAATGCTGGCTGCAAGGGAATCTCAACATTCTCTGGTGTACCAAGGTCCTCTAATCACCCCCAAAACAGAACCCACCATTATCTCAGTCCCAAACCCATAATACTTCCAGCTTTTGCTTATTCTGATTTCAGAAGCAGCAACTTGGTTGGCTTCAGTACTGAACGGAAGTTACAGCAAACTACTGAACATGAAATATAAGTCAGGCAAGTGGTCCTCTGTTTTACAAAAGTTCTTGCAAGGCACCCCACTCTCTGGTTCCCTTTTGCTGGTTCCCCACATTCCCTCAGCTTTAACACAGGCATCATATAGCTCCTGGCAATTTTCAAAACATGTACTTAAGTAGCAAACCAGTTCTAACAGTGTGTTGCATTCTACTCTGAGGGGCCATAAAAAGTTGTTGAATTTTGACGGAGCAAACTCTTTTGTGCAACTACTGAAAGTTTTAACACAAGCCAGTTTGATCCATCCTGAGAAGCAAAGTGACCGAACAGAGAAAGCTGTTCTTATTTTGCCCAGGGGTAATTTTTTTAAAGCAATTTGCCTCAGAAGGTACAAGCCAAATACTGGAGGGAAGGCTGAATTTATGTAAGAACAAGGAAGAGTTCACTGAACTCATTCCTGCTTTTCCTAGTTGAGTGTTTTCCAGGATACTGAACTACAACGCTCTTCCAAAATGTTGCCTGCTTCTAAAGAAAATGCTTGATTTGAACAGAAATTTTAGATCGGGCATCCTTCCACTTTTCATGGAATTTATTTGCAATTAAGCATTTGAAGCATCACTCCATCAGTGGCAAAGCTTTCAAGATGTGCTTAACACCAAGGCAGTAAGCAATAATTGTTTAAAGTTCACTGATCTTACACCATGTAGCCTAATGTAAGCTCTTCACAAGGAAAAGCACCACCTATGAAAGTAAAAAGCAACACACAGCACTCCCAGTTAATTTCTTCTAATGCCATCCAGGGCAGAAATTATAACTGGGAAGACTGTCGCCTTTTAAAGGTTCACTGCTTGGTGACTGACCCCCATTGCTTAATATTAGGCCACTCTCACTGAATCTTGAATACTTTACACCACTAATAATTTTTGATCCCACAAAAGCCATTTGCAAGTGTCATCAAGCCACTCATGAAACAGCCTTCCTTTTTGCAGGAACATTTTTCTCCAAACCAGTTGAGGTGTGGTTGGATGGTGCTTGCCATTCAGAGTGAGAACTATGATACCTCAGCCTCCAAGAAAAAAAATCCTCTAATAAAGAACTAGTTATTTTAAGAAATGCTGCAAAATATTCCAATTTGGATTATTACTATTCCAGTAGCACAGCTGAGACAACGAAATAAACTGAAGCAAGAGTGTCCTGCAAGCTTTCAGCTCTAACTTCATTACAAAGGTAATGCATAAAGAAAGCACATATGTGGGGCCCAGACGCCAATCCACTGATTCTAAACATTAGCCTATCATTTTGCACTGAATGCTTCAGCTGTAGCAGGAACGGCATGGAAGAAATCTAGGACATGCAATGCCAGCTGCTCAGGCTGGGGTTTTTAATTATTGAAGTCAACACTCTCCATTAAGCTGATGCTTTTACTTTTGCCTTATGAGATCATCTGATCTGCTCAAAAGCTGCAGATGGCCATTAGCCAAGTAGGCTTTTTAAGGACAGGGCCCAAGGAGCAGCCACTGCTTGCTGCAGAGCAGTGCTGATGCCCATGACCGAAGCTTTGGTGCCAGCAAGAGCACTCAAGGAGAAATTAAGTTGTTAGAGCCTTTGCAATGTAGAGAGTCACATCCCCTGGAGCAGTGCTAGTTCTTTAGCTTTCATAGCTTATAAAGCCCTCAAAAAGGCATCGGTTGTCTTTTTAGGAATCTAAAAAGTTAAGCATCTTAGCTTAGCAATAACACTTGTACAGTTTGCTCCACCTCCATTTAGAAACAGGACTTTTAATCAGCAATGTTGACTCAATCTCTGCCCCTGGCCAAGAACAGTCTAGTAAAAAAAGGTCTCCCAGAGCGGCCAGCGACAGAAAAGCATGTGTTGTGTATTTCATTTCTCTTCTTCCATCATGTTGATTTCTAATGCCTTCCTAGCCTCAAATGCCACACTTACAAGGACAAGAGCAGGGTCTAGCGCACAACACAGTAGCTTTTACTCACTTGTCCAGTCATGGGAGTTTTACTTCGGCTCTACAATACAGCCTTTTAGAGTGCTAGTCTGGTTTTAGAAACACTTCATACCACCCACTTCATCAAATTAATATATGCATCAACAAGTAGCATGACATATGAAGAGACTTACCTGACATTAATTAGATATTGAGCCAGGCTAATGCTGGCTGCAGATCCAGTTATGGTAACCTGCCTGTCAGTAGATCCTTCCACTGGATTGGCAATTTTGATCTGCGCCCCAGACATCTGGCGAATCTCATTGATCTTGGCGCCCTGACGCCCAATGATACAGCCAATCAGCTGGAGAACAAAAATGCTTCTGGTTAAAATGCAGTTCCAAATGTTTCTATAATTTTATACTGCTAATTTTTCTCTAATCAAGGACAGACCTAATCTTTGAGAAGCTAAGTAAATGCCAATTCATGCTTTCCTGCATTTTCACTATTGGGGAACCAGACTACTGGCAAACTAGTTTCTCCAGCACATGCATGCTTATTTGTCTGCACAGGAGTCATCTGTAGGTTCAGATTAATCAGACAATTCTTTATGTCTTCTCATACTGTGAACAGTATTCTATCTGTGACATCATTAGTTTCTTCGTGCTAGACAGCTTGAAAAGTTTTTCTCTTTTTGCACTCTTGACACAGTTATATTGAGAACATGTAGCAAGTAAAAAGAATTATATGGCCTGTGAATGCTTTGTGCTATTGGAACATAATTTGGATACTTTGGCATTCACCATAGTTTGCACAGAAGTCAATGTAGCTGTGCTGTAATGTGCCTGAAATCATGACTATAAAGTGGTTGATGAATTAATCTAGTCACATTCTCTATAAACTTAAGAAATCCCTCCTCATTATATAACATGTGGCATCTACTGTACAAATGCCGACAGTGCCTGTCCATTCACATTATTTCACATGATCTCAAAGTTCCATGGGCAGCGAGAAGCCCCTTTTCTGGTACTGAAAGTCACATCTTGCCCAGTATATTTCTTTTCTCTTGCAAGGGTATGAGTTCTTCAGTCTTGCATGTGGTTCACTAGAATTCCTGTTATCCACCAATACCTCAATTTTAAGAAGCAAGGGTACACTTAGTACCTCTTCACAGTCACATTCTAAGTAACCTGGAGTGCACATTAGTCGAAGATCATTTTCAGGACTCCCAAAAGTGGCTAGGAACCTACCAGTCTCTATCTTCTGCTGTATTGGATTGCCTTAACAAATTACCATGGGGAACATAACACAGAATGTTATTTGTAAATAAATTTTATAACAATCATTATTGTACTGAACTGAGCAAGCAAATCACAGATGTACTTTGTACAAATAAGCTATTTGGAGTCCTAAGTTCACCAAATAGCCTGTCCAGGTTCAGCATCTGCTGCTAAACGCATTGCTGTGACCTGAAGTCACCCTAGAGAGTTGGCTGCAAAATATTGACAGTGAGACAACTGCATTGTCTCAATTGTTCTCTTGTTCTCAATACTCTGTGTTGTCCTTGGTTACATGCAGAATGTATTTGTATGCTCAAAGCTTCATCATTCAAGAAAACCATTTAGCACCTTGCAAAGTACTGAGTATCCCACAAGACTACACACTCTCATATTTCAATGTTTATAATTAAAGAGAAATATCTAGAGTATCTGAAAAACACGCAACTTAGTACTCTGAAAAGCAACTACCACCTGCCTCTCCCCACTATGTCCCTTTCTGACCATTGCCTTAATAGACTGAAACAGAATTATACATAGAAGTCTATTTCCATAACCCAAAGTTAAAAAGTTTGCATTAAAGTTTCAGAGGGATTGCAATGAGAAAGCACAACTGTCCCCTCTAACTGCAGCAAGGAATCTTAACGCGACAACTTGAAAAGTTGAAAGTATAGAGGCTTTTGTGCTATAATTCAATTGTCTTCCCCACTCCATTCACAGCAGTGTCCTGAAGTCAAGTTTGACTGCTCTAGAGAACAGCTGTCTAGACAGTGGCACATGAACATGGCTGCAAATCCTTGTGATGAAACTCTTGGAAGAAGCATAGAAGCTCTGTCCCATCTGCAACCAAGATGTCTTAGAATTTTGCCACTTTGTAAAATACTTACATCATTTGGAATGGTGAGTTCATGAGAAGTAGTTTGAGCTGATGCATCCAAACCTGCCAAGACACAGAAAGATACCGATACAAGATTAATGGGAGACAATGAGAATAGGCAAAGAACAGAGGCCAGACCAGTCAGGCTAGCACTTGCTGCTGGAAAGACTGCTATCCTGAAAAGGTTTACACAGGAGAAGAACAAGATGTAAGATGTTAAATCCAAGCCTTTCCTTCCTTCTCCTATAAACCTCAAACCTCTGGTTATAAAGCAGATTCTGTTATTTGAGCAGGATAGAGGGGAAAATAGCAACTTCCTTTCTTCAAATCCCCAGAATATGAATGAAGCTGCATCACCCTTTGCACAAACTCTTCTACAAAGCAGAGCCAAAAGCACTTCCTTCTTTCCATTGCAGCCTTAGATCACAAGATCCCCATTTTTCCTGCCTTAAAACATACTGCAAGAATTGAAGGCATCATCTACAATGACCACATGGGGAGGGGATACTGCCACCAAAAGCATATGGTCCAACCTTTATGTTTCTCTAGTGTAACCATTCCATAAGTGGTTGTGGCTGACCTAGTACCTTCACAAGCAGCCAGCTTCGCTAACCAAATGAGTCACTTATTCCTTCTGCTATGCTATGCTCTCCAGTAAAAGGTTCCAGTGGATTTCATTTGCAAAAGAGAGATTCACAGAGCCTTTGCACCTATACACTTCCATTTTCAGTTCTTTGCACCTTATATGATTAGCAGAATTTGTTGAACTTGGAAAGCCTCTCCCACCAATACGAACACACAATAGGGTTTTTTTTTTCAATCATTACCCCAATATCCTTTCACATCTGGAGAGCTGGATTCAACGCCTGTCAAGATACAAGGGACAGTAAGTGTGGGGGTCCTAGCTGAAGCCCTATCAGGCTTTCAGCCATAAGGAAAAATTTATACAATTTGGCACAACTGTCAGGAAGGCAAGTGGTAACTGTCAAAACTGGAAAAGCTGAGGGAGAAAAGCAGCACAGAAACCCTGCCTAACAGTAATCTGATGCTTTGTTTTCAAGGCTACTGAAATCCACCCATCCCAAGATTTTAACCTGTGGATGCTGTTTGTTCTTTTAACACTCCCAAGGTTTTTACCTGTGGATTTGTTTTTAAGTGAGATAATGGATTAAGCCAAACATCTGTATTAATTGCCAAGTAGTGATTCTTGGACTAACATATAAAAGAAAGGATGTTCATACCACTGAATCCAGTGTTGCCATGAGACATTGGAAAGTGTGACTGTTGCATTGCCAACTGGTGCAGCTTGGTCAGCTAGAAAGAGAGAGAAAGAATGATGTTAGGAATTGTGTGCAGGCGTACTCATTCAGCACATAGTTTAAAGAAAAACAGACACTGCAAGCTGAGCATGAAGTGCTGCCCCTTGGGGCAGGAGTTTGAGAGAAGGAAAACTGGGTTAAGGAGCAAGCGCTTCCCTGAGCAGAGATGGGTGCAAACAGAAGGAAAGCACCATGGGGCGTGAGGCCAACACCCATCTCAGAGTACCCTAGCTCAACAGAAGGCATCTGCAGTGAATTGTGACAAACACTAGGAGACAAAGCACAAACAGGCAAAGTAACACAGAGACTGGTTTGCAGTGGTGCTTGAAACTACACCATGCAGGACTCTGTCAAGCATTTGGAGGGGAGAGGTATATTATGAGGAGTGATCAGAATGGAATCAGATGCTCTCCCCAGTGCAGTTTTCTAACTCTCTCTCCTCTATACCTAATCATCACAGTCCCACCTTTTCCTGCTCTAAGCATGCTATGAGCAGAGATCAAGCTCCTATGTGTCCTTCCATGAGAAGTGCTGCATCTAGCTTAAACACCAGAAGTTATTAGTCATGAAAGTCAAGGAGGAAAAACATCCTTTCACATCAAGTGAAGATAGCTAATGGTTTTTATTATTAGCAGGGTGTGCAAAGGAAAGGCAACCCAAGCAAAAGCCCCACCACCTTCGAGCCACACCTGCACAGTAACTACATGATGCACTGAGCATCATGTTTAGAGATGAAAGCAGAAGTCTGAAGACAGCCTCCCCTCCACCGCCACCACAGTGAAGTGCACTACACCAAATGCCCTAAGCCCTTTACCAAGAACCACAATGACAGTATACCATGGAGTTTTGTTTTGTTTGTTTGGGGATCTTTACATCAAATAGGGGGCACAAGGGAAACTGGAACTTGGAAAAGTGTACCAAGCTTTGCTATGCACATGTGTGTCACAGGCCGGCAGAAAAAGGACAGATTAAGATTGGCTACACAAAGAAGTGCTGAACAAAATTTGAGGATTATTTTAGGTCAGATTGTGGTTTCAAATCAAAACAGACTTCTAAAACTGCTTGTCGAGAAAGCATGGAGAAATTTTGAAGGGAGAAGTGGGGTGATTTCAAGACAAGAAGTGTAAACAAAACTTACATCTGGCTGTGGAATGGCATACTGTCCTTGAATGGTATAGGCCTACAAAAAGGAGGAAAACAGTCCTATTAAAAACCATTGGACAGCCACCCAGTGACAGATAGATTTCAACTAGCCAGGAAGCCAGAGAGCTGAGGGGGAGAATTGTTGGTGGGGAGCCTGAAGGCAAGTATCTTAAGGGGGCTGCTTGAATTACCTAGGTGTATATGATGTGAGAAGGGAAACTGGTCCCCACCACAAAAAGGATTAGTATTAACAGCTGGCTGTTGGTGAAGATTTGTTGTGTAGCAGAGGACTAGACAGTGCAGCAAGCCCTCCTGTCCTATGCATACGCCAAACCAGGCTCCAAAGGGAAATTTAATTACCTCCTATGCCTCCAACTGCTTTTAAAGCTAAGAGGAACCAGCTGGGTGTGTTCATCTCCACCCCACTAAATTGCCCCATCACTTCATACACCTAAGAACCTACAGTGGACAAACTACAGCCGGGTGCTGGATGGCAAGAGTGCCATCTGGAACAATAGGGAGAGAGCAGCAGCCAAACAGGATGGTTCTGGGAATTAACACCCTACTGAAGCAACCCAGTGAGGCAGTCACTGTGTGGAGTCTTGCTTAACACTAAGTGAAACTTTGGGGGTACAAGTCTCTCTCTTATAGGGCATGGGGAGAAATGCAGCCCAGGCTGGAATTGACCAAGCAGTTACCACCTGCAGGGCTGCTTACTGGCCTGCCAGGTACTGTTTGGTGGCCTTCATCCAGTTCCCAATGAACAGGAGTTCACAGCACAAGCCGCCACCACCAGTCTTGCCACCCTTGTTGGCAGTCTCAAAGAGGCCAAGGATTGAATGGGCCATGGAGACTGAACTCCCCTCTCACCTCTTGAGGTGGTCCCTCCAGGTCAGAGTTGAGGCACATTGATGGGGCGGTGTGGGGGTAGCTTGCACTGCCGCTGCTGTACCTGTCCTGTGGATAAATAGAGGACTTCAGTCTCCAGGGCTGTCAATCCGAAACCTTTCGCTAACACCAAAGTCATAAAAATCTTACTCTGATCAAGGGCTAGCCTGTACTAGACAGATGCTGCCTAACTTCAAACCCCTGTCACATCAGAAGCACAGACAATGAGATTTCCCAGAGGGCAAACCCCAACCATCTGCACCATCAGGGGCAGGCAGCCTGCATGGACACAGTGAGTCTTGCTTTCTAGTGGCATAACAGGGCTACCTTGCCACAAGGCCAACCTCTAGGAGATGAACAAGCTCTTGCAAATAACTTCAGCAACCTCCCATGTGCCTTTCCACTGCTGATTAACTGCTTAGCAAGCTGTCCACAGCCTCTGGAGGGTAGGTAACATGAATAGGGCAAGGAAGGAAAGGGAAGGGATTGAGGCAAGAACAAGACCACGACAGCACCTTTTCCCAGCAAGAGGTTAACAGCCAGATATGACAATAGAAGTGGCAGATGAATGTATAAGAACTGGGTGCACTGCAGCCAGACCTCTCCAGCTGCTGCTTCTTCCTCTCTGCTGTTGACTGAAACTATCCATTAGCACCCAGCGCCATCATGTCTAAACTTCATACTCACCGATCTGCTTAGTGCACCCCACCCACTATGCCAAATCTACCTCTGAAGCACCTGAAATGCTAATGTAGCCCTCTTTAAAAAAAAGTTTACAGGCGGGCATCATCAAGGCACTATGTTTAAGAACAGTCAAATGACTAACTCCTCAGAGCATTCCAATTCCACTCCATATACTCATGCAGGAGTCTTCCCTGATCACTTTCTGCTTCTCAAATCTGCATACCTGAACTTCACACAAAAATCTGCCTAAAATGGTTGCAAGGATCTGAAAGTTCAACTGCAACTCTAAAACACCTTCAAGATCTACTTGAGCTCACACAGCCCACTCAAGCAAGCAGATTTCTTTGAAAATACACAATGGTAACAGGATTCCAGCCAGCTGAGAGACTGAAGTCCCATCCTGCAATGGCCATAACAATGCCTTTGTTTTACCAAAAATGTTATGCATCTGTGCTTCACTTTCCTGTGTGCTTGAAGTAGCTTAAGTAATTGTATTGGAAAACAAGTCAGATTCATTATCATTCCACATGTTTTAAGTTAGCCACATGTATTCCTTGAGACATGGTTAACAGGACAGTGGCATTCAATTTGTCTTTCAGGTACTATCATCTTGTTAAAGGAAGTAATTCCAATACGCCCTAGATTTAGGCCTCAGTATCATGGTGGCATCAACCAAGATCTCATTTCCCCAGTCCTCTGGATTCCAGTTCTCCCAACACCTGTCCCTCTCAATGTTCGTCCCCTGCTGCTTTATAACTACTGTTCTGCATAATTCAAAGCCCACTGCAGTGGCTCATTTGAATGTTGCCTTAAAGTGGAAGGCTAGAATGCAAATTTGAGCTTGCTAGTGCTATGCCTGGACTTGATTCCAAATTCCAGCTAATTCCCCCAACCCACACTACTGACTACATCAGTTCCCAAAGGACACCAGAGCTTGTTGAACATTCGAGAGCAGCCTCCAAAGAACAAAACCAAAGCAGCAGAGGTAGCACTGTGCTGGCCAGGTGGGCAGCACAGGTGATAAGCATGCAGAGTGGTTTGATGTGTGCTGGCAGTGTTGAAGCTTGGTAGGCTACTATTTTCTTGCCCCTACCCATGCCCAGCAAGAGGAATAGCCTTACCTGACCGCCTGCAAAGATGACAGGAGAACTGGATGGCTTGGGTCGGTAGGGGATGGTGACACCCTTTGGGGGAGACTATATTACAGAAGAGTCAAAGGAAAAATATGGTTATTATTAGGGACTCCAGTCAGAAAAAAGTGTACTCTTTGCCACAAGGTAGTACAGTTCTATTTGTTAAATGTTTAAAGTAATGAACTGTCTTATTTGTGACTCCTACTATTCCTTCTTTGATCAGTGTCTAAACAGTAGCCCACATTAGTTTGTTGCAGCTGAAAGACAAAGACGTCTGGCAGAATGAAACTATCGTCAGTGGCAAGAGAAATCTTTCTCAATGGATACAGATGAGACGAAGAAAAAGCTATTGTTTAAAGGGCATCAGGTATCCAGACCAACTATGAGTATCTGGCAGTACCAAGTTACTGTACTGAGATTAAGTGCATGTAGCATCCCTGTGACAAGGGGCAGCAGTGACATAGCACTGATTTATCAATCCCACATGTTGATGGTTCTAGGCATGTGAGACAGGCTTCCCTACAGTCACAACTGCCATGAAAAAGGATGCAGGAAGCCCATCTACCCTTACCAAATCAATATAACAGAGAAGGACTATGCACCAAATCATCTTGTACGGCCCTGTGTTGAGTATCAGTTATTAACTTTGCAGCATTTATTCCCTCGGGTACATTGTCTCAATTTCACAATGAACCACTTCCTTTCATCTTGTGAGCTGCTCTCTTCAAACCTAGTGCTATCAGCCTTCTGATCCCCCTACATTATAGCGTAGGTATGTTACTGGCAGTCTCAACTGCTTTTACATTATTTGATTCCCATGGTTCAGAAACAGAGAATGTGAAGATCTTATGGAAGTCCCCACTGACTTTTCCAAACATCCCACCACTAGGAAAAGGACACTGTTTCCTAAGCTTCCTGCCACTATTTTATAAAGCAAAAACATACAAAGGCAGCTGTCAGCATGAGAGTTCTGTATCAGCTGTTTCAAATCTAGAAACAGCTGGCCACAGTCCAGTGACAATGCCCTTTTTGCCCTTTGGCTGCTGTCTCAAATGTTTTCAGCAGCTACCCTTCCATATATAAATGTTGCCTTTTTTTAACCTGGTACATTACAGAAAAGGGGCAATTCCATTCTCATTACTTACCTCCAGCATGACCACACAGATCTGTTTGACGCACTCTATGATGGACTGTGGAATCCCAGCAATGGTGATTGCTCTTTCAGTAGAGTTGGGTAACATGTCTCCTGCCACCTGGACCTGTGCCCCTGTGCTCTTAAGATTAAAAATACCATGTCAGGTATTCTGCTTCAAGATTTCCAGGCCTTACAGGATGACTGCTGATTTGTTATACACCATTTACCCCCTCTTTAAAGAGATTCAGAATTAGCCAAGAGCAAGGATATATGCATAGCTATACAGCATCTCACACAATCTGTTTCAGCAAGGTATCTAGTGCCCCACTACCCTTGAAAGTCCAATTTATAGTGTGAAGGCTCTTACTATGTTTTTAGTTCTTCAACTTGCATAAATAGTCTTAGAGGATGAAGGCCAAGTCTTGCAGGCAGGATAAAGTTACAGTGATTCTAAAATGGAATCAAACAGGTTCTTTCCACGCTGTACCACAGAACCAATATCCTACAAGTACTATCACTGCTTACTTTTTATGATTCCAATACTACTCTTTTCTGCAACTGGGCCTTATTGTTCTATTTCAGATGTTTGGTGTTTTGTTTTGTTTTTTTAGACAAAGTTTTGCAAAGTTTTTGACCAATATAATCAGTGTATTTAGTTCAAAATAAGTTTGGATGCAAAGTATTCTAGGCTGAAGGCCAAGAAACAAACATGGGCCAAGTACCAGCAGATAAAGTTAATTTATGTTAGACACAGTATTCATAGTTAAGAATGCTGAACTGAGTATAAGCAAGCAGGAGTGCTTCCCGGTGCTTGCTACAATGCCCTGTGCAGTATGCAAGACAATCTGACATTTAAGTTCAGATAGATGCCTGGGGCAACTGCTATTCCTACATCTAGCCAAAACTCAAAGTGGGGCATAAGACCAAGATGGATAAACATTTAGAAGTTACTCTGAGCACTAGTGGTAAGATTGAAGGACCCAAAGCAAAAAAACGATCTTCCCTGCTTTTGGAAACATAACCTTTATCCCCAAGATGGGTTCAAAGTTTTACTCTGATTTGTGCCATCATTCTCCTATAACAAAGGGTTCAATTGTTCTGTGATGTTTCAGTCTACACAACCCAGCTTGTATTTGCTTTTTCTTAAGTTAGGGTCTTTCTTAAAACGGCATTGAGTCACTCAAGGTTCCAATTGAAAGAGAAATACTGCAAGAGACTTGCAGTGGAGACACAAAGCTAGCAAGGTGAGCATTCAACTATTTTATGAGCTGTCAACCATTTAGCCTCTCTCCTTCCTCACTATTCATACCTCTGGAAGACTCAGCTAAAGAAAAACATGAGTAAATAAGCTAACAAAGGCAAATACAAATCACAGATTATTGTACACCTGTGCTTTAAGTAATGCCTGCCATTTTGTACATTACATTGAAGTTAGTCAAATTCACTTTTAAAATTAATTAGGCTCTAACTTGCTTTCAATATTTTTAACAAAAAGGTTTAAAAGTGCCTTATGACAAAATATTAAAACAGGTTAAAGCCAAGTTCAAGCACCACTCTGTTCAGAGACAGCTAACCCTGAGAAAGCCTCTGAATCCTCTGAAAGAGAGTCTACTTGTCACTTATCTGGCAACAATTTGATGCTAGCAATAAAGGACAAGGGATTGAGAAGGGAGAGCAAACTTACAAAATGCACCTGACTACACTGGGCCTGGCTCCAGCCACCCTCAGTCTCAGTTTCATGAGCACTAAATATAAGTAGCTGTATTAAGCAGATGACACAGAGTCTATGTGTGGCATTCAACCTCAATACATTCACTACAATGTAGGGTCATGATGAAGGGAATAAGTGAGGCCATTTTTAAGAGACAAATAGTAAGCAACAAGCAATACCCGCAGAGTTCAGTACACACCTCTCTTATCTCCTTGATCTTGCAGCCTCCTTTCCCAATGAGAGAGCCACATTGGCTGGCAGGTACCACAAGTCTCAGAGTGACGGGGGGCCTGCTAGAAGCCGTGCTGTTGGTCATTGAGCTGCTGATATCCTGAAAACAGAAGTCAACAAACTTCAAGCTACTGGAAGTTTCAAATGGAGGCCAAGATTAGAAATTCATTTTTGGTTCTTTAGAAATACAGTTGTTGGAAAAATACAAATGCTTGGGAAACAAAAAAAGCAACCATTCACATATACATTCAATCAACCCAATCTCAATAACTTTCACAGTATCTTCTGGGCAGGAAACTGTTCCCCAACACATTTGATAAAGCAATTACAACATGAAGTTGTGTTGAGGAGATATTTAAAACAGATCAACTAGGCCTCCTTAGCTTGACAACACCATTCTCCTGCACCACAAACCCTTCACTTGAGAGTGAGCAGAGGACACAAACATGCTCATCAGTTGTTAATAAATCACACCCTTAAGCCAACTCCCACCCGTCAGGCATCCTTTCCAGAAACTTTTCTTCTACCATGAAACAAAAACACAGCTCCTCTCCTAACACGTTTGAAAGAAAATACCCATTCAACATAGAATTATAATATGAACAGGCTAACTTTTTATCTCAGAGGCTGTTCAGAAATAATCAAATCTGAGATTGGAAAGAAGGGACAGACTTCAGCCAGATGTCAACTCCAAACTGTACCAATAAAACCAAGCCACCTTCCTTTTTTCCCCTAAGGGCCTAGTACTCAAATATAAGTTGTGTTCATTTGTACCACTGCTCAGTATCTTTGAAATTTTGGGCATAATGTAAGCCTTAGAACTGAAGTCTGAAAACCTGAATTTGATAACTGCAGTAGTGATTATGTTGTTGTTAGTTGCGAAGTCACATCCAACCCATTGCGACCCCATGGACAACATTCTTCCAGGCTCTGATTATTATGTTGAGCAAGCTGCAATTCTCCACAGTGGGACCAATGAAATACCATCTTTCACTAGTCAAGGGCAGCAACTCAAGCTCTTGAAGAGACAGGACAGAAAAAGAGGGCTCTCAGGTTACAAACATTCTAATTGCTTGGGCAGTGCATTTCAAAAGTTAAGAGGCACAGCTTAGCGCACCAAACTTCAGGGTTCCATCAAAATAGCTGTTTGGCTTTAACAGTACAAACCTTTGTCTTCCATTAAGACACCACTGGAGAAGTACCCTTCCATTAAAAAAATTATAATAATGAAAAGCTAGTCTTACACTTCATAAACAAAAGTCTGAAGGCATGCTATTGAAACAGTAGGGCCAATAAAGAAAATACGATCCTAAAGAGATTAAAATTTCAGTAGACTAGTAACTTACTGCTAGTTCCCTAAGATTCAAGGTTTCAACCCCAGCTCCCTTTATATTGAAAGTTCATTGTAATTTGAGAGCTGCTGCCCTTCAGATTTGCCTGTGAACATGTAACCAAGTCACAGATAGAACAATGAACTGGCTAGCAGAAATTATTCCAGAGAATTCAATGAAAGGGCATAGCGGGACCACAGGGTGTACCTCAGTTCCAGGATTTGAGAGGCAGGAAAAAGCAGCAAAGAACTGTTACATCAGCCCTAGCATCAGTAAAGGCAGAGGTGCCCAATTTGGATCTATGTTGCACATGTAGAAGTTACAGGGTGGACAGGGCAGATCTCATGTTCTGCACTGGGGAAGCACAGTGAGCAGAAGCATCAACTTAAGACTACTAAAGCTTCTGAGGCATCTACTTCTTGTCTCTGCAGTTCTCTTCTGGGACATACTTAGAGAATTGGGTCTACAGAGCTACAAAGATCTTTATAAGATAAGAGGATTAATGTGGAACCTCTATAGAGTGATGATGTAGTGAAGGTTCAGTCAAGCCCAATTCCTAGCCCAAGTCTCAATTTCAAATTTAAGACCACTTTAGAAAAACCAGAAATTAAAGAAAGGGTAAGAGGAGCAACTTAAGCTATTGATCAGTCCATACACTTTCAAACTGCAATTTCTTTACACTGAAAGTTCTTAATGGCTTGGATCCTCATTAAAATCCCCCAGACACAACACCTTTTTCCATTTACAGATAGAACTGTGATACAGTGGAGAATCCCACCAGTAGATAACAGGCAGTTTTCATTGATTCTCTCATGCAACTCACATGCTCCCTCAAACTTTGGCAGATTTTAGGGAGCTCTGAGTGGAATTCAGTGAAATTCAGCTCCCTGCTTCCAACAGAAGGATCTTTCTGTGAACAGAAGTCTGTTCAGGGGTTATTTCCATCCTAAGCAGCAAACACAGGATTCTGGTCCATATTCTTGAGTAACAGTCAAGCTCTGGGGTGGCCAAACCAATGCTCAGGTGCTGTGTGCGGCTCTTTGAGTTTATTCTGCAGCTCACAGAAGGCTCAGAGCCCCCTCCCCATTTCGCTCCAGTCCGGTTCCCAGTGACAGCATGGGCATGATAGAGAAGCACTCTCCTGAGGCTGTTGGCCTGTCCCCCTCTCCCGAGCCTCAGAAGAGAGCAGGTCAGACCAGCAGTCCTGCAAGAGCTCAACCTGGCATGCCCCACCTGCTCCTGCTGACAAGTACAAAGGTGCTTTGGCAGTTCTACCTCTGCCACTGCTCCAGGTGGCAAATACAGTGATGTTATTAGAGGTGGCAGCAGTTGTCAAAGGTCCCTTATAAAACACAGTCTTCAACTTAGAATTCTAACAAAAAATTCTCAGCACTTCTCACTCAACTATAATTGCCAGGATTCTGTCTGTGCCACTTTAAAAACTCCTATTTTTTATTAATGACAGTTGCTTTGAGTAGTTCTTATTTCTAAAGGCTTATTTCTTTGAGAAGGGAATCCCACAGTGTGCTACATGTCTGTTATATCATGCACATTAAAAAAACACACACAGATAAGAACACACTTTCATTCAGTCATAACACACAATATATATTTGTTCATGTCTTGTGCTTTCAAAGTGTTTGACATTTACCATATGTGGATCTTCCACTGAGCAAGCCTGGCCACCCCAACATAGCTGAACATACTCAGCAGTCTAAGAATGGATATTTTGTAGCCAAGATAAAACATTTACTCCCATGCTTTGAAATCTCCTGCTGAGGAATCCCACTAGTAGTCATTGTATCACATAGTTTGAAATTCCAGGTTTCCACCAGCAAAGTAAAGCTCATTTAATCATGTATCTGATGGAACACATATCATTCCAAGATGATTACAGGAGGGGGATACCGAAGTAATTCTTCTAATCAGGTCCTGAACCCACCAGGGCTACCTATCTGGTGCTTACACACCTCTTCCAGTTTGTCAATGATCATAGCAAATGCTTTGAAGATGGCATTAGTGGGTCCAGCAAGAGTGATAATCCGTTCTGGGCAGTTCCCTTCTGAGATGTTAATGCGAGCACCACTCTAAAAAAGAAATACATGGAATTGCAAGTCAACCTGGACCGTCCTTTACAATTCTGTCCCTTTCTCTTATTTGAGTATATAAAGACTGCAAATCTACTCAGAATTACTTGAGATCAAGTCCTACTAAATTCAGTGTTATGTTTCTAATCAAACATGCAAATGATCAAGCTATAAGTTTTACTGCATTAGGCAGACTAAAAGTACTAGTACACAAGCAGCCAAATCTATAATTACAGCTTTAAGAATTTAAAATGCAAATGGCTGCCACTCCTTCCCATGAGGATTTCCCTCCTCCATAGTTGGTTCTTTGGAAAAGCCATTCATTACTAGATCCAACCTAGTATTGGGAAAGAATAATCTCACACCTTTCATAACTATTAGTACCTAATCAATAATCTATTCGTACCAGTTGAGAAGTTTCTTAGTCTATTTTTGTCTATTTGTCTATTTTTGTCTATTTTTGTGCACTTATCCCCAAGAACCTACCTCTTCACGCATCTTCTTTACAGATTCTCCTTTCTATAATCACAAAGGAAGACAGAGAAAATGAAATTAGTTACTAGGAAATTAAACTGAACTGAGCTAAGAAAATAAAAATTAAGTTGGATTACATACCTTCCCAATGATGCTTCCAACCTCCTGAAACAGCAAGCATAAGAAAGCTGAAGTTTCTCAATGTTTCTGACACACCCACATAACCACATACCCTAGCTACATAGAGATTGCTGTGTGTAATAGATTCAGTGTTTTCACTCTGAGAACAGAGAAGCTATCAGCTGAAGGTGGACATTTCCAGGTTTAATATAGCATCTCCACAAGATGATGCTTGGGGCAGGTTTATAAATGTTTTAAGAAAAAATTCACGGTCTCTTTAACTAGTATTTTATATCATGAAAAGGAAGTGCTTATCAGTTTCCTGAGACACAACCATCAACTTAATAAGAATTGCTAAGTTACAGATACCTTTTGTTGGGATTGACACAGCACTTTACTGCCAAGAACATGGCATGCCAAAAGCAAACTAATGTTTTAATTTGATCAGACAACTGGGTTTTCCAAGACATTTACTGTGACCTAGTTTCACAGTCTAAGGCAAGCAAGATGAGGTAGAGCAAATACCTTCCCATGCATAAGTAGGCGAATGGTAAGCGTGACATTTAAACCTCCTTCGATAACACCGGTGTCCATCTTGAGCTGTGTTCAGTTAAGTCAGGCTTAGTCAGTGGTCAAATCTTTGGTCGCTGGGAGGAAATCAAACTATAACAAAAGAAGACTATCTCATACCATTTTCTCACTATGCAGGACTGAACTCATTAGCAGTGTTTATCTACACACCCCCTTTCAGATACCACTGGAATTGCAGTGTCCTATTCTCACACTCTTCTGTGTACTGAACAGCCCCTAACATTATGTATACTTGCCATAGGCTTCATTCAGTCTGACTGGAGAGGAACAGCCCCAGCCAACTGTCATTTCCAAGGGCTTGTCACTAATCAGTTGATACCTAGAGGTTTTTACTTTCTGGGAGTTCATTCACAAAATGATCAGGTGGCACTTGGTAAGCAAATGTGTTAAAGCCTATTAGAAACTACTGCTTAAATCACTTCCTGCAAGATGCATAGCATAAGGATACATCCCCTTTGAACAACTTGACCTCCCCTTGACCCTCCCCTTTGCTAAAAGGAGAGTCAAAAAGAGATCCAGCTGCACCACTCAGCAAATTACAAATACTTTCAACAGAGACAAATCTCAGTTACTAATACAGCCTCATGCATATTCAGTTTGACACTTCAGGGATAGATTATACTCCTCTAACAGTGCATTTTGCTTAAGTTTATGAGCTGATGTCCAGGTGTACAACAGAGCTGCATTTTCAATGCAAGGGTCTCAACCCTGAGACCATACAGCAAAATAACTGTTACCCTGCAAATAGTGTCTTTCCCATACTGCTGAAAAGCCAAAGAAAGCCACTGCACAAATAGTGACAGTGATAATGGACTCATAATAAGAATGACCTGACATCAATAGCTTGATTTTTAAAATAAATATTGGTATTAAATATATGAAAAAAAGCAAAGAATTTCATATAAAAAACCTTTTGACTTGAACTATAAATCAAGCTAATATGAAAAAGCTAAAAATCCAAAGCATAGCAGAGTATGTATCGAAGTAATCTTTATATGTAAGTTTGCTATGCATACAATATACAAGTTAATCTGTATGTTTTAAGAACAAATACAACGCCTCACTGAACTCTTATTTACTTCATTTAATTTCTAATAATGGAGGAATGCACTTATCATAATTTCTACTTTTAAAAGTTTAAAGACATCATGGAGAGAAAACTAGATGCTTGGAAAATAAGGCTATTGTCCCCAATTAGATAGCAGTTTTATACAGTATACCAGTAATTTTCCAAATGCCATAGGTTAAACCTTCCAGTTATCTTCTAATTACCATAATCCAGTGAAATTTCTATTTAGAGAATTTCATCTTCCCCAAAAATCTACCTCCCACTGCAAAGCTGTCTAAGAAAAATGATTAAACTGTGCCTCAGCCACAGGATCCCTCGGAGAAGTATCTCCCAGGTAATTTTGGACAACAACTTCCATCAGCCTGAGCCAGCAAGGCCATTAGTTAGAGATAAAATCTGCAGTCCAAAACATCCAGAGAGCACTACCCAGGCACTAATCGTGGAAGGTCACTCTTTTTAGACTGTTACGTATAAACTCATATGTACAATATTGAGTTTATTTCATATTAGAAATTCCCCGCCTGAATTTGGGAGATGAGAAAGGAGTATTACTAAACCGTTGTTGATGCAACCGTTCGGGGGAGGCGGGCGAAAATCTTACAGCCCCGCGATTTAAGTCTAAGTCTTCTCGCTTTTACGGAACTTTTCACAGAGGCATTTCATAGAGGCGGTCGCGCTCGCCTTCTCCCTTTCTCTGCACCCCCCACACCCACAGAGATATTAATAGAAACCCTCGCTATGAAGTTCTCAGGATGACTTTCCTCCCCTAGCGAGCTGAGCAGGGAATCGGAGGAAAAAAGAAGAAGGCGCTCTATCGCTAGCGGGCCGCGGTTTGAAATGACACGACTCAACTATGCTCCTCTCTTCCCCACTCCCTCCGCCTGCTCCAGGAGATACGCCCGCCCGCCGTCGGCCTTTCTATATGCCCGCGAGCGGGCCTCCTCCATTCTCCTGCTCACAGCCGACCGCGTTAGCGTCAACCACTCCTTCCCCCTCCCAGAGCAGAATCTCCGCCCTTCCCCTCCCCCTCCCCCGCGCGCGCGAGGCCCAGGCCTAGAGCCCGCCCAATGTGACGCAGCAACAGCGCCCCCCCTCCAGTTCACTGCGGCCTCCCCAATCTCCCCCCCTCGAAGCCCGTTCCACACGGGCCCACTCTTCCCGATACGCAGGTGGAATCAACAGCGCCACCCCTCCCCCGCTTCGACTCCAGCGTCCGAGTGCCTCACACGCACTCGGGCAAGACTAGGCCGCAGTAGGCCGCGAGCGCGTCCTCGGTCTTGCTTAGCGACTCGGTCGGGCTTGAGGGGCAGACTCGACGGAGAGTGAACCTACTCGAGGCCGGGGATCCGGAAGGAGGGGAAGGGATACTAATTCAGGGGCGATGGGAGGCCCTTACCTGACGGGGTAGCTGCGCCCGGCCGCGCGCGTTCGCTCGCTCACTCACTCGGACGAGGGGGAAGGGGATGGGACGGGGGGGGAGCGGGAGGAGGGAGGGCGGGTGGTGCGCGGGTCTCCGGGGCGGGCGGAGGGAGCGGGACGGGGGGAGGGGAGAAGGAGAGAGCCGGGGCGGGCGGGCGGGATGGCGGCGGCGGGAGGAGGGCAAGGGCAGCGGGAAGGGGCTGCGGCAGCTGCTCTTGCGGCGGCGGCCTCGGCGGGTCTGGGAGGGGGAGCTGGAGAGCGGGGCGATTTCAACCCCGCCTTGACCCGGAAACGATCAGATCCCTCCCCCTCTCCTCCCCCGTGCAGACCTCTTGCGCGCTAGAACAAGAGAGAGGTTGAGACCAGTGTGGCTCTGCCCAACGCCGTTGGGTAATACGAACCATAGAGAGGAGGCAATGGGAAGTGAGCCAAGAGCGCTGGGTAGAGCGTCTCCAACGGCAGAGCGGCAAGGTTCCCCCCCCTTCAGGCCGCGTGCGGCGTAGTCTTCCAAAAGCAGCGTGGCTCTATGTATGGAACTATGGAGAGGAGGCGCGGGAGGCGAGGGACGGGGAGAGAAGAAAGGAGGCAGCCATCTACCGATGTAGATGCCTGCGTGCGTATTTGAAAAGCAGTTCCTAGCTTTCTCGCCGCATGATCGGGGGGGGAAAAAAAAAGTAGGAGCGGCTTTGGTCAAGTTTCAGAAGACAAAGTAAACAGGCAGTTTTCTGAGACAAATCTCAAGAGGAAGCTTAAAAAATGCTCCTTTTCCAGATCCTGGAGTGACCGAAACAGAGCTGAGGCCCCACCCTATAAACACCTCTGCTTTCTCCCATGTAAATAAGGCTCCCCACCTACTCCCATCGAGGAACGGAGACGCGTAGTGCTTCAGAGCACTGATGGCCCGAAGGCTAAAACTTGGGCTCTTGCTGACTTTCCAACACATATCCCACCGGTCATAAGGGCGAGCTTTTCGCATGTCTGCTGCCGCGATTCTCTGCACGACCTCTCTTGGAGTAAGGCCCATTAAGTCTGATGGGTCACTTGCAAGAGGCAGAAAAGAGAGGAAGAAAGAACGTGAACTAAAATTGCAAATTCTCTATCCGACGTGTCCAGGTTTCTTGCTGACTTCTACACACGTGTGTTACTTTATATATGGCCTGCCTTACCCAAAGACTTGGAATGGAGAGCATGATTATAAAACAACCATAAAATAGTGAATTAAAATACGATGTGGTAAAATCACGATTTTTTTTTTTTTTTGCATCGGCTAGCCTTCAAAAACTGTTCCCCATTCCATGATGCTGAAAGATGCTCAGGCATCTCCAGGGGAAGAAAGGTTCACATGGGCAAAGGTTAACCCTAAAAGAAGCATCAGAACTTCCAAGGAAGTGCAATCTCAGAAACTGATCTTGGAATCCCTCCCATATACCCGAGGCTCGCTCACACTGTGGTTGCATCGGGGACAAAGGAAAGAGGATCAGCAGATCATTTGAAGCTGAATCCTGACTTCTAAAACAATGCCATGGCTGTCTTGAGTCCTGGAAATCACTTAGAAGACCTTGCTCTGATGCTCTGCAGGCTTGAAAAATTGTTGGTAACATTTTATTATTATTATTATTATTATTATTATTATTATAACATTTCTATGCCGCCCCTTGCCAAAACCTCGGGGCGGCATAGAAAGTTTATGCTAAGAAAAAAATACAGTTAAAGTTAACCATGTGTTGACATTTATTTATTTAATTTCTATACAGCCCAGCAGCTGAAGTTCTCTGGATGGTTCACAACATCAGCCCCATTTAATCAGTAACTGAGATCACAAGGTTTACTTATTATATTTATATCCTGCCTTTTTTCCTGCAAGGAACTCAAGGCAGCATGCATAATCTTGCTCTCCATTTTGTCCTCACAGCAATCATGTGAACTAAGTGATTGACCCCGAATCACCCAAGTGAGCTTCATGGCTGAGCAGGAACTAAAATCTACATCTCTGGAGTCCCAGTCCAGCACTCTAACCATTATGTTGGAGCCTCTTAAGCAAGGTGCCACAGTTGTAGAAGGCCTCAGTCTGAGGAAGGCAGCCAAGGCACAGAAAATGTGAGCTTTCAGAGAGCTATTGAAACTGAGTCTGAAACTGGTTTGAGGAGATATTTATGTATTTATTACATTTTTATACCACCCAATAACCTGAAGGCTGTCTGGGTAGTTAACACGATCAAAAATATAAAATAGACACATCAAAACAGGAAAAGCAATAAAATCACTAGAACGAGCAATAACAACAAAACCACCATTGCCATATCAAGTTAAAAAACATTGGCACAGCAGTACGATCCAACAGGGCCACTGTCACCATAATCAAGTTAAAAATAGAGGGACAGTAATGAGGTGACTAGATGGAGTTGCTGAAGCAGTCGGCATGAGCTTGGGTGGACTCCGGGGGATGGTGGAGGACGGGAAGGCCTGGAGGAATGTTGTCCATGGGGTCCCGATGGGTCAGACATGACTTCACAACTAGCAACAACAACAACAACAAACAAATGATATAAAACATAATAGTAAAACTAAAGTTTAACTACTAAGTATGTGAAGAATTAAAAGGTTTTCAGCTGGCGCTGGAAAGAAAAGGATTTTCTTTCGTCAGGAGCATTTCTCTGGGAAGCTGATTCTATAAATGGGGTGCTACAACCTAAAAGACTCTTCTCTGGTCATCATCCTCCTTACTTCCCTCTGAGAGGGTCCTTAAGAAGGACCTCAAAAGATGATCTTAAGGCCTTGGGAAAGGCCTTATTTAGGGAAAGTGTCGTGCTTATTTTATTGCATGTTTACCCAGTGTGTACATTATCTTGGTTGAGCATTCTAAATACTCTTGATGTGGGAGCTCTGTCCCCAAATCCCGGATGTATGAAGGGCAGTGATTTAATCACTCAGTGACTAAAATTTAGGGAGGAGAGATTGCAAGGGACCAATTACCAAAATCGTATACTACCAAAACAAAATCCATGATCAGAAAGGCAAAGAAGGTCTTCTCACTCAATTGAGACAATGACCAGGTTTGTAGCTTGTTATGACAAGCCAAAACACAGAGAGTTGTCATATGAAATATGCATTTAAACAACACTCAGCTCTAAAACAGACCATGGGTTGTTTAACTCTCCTTTAACCCATACTTGTCAGCTTCACATGGCGCTACAACCACTGAATGAGAAATGTGCAAACAGCCTGCTTGTAACAAATGCCCATTTGGTTCAAAATATGGACCGTGCATGTCTGAGCAGGAAAAAAGAGCCTACAACTTCCAACATGTCCAAGACAACTTTGTACTGGGCATTGTGGGCCTTTAAAAAAAAGACTTGCATAGAATTGCATACTTAATCAAGTGTTCACATGTGAAGAACTGAGCTTCATAAAAGCTTATGACACAATCTGTTAGTCTTTAGAAGTGCTCATTTTGTGGGGCAAGTGCTTAAGATATATTATGGAGGTGTAAATAAAAAGGACCCCTCTCTCCTTCAGTGTGCCATACACCTGCCTAGAGGGCAATTGCAAGAAAATAGATACCTGGGCATAATCTTTACTCATGCTGGGGTATGCATTTGTATGTAACATGCAAGTTATATCTGTGCAGGAGGGAGCCATGTGTGAAGCAAGACCTGCTTGGGATGCTTCACTGCAGAAATCCTGGGGTGCACATGCAGAAATCAATGTGAGGAGGTGACAGTGGCATAAAGCAGATCGGGGAGGATGGGTGTGAACAGCTTTCCTTATTTTAACAGGTGTTAACTCATGCAGTTGCTGCAGTGTCGAGCAGTTTCAACTTGCTAATTTATTCTCACAGGAACATTCAGCTATTCAAGGACATGGGATACATCCTGCTCTTTTCAGCATCCCTGTTGCAAACAAGGGGCCACACCTGACTGCACAGGGAGGATATGAAAGTGTTCCCTAAAACCAGGTTGAAGGAAGCCATTGTTTTAAGATATAGCACAAACAACTCTTTACTAAGACTTTTGCACACGCTCATTTTAAAGTAACGCTCAAAAGACTAAAGAAATCTAAGTGATAAAATTGCAACAAAATCATTTTAAAAAGGCAACCAAAGCAAAGTACAATATGGATTAACTAAAAACAACCATTGGCAAGATTAACTAAAATTATTTTGAAGCTCTGGAAGACCTTTTGATACAAATAACATTTAGGACAGCCCTTGCAAATACATGCATGAAAGCTGCTAGCCTGCACCTAAAGGAATGGCATTAGCTCTCTTACCCTCACATATCTATGTTAAACCAATGGAACACATGGAACATGAAGTTAATAGAGGGAGAATAATTATTTCCCCATGAGCTAAGGTGGGCAAAGTGCTTGATCACTTGGAGGCCATTCTTATTTACCAGGTGGCTAGGCAGGTCGCTTTTTGTAAGACCGATTCAGAGGAGGGGTGATGGCATGAGCAGAGATGCCTTAAAATATGCCTTTTTTCCTCTCTCTGTTGCTTTTGAGGTTCTGAACCACCAGGCCTTTAGATTATTTAGATTCCTAATCCATTATATACTACATATTGCTCATTCCATAGATGAGCCCAGTAAGCAACCTGTATGTTTTCTGGGCCTATTTTGCAAGAATGACTTGGGAAAAGGTACAGCGGGAAAATGCCTTTCTTTGTTGACAAACTCGATCATGGAAATAGTGTAAATCTATGACATGACCTATTTTGCATCAGAACAGGATCAGTTCCAGGATTAGCCCGGTCGCTTCTGTAATTGCTGTTATCCAAGAATTGAATTATAACAGCAAAATGTCAAGCTGAAATAAACAAGCAGAAGATGACTCATCCTGAGACACAGTCATGAGCGTGTTGACAGTCATGATCCGCTAATGAGCGGTGGTATAAAAAAGGCAGTGTTTTCCCATGCTTTGCAATGGAGTCGGTGAATCTCATGTATGCTTTCACTCACTCTGTATGTTCCACAAAGCTTTTCCACAACTTATAGCAAGAAAGAGCTATAGAATTAAAGAGCAAGGAATAGCTTTTTAAAAAGCAGCTCAGTAAACCCAATTATTGCAGTGCGTTAATACACTTTGTGTGCAAAAGAGCGTTAAATCTGGTTTAACGTGACAAGAAGCCTGTCAGAAAAGTGATTTTAGATGTTTCACATGAGAAACTGAGGGAATGAGCATTTTGCTTAAGATTGCGCAGTGAGTTCCTAGCAGAAGTGGGCTTCAAATGCTGAGGATGAAGCACAACACTCCATCGCATGGTGGGCAGATAGTCAATTGCCGCATTTTTCAGACTTCAGCTTCAAGCATTCTTGACTATTATCCAGGCAGGCAGGGTGTTCTGTGAGCTGAAGTTGAAAACATCTGGAGAATGTTTGACCTGCCCCTACTCTAGCAAATAGATCTCCTTGAGGACTATTCACCTGCACAGTGCAGAATGACTTTAACTGCCTGGGAATCACTCTGCACTGAAACCAGTGGGGCAGTGAAAGGAGGTATTGTGGTCCAATCCTATGGAACCAAGTCTGCAGAAAGATGTGGTGCTGAACCCAGGTAGCGATCTGGCAGGGATGCAGCATAAGTAGCAAAGGGGCAAATTCACAGCAGTGTTCAAAGCCTTGCTTTTGGATACAGTAAACGAAGCAAAAAGGGGGAAAAAGTGTTGTGAGTACTGTATTTGTGTACCTGACAGTTGTTATCACAGGGTAAGCAATTCCAGTCGTTGGGTGGTGGCAGTGGTGATACAGAGGGATCTGTGACTTGGACAGACATACCACAGGGTCCATCTAACTCAAGTGAAGCACCGATTTCAGTAGGGAAGCTCAGCCGTTTCCATCTACTACTAGGAGTAATATGTATATCCTGCAAGTACAGGGCTGAAATACTGTAAAAATCAGCATCTCTCATGGAAATCAACAGGACTTAGATAGGCTTCACTTTGTCCGCGCACTTTTCACACAGGCCCTTTTAATGCTACAAGTTCCAGCCTTGGAGAAATGGGATGAAAGTATTATTTATTAAAACACCGCCCTTCATCAAAGCAGATTTTAGGGTGCTGGGCATTTTAAACCCACTTCCTTTTCATGAACATGCTTTCTTCCTCTCCCTCATTTGTTCTTTCTTTTGTACTCTTTTAGAACAGTGAGGCTGTGGGCAGGGCCTGCCTTATCTTTAAAGATCCATACAGCATTTAAAATATACTCTATATACTTTCAAAGTTATCAATCATTTCACAGCAGTGGTGAGCACAAGAATCTCAAGCAGATATCCACAACCTGGTATCTTCCAAATGTATTGGAGTCTAAGCCCCACAATTCTTATTCAGCATCCCTGTTGGGCTGGGGAGGGTGGAAGCTGGAGTCCAAAAATACTGGAAGGTACCTGGTTGGAGAAAACTGATCCAAACACTGAGCAGCATCAGAGGGGGACAGCTGTATGCAGCATTTTGGTCACTCCACCAGGAATACAGCATCCATCCATTGTGCTTGCTAGGCAGACCTGGGTAGAGGAGGCCCAATCTCCATCTTGTAGCAAATATCGCTGGGAAGGACTAAGAATATTAAATTGTTAAATTTACCATTTTCAGATGATGTATACATTTTTCCCCCAACGTTATACCTCTGGATTTTAGAAGTAGGGAAATAAACATGTCATCTGAAAATGTCTTAAGAAATAATCCAGTCCTAATAAGCAGCAAGTGGCCAGAGTCATTTCAGGGACAGGGTGAGAAATGACACCCTATACTTATGAAAAATCATGAGAAATTATACCCACTTTCAGCATGCTGGCAATGTTTTCATCCATGGTGTCTGAACTTGGACCAGCTGTTGTATCACACCTTGGAAGCTCCAAGTCCTTGTTCCTCCGCTGGCAGTGGAAGAGCCCTATTTATATTAGCATCCTATCTATACTGGCTTTTCAGACTTAGCTAGATCCTCCCCTATATGCAGAGAACTCTAGATCTGCATCTATGGTTGACATGACAAAACCTCAAGTCCAGGGCACACGGGACCCTTGCAACCTTTACTGCTTTTGGAATTAATTTCAGCAATTGCTTACTAGCAATGTAATGAGCCATATGGGAATCTGGCCCGCCTTTTGTGGTGGTGGTGGAGGGGACAATTTCTAGTGGAGGTTGAATCTTGCAAGGAGGATTTCTGTATTGGTCTTTCAGGTTGCCCTCAGATCCTCCTATAAACATACCTTCTGTTTGGTTCTTCCTTGGCTCCCTTACATCCCATGGAAACAATTTTTGGAGGAAAAATCAATGGCTAAAATAGACATTTTCCAGGACTGTTTTTTTCACCAGTGTATTATTGATTCCAAGACCTCCGAGGCCCTGTACATGAACAGTAAAGCAACCTTTTTCCCCAGATAAGAACCCAGGAAGGTGGACTGTGTATCAACATTAATTGGCCATGCAGGCACCCCTGTGCAGCTTCTCTGCCCCTTGGTCTTCTGGTTCCCTTCCATTTGTAGTGACTTCAGGAAAAGACGTTTGTATCCATTTTGCAGTGGCTTTTACATGCCTTTAAAAAAAAGCTGAATGGGCCAAGCACATGTATGCTTCTTTTTCTGGCTGGCAAATGCCCAAGAGCTGCCTTTTAGAAATGGCAAAAGCCATTTGATGAGAAAAATAGCCATGGTTCTGGACATCACAATCTGTTATCTCATTTCTAGCTGACCAATACAGGAGTTTTCTATGAAGTGAGAGGCAGCTGCCTGGCAAGTAGGACTAAATTAATAATCCATTTCTATCCAAAGGAAGACATGACTGTCATTCTTTTTTCACTTTAAAAATGCACTGTTTTCCTTCCACTGAATTCCAAGCTGACACACTCTAAATCTGGCAAAGGCCAACACTGTGGCTTCTTCACAAAAGTTTGAATGTCCTGGTTTGTATAAATCCTTGAAGCTAGTGCTAATAACAGAACCAACCACGGCTTGAAGCTAAACAGAGAGAAAGCTCTATCAAACCCTACAAGTTAGAGACCTAAGTCTCAGGGAAAAATATTACTTTCTACAAACACATTTGACTTTAGTTCTCTTCTTACGGTTTAATTGTGAATTTTCATATAAAGAGCAACACAGCAATTCCATTTAACCAAAATCTGTTTTCTGAGACACAAGCAACAAGGAACAGATATAGGATAGACAGAATGGGACACAATACTTCGTATGGAGGGAGGGGAAAATTTACAAAGTAGGATACTATCAGTCATAGCAAGACATGGTCCTCTTAACAGGCAACACACTTTCCTATGGACCACGAAAGGGCAGAGGGTCCCTGAATAGGACATTTCTGCAGGCTGCACTCAGCTTAGCCTGGACAGCCTGCAGAGTCTGCTGAGACACGTACTTGCCATGCTTTTTAGCAGGCTAGTGAACAGCTCCTTGTATTCTATGTTAGCAAGGCAGCCCATCTGGATATTATCTAAGCAGCCCATTCCCCACAGGGCACCAGCAACCTGGTGAGAATATGGCCTTTCCAAATGAAATGGTTTGGAGCATTGCACTGATACATAAAATGTACAAGATTGTATTGCATGCTCTCGTAGTAAATCTTTCCAGTGCTCCTACGTGCCTCAGATCACATTCTATTTTGCACCAAAATTGCACTTGTGAATGTAGTATGACCATCGAACAAACGGGAGCTACCAGCTCCATGGTGTAGTTTTCCCATGATGATACTTCCTGGAATATGATCAAACAATTTCACCCCCCCCCCACTGCAAATAGTTATAAAGAAATCATTCCCCTAAATCACATAAGAAATCAGTGGAGGCGCCCAAAGGTAGACAGTTACTCCCAATCAAACCCATTACTCCATCTTGGGTTTCCCAGGTGCAGTTTACAGATAGAACAGCCTCTCCTTTCATTTGCCCAGCCAGTGTATAAAGGACAATAATCATTTGGGGGGAAGGGGGTAAATTTTTAAAGCACTTGGGCCAACTGAGATCCATCACCTGGCAGTCAGCCCTGAGCCTAAAATGATCATTTGATTGGACCCACTAACTGCCTGCAGAAAACCTCACAGCTTCATTGAACTGGCTGCAGGAACATGCCAGTAGCTTTCAGAAGGCCTGCAGCTGCGATGTTTGCAGCTGCACTGCCCGTACGCAGAAAGCTTGTCCCACTCTGAATTGTGAAGGTGCACAAGCTGATCTCACCAACCCTGTTTAATCAGAAACACCAGACCCCCATTGTGCTCTGCAGGAGATTCCCCGTGCCATTGGGACAAGCTTGACATTTGGGCCAACTCCTGAGGTAGGAGGAAAGGCAGGCAGGTTTCATTTACATCCAGTGACATGTTCGGTAGATTATAGTTAGGATGGAAGCAGGAGGTGTGGCGCAAGGAGCAGTATTTGTGGGATGCAGCCGGGAGTCAGGCAGGGGCCTCAGTCAGAGTCGCTGCTGCTGGAAGATGAGGAGGAGGAATGCTGTGAAGAGGAGAAAGGAAGAAAAACACATGAGACTCCCATTTTACTCATGGCCACTGAACTCCGATCAGGGTTCAGTGAGACACCTGCAGGTGCCCAAACAGCTCTCCCTTCCCTGCCCCTTCATAAAGGATGGCTTGAAGATAACCTGGGGAAATGTTAGGGCAGTGTTCTTTCTCTCATTTTTAACCTCCAGCCTTGCTCTTTCTCTCCCTTTAATCCCTTTGACCTGCTCTTTCCCCTTCCTCCCAGCTTTCAGCATTGCTGTTTCTCTCCCCTTTTACCTTGCTGTTCCTGCCCCTCCTAGCCTCTAGCCAGTTCCTTCTCTCCCCTCTCCTCCTTTGCCTCACTGCTTCTCCCTCTAGTTTTGCTGTTTCTCATCCCACCCCTTTAGTCCACTGTTCCTCCCACGCCCAGCCTCTAGTTTTGTCCTTTTTCTCTACCCCTTTGCCTCCAAGACTTGCCCCTCCTCTTTGCCATTGCAGCCTGCTTGCTCTTCTACCTCTTGCTCTGCTCCAGAAAAAGGCAGAGGTGCTGGGCTCTCTGCCAGCCAAGCCAGCCGGTGGGAGCAAGGACAAGAAAGCGGATGAGGTGAATGAGCAGCTGCTGGCAATGGTGGCGGGAAGGCAGACTCTCTGAAGGAGGGGGCCTGTTGTGGGTGCCTAGCACAAGGCCCACCTAAGCCTGGAGCCAGCACTAACCTCGGCTTTCATACATTCAAGATGCCAAGCTGCAGTCCAAGCAGTGGGTGTGAGGAGGAGAGGAAGCAGCCCTGTGGCTACTGCTGTGCTTCATGACTCCCTGCCCATTCTCCAAACTGGCTTTTCACTGAACTGGCTGGTTAAGTAAACCCGAGTCTCGACAGCATCAATGCAACGCCATTTAACTTTATCTGAACGGCTGCCTGACAACATATGCTCTCTAGATTACTGACCACCTTTTAAAATGAAATGTAAGAAATACTTAACTGGGCAGCTTTCTTCTCCCCAGCAGCTCGGGGAGTGCTTCTCAAGCCCCTGAATCAGGGGCTGGTTTTGCACAGCCCTTCCCTTCACCAAATGGGAGCAAAGTCCTCTGCCGGCACTCAAAGAGCAACTCCTCAAGGTGTGCACTCGCCCTGGAGCCAGCCCTGCCCAACCCTCACACGGCTCAGTCGGGGAAGGCAGAGGCAGGCAAAACCCTGATCCCACAGCTCAAAGAGCTGCCCATCAAGGCCCAGGTTTGGTCCCGGGCCAGCTTTGCACCACTGAGAGGGCAGCAAAGCTGGCTAAAGCTGCTCCCTGAGGCGATGGCTATTTTTCCCATAAGGGGGCAGGTGCTTTGGAGAGGGCTTCACCTGAGACCCTTGCAGGGCAGATGGGGAAACCTGGTGAGCCAAATTCAGCCTGCAGGCTGAAAGTCCCCCATCCAGCCAACCTCAATTGCACATGGCTTAAAGCGGCTTGCTGAGCCTGGCAGGCACAATGTCCCTTGACCACAGGCAAGCAGGCCTCCTTTCATCTCTCCCCATGGCAACAAGAAGTCCAGCATGCCCTATGTGCACCTAGACCTGCCCCCTCCTCCCCACCCTTCCATGCCATTCCACAGACCTTCCCATGTGGCTTGTGGAGTTTGTGTGGCTTGTGCATCTTGTGGGCCTTCTTCATCTTCTTCTTCATCTTCTTGGCAGCCTTCTTATCCATCATATGGGTCCCCATGGCAACACCCCCGGGCAGCAAAGGGTTAATGCCCATTCCTCCAGGCATACAAGGAGCATGTGGGGGGCAAGGGCCACCAGGTGGGACCGGATAGCCAGGTTGGTGCCCAGGGTATGCTGGTGGCGGAAAAGGATGTCCTGGTGGGTAGGCAGGTTGCCCTGGCATCCCTGCTGGGGGGACAGGATATGAACCACCAGGCACAGGGGCTGGAGGGAAGGCAGGATTCACTGAAGGAGGGTGTGCAGGATTGTAGCCAGCTGGGTAACCAGGGTTGGGAGGACAAGGTGCTCCAGGGTAGGCACCTGGCTGGCCTGGAAAAAGCAGAGGAGAAGAGGCAAAGGAGGAGTACTCAGCTGCGAGAGGACTCAAATCTTGCTGCAGCCAACCCTTCCCCCACAGGCATGCAGATTGCCTAGACTGACTGCCACAGAATCCATCCTCACGGGACACCTTCAGACAACCCATCACGTGACCATGGCAAAGCCCACTGCAACAAACCACCTAAAAGGAGTACATTTCAGATTGAATCCCTTGAGAGACCTGAAGCAGCTGTCTGAGCAGCTGTCGGTGCAGGGAACCTCACCCGACTGCATCATTCCCAGGTCTGCGCAAGCGGAGAATCCAGCCAAGGTTGGGTTCTTGGTTGGGCTGCAGTCGCAGATCTTACGTTCATAGAAGGGCCCACTAGCTCTTGCACAAGCAAAGGAAGAGTTGCTCTGCTCGCACAGCCATTTCTTCCACTAGCAGTATGTTAAATTTAGGCCAGAGAGGGCAGATAGGGGTTTTTTTTTTTTTTAAGCACATCACTAGTAGTGAATGTCAGGGTCAAAGTGGCCGCCTGTGATCAGAGAGTGCAGATGATGCCTTCTGCTGAGTCACTGAAGACAGCATCTCACGTCCTGCAAGCACAGAGTTGCATCTGCAGAGAGAAACTTGAACTAAGCTGCTTCTGCAACAGAAAGAGATCAAACCTAATTGTGACTAGACATACTTATTAAGTTTGGATTCCACTTTTAGATGCCTGTTGCTCACCTCTGGCCAGGACTTCCTTCACCAAACAATCAGAGGAGGTACATATCAACTGAACTGCAATGTTGGGCGAGGCGTGCCAATACGACGGAGCTTGGCAATAACTTAGTCACCTTTTTAGAAAACAATACTTGGTAGTTATGAAAATCTATGACTACAAGCAAGTGACTCAGGAGCAAGCACACCCAAAACCCTTCTCAGAAATGGCCAATGCGCATAAAATGCCTCCAGTCAGCACACCAACTAAGCCGAATGCTATGTATTCTCTGTGGAAATGGACTCTACAGAAACCCATAAAATCTGCTTCCTTTTTTTTTACCTGTATTGGGATTCCACATTGTCTTCAAAGAAAGCAAAAAGTGTCACCTGAGCAGAGAAAGACACTATTAGTGCAAAAGTTTAAATTTAGAAGACCAGTAAGATTGCATAAATCAATCCTGGTGGACAGCTGGGTGGAACAGGATATTCTTTTTTTAAACAGAGCAAAGTCTATTCCATAAGGTTAATTTGCTGGCAACATGTATGGAGACTTAATGGCACCTGAAAGATACAAGACTAACAAGCCCAGCCATATACCTTGGACTGCAACACTAAGCCCCCTCACTCCCAAAGTCTATCAAGTTGGCACTTACTTCTGAATGGCATGCACAGGATTGGGCCTTAACTCGCCTGGAAGTAATTATTTCTACTACTAAAGCATTTACATTGTGTGTAGGGAGGGGGGAGTATGAACACACAGGCATTGTTACTGGACAAAGAGCTTTACAACACTTTGTTCATCATGAGAAAATACTATGGAAATGGTCATATATTTCCAGGGATGCTGAGGGCAGGGGTGGAATCTTGTCCAACTATCCCCAGCTGAGAAAAAAGTTTCTCAGAAAGCTGAGCTGAGAGACTCCCTCTGTAGCAGGAAAAGCAGCTTTGCAAGGACACCTCCATGTAACTGCAGTCATTCTAGATAGTGAACCAGGATTCAAGATCTTCCTCTACCAAGCCCTTTGGAAGACCATGACTAAGACACTCTGTCTCAGCTTTCTATTTTTCATAAAACTGGAACATGGACTACTTACAGGGCTGCTGAGGGAAGGAGGCATTAAAGAAATATTGTTTACCAGTGGAAAGGCTTGGGAATAGAGCAGGCCTCTGCATTAACCTCAGAAGTGGAATCATATGATCTGTCTATGCATCTATATCCCAAGCAAGCATTTATTAAAGTACCACTTTAAAGATGGAAATCAAGACCACATATGAAATTAACTTTAAATCAAAACTAACTGTTAAGGAATATTACTTTTTTCATTAGGATTTAATATAATCCATTAGACATTGCTGGAACAACAGGCTGGATACAAATCCTCGCTCAGTTATCAAGATAATTTCATCTGTAAAACTGGAACAAAATTGGGGGCAGTTTTTAGAAAAATGAGTAGGATTATGAGATGAACACAGTTATCACTGTTCATCCTTCAGACCCAGGATTGCTTAGCACAGCCTAAGTCTCATTTTGCCTAGTCCTAGGGTATATTCCAATGCAGTTTTCAGTGAGAAATGGCTGGGGAACAGTGGGAGCTGCATGGATTATTTCCACCTTGACATGCCCAGGATAGCTCCCTTACCACCTCAGATCTCTCTTGCCCTTGCTTCTATTGCTATTGTCTGTCTAACACTCAATTCAAACTCTCTGAGCAAGGCCTACAACTTCTGCATATCTCATATAGCCATGTCAGAATTAAGCTCAAGTGAGGCCTGTAACAAAACACTGCAATACTGAGAGTTCCAGTTGATGATGCCACCCAGCCATCCCCTCTTCCCAACAAGTTTTCAATTCCTGCAATAGTCAGGCCTCATTCTGGGCCCATTGAGCAGGCTCGCTCCTCCTTGAATAGTTTTGCATTCTCTCTCCCTTGAGATTTTTTTTCTTTCTTTCTGATCTTTTGCAAACCTGGGCATTTCAAGCAGCTTGTCCGCTCCCTCCTTGTGCAAAGAACATGCCATGCTGGCTACACAAAGGATCCACAGTAGGCAAACTAGAATTTGAATATAGGATTTTTGTACTACTTCAACTAAGAGCTTTTGTAGAGCAGGAGTAGGTAGGAAGTAGATCTCCAGAAGTTTTGTACTTGAACTTCTACAATCCTAAACACTGGTCTTGCTGACAGCCTTTTCTGCCAGCTGAAATCCAAAACACCCAGGCTAGAATAACGGGATAAGAGGCTACAAAGTGGACCAGGGTGTCTCTGGTTCAAATCTGCCATGAGACTGGGCTGTAAGAGTATAACAAAGTGCAGAAACGCTCTCTAAAGCGCTATACAAACGCTAACATAACTGTATCTTGTACTAAGAGGATTAGGGGGCAAGACTAGGCATATTTGGACAGAAAAAAAGTTCGGACGACTCCCAGCTATACAGGACTGTTTCTTGTCCACACATGCCTAGGGCTGCACCCTTACCGTCACTCAGCGGTTCAGAGGAGTGCACGGATGCTTTAAGTCCAGCCAGGATTTCCTGGAATTTGTACTCTCCTTTAAGCTTCCAGCGCCTCCTCCCAGGGGAATCCCTTGGCGGGGTGTCCCACGAAGTTCCAGGGGAACTCACGCCCTGGCCGCGCGGACTGTAGGACCCCAAGGCAAGGCAGAAAGCAGCTCCGACGCAGAGGAAGGCCCCGCCCCGCCCAGCATAAATCCCCCGAAGAGCAAGCCTCCGGCCCCACCTTCTCCTCCGGAAGCCCCAGCGCCTTCTCCGCACTCTCCGCAGTTCTGCCGCGGCTGCTTCCTGGACGCCTTCTTTGCACGGGGCCCCATCACAAAATCCCTCGGCTCATTGGCGCATGGGTTGCCTTGCCCACTTCCCATAGGCCACACCAAGTGGCCATCAGCGATTATGTCCCGCAGGCAGGGTAGGCGGTCCTTCCCCTTACATTCAGGCCGAGAATGCAGAAACTAAAGGGAAAAAAATATTAAAGGGGCTGAGCAGGCTGGATAGGCGGGTTAGAGACTTTAAATAGCTAGGGCTGCAATCGTACACAACTACCGGGGAGTAAGTCCTACTGAACTCAAGGCACTTACTTCTCAGTAGACATGGATACGATTGTCCTGTAAAGGTAAAATGTTAAAAGGTAGCTTTGCATTCAAAATAAGGCTTTGAATATTAGGTTTCTTTTCCAAGGATCATATTTAAAAATATATGGCTGGTTCAGAAAATGTGTAGCATGCAAGGAAATGCACAGCGATTGTTAAAACATATATAGAAATATTACAATCTCTTAAAATTAGCACAACTCTGTACTTACCAACAAATTGGGCAGCACACTCAGGGAACACTGGGATAGTGAAATGGGTCTATAACAGGTGTCTAAAGCATGGCACAGTTGGCACCTCTGGAATACCAGGTGGAGAGCAGTCCGTGAGATGGGCAGCACCGTGGAAAAAGCCTGCCCTGGTGGCTGCAGGAGTTTGATCCGACTTCTCTGTACTCTGCTTATTCCCAGTACAGGATGGCACACAGTACATAGCAGATCCTGGTACAACCAACAAGGTACAATCAACAAGATACTGATGCTTGCACAGGTTTTCCAGGTATCCTGGTCCCAAGCTGTACACAGTTTTATATGCTAACAGCAAGATCTTGACCTTGGATCAGCAGGGATAGCTAGCCAATCCAGTTGCTTTTGTGGTGGTGTAATACATGCATGGCCAAACACTCCATACAGCATCCTTTTCTTTTCTTTTATAACTTTTCTTTTATAACTTCTTTTATATCGTTTATATTTTTTATTTATTTTATATTATTAATTTTAATTTATATTGTTATTTTTGTATTGTATTGTATTGTGTTGTAAGCCTCCCCGAGGCTTCGGCAAGGGGCGGCATAGAAATGTTCTAATAATAATAATAATCCTAGTTGCTATATTCTGCACTAGCTTCTGTTCAAAACAAGCATGAGGGTAGTCCCACATCAAGTGCAACAGAATAATCTAAGCATGAGATTACCCATGCATGGACTCCAGTGGCATCTTAATACTCTGCACAAAACTGATATGTCAACATCTGTAGCTGTTTCTTGCTACATAAGCCACTTGGGCCTCTAAAGATAATGGGGAATCCAGGAACACCTCCCCCCCCCCCCGCGATGTGCCATGCAACCCCCTTTAGAAGAGGCAAACTCTGTCGTTCCCAGACTTGGCAACCTCCCAGTCTCCATCTTTTCAAGATTGAGCCAGTTTATAAGCGGCATACATCCCATTCCTGCATCCGGGCACCAGTGCAGAACACCCCTCGCCTCTCCTGATTCCGGTGTTTGAGAGCTGGGTGTAGCAAGCCAAAAAGCAGCAGCCATGGCCAGGCAGAAGGAAGGCACAGGCCTCCAGGCCAGCACCATTCACAGTTGTGTAGGAGCAGAAATTCCAGTAGGAACAACCAACATATGCACTCAGCCACTTTTTTTTTTTTACTTTCTTCAGAGCTAGAATAATTTGCTGTGGAAACAAAACAATATCCATATACTAAGTTAATGAGACTGAAATAAGGCTGATAATACTGGCTACGTTCCAACAGAACTTTGGCTGAACAAATGTACTTAAACGATACAGATCTTTATGCCCCAATCAAGTCGCTTTATTTATTGTAGCTGGTAAAGATTAAAGGCACTCACAATTGCTGTAAACTCTGCACATGATGAATTGATTTCATTGGCATGTCCAACGTTGCGTATCTCTTCTGATAAATTGTAAAACTCTATGGTCCTGTGCAATAAAATTGACCTAAGAGCTATGAGTCATCCAAAAGAGCCATGCTGGGCCAGACCAATAGTCCATTCAGTCCAGCATGGCCCGCAGCCCCCCCCCCCCCCCCCCCGCAGGATGGGTGCAAGACCTCCGCCTGCCCAAGCTCCCCAGCAACTAGTGTTCGCAGGCAGGCTGCCTTTGAGAATGGAGACAGGACGTAGCCAGTGAGGGAAGCGGTCTTGGATAGCCTCCCCCTCCAAGAATTTGTCCAATCCCCTTTTCAAACCATCCTGATTGGTGGCCATCACGACTGCTGGCGGCAGGGGATTCTACATAGTTAATTAGTGGAGGAGCCCTTCCTTTCATCCCACCAATCAGCTTCTAGGGATGACCTTGGGCTCCAGCATTATGGGGCAGGAAGAAACACGTCTCCCCCTCCACTGATATTTACTTATTTAGCACTTTTGTATATGGTCTCATAGCCACATGGCTCTCTAGACGGTTTACATAATAAAAACCCAACAATAAAATATCGTAAGTAACACACTTAAATGCAATTAAAACCACACTATCAATAATAAATAACATAACATCATAGCAGAAACACTAAATAATAGTTTAACAGCGGATTGGAATTATCTTAAATGTCATAATTAAGAACACTAAAAATTGCATTAAAATCAAATTCCAACTAAAATAATCAACAATTAAAATACTCATTGAATAAAAATGGCACAAGGACACAAATGGATTGATCAGCTCGGGCTGATTCACCAACAATGGCCTTATTGGGACAGGCAGAGCCTGGCCACAGTTGTCCATGCTCTGGTAACTTCTCGTCTGGACTGCTGCAATGCTCTCCATGTGGGGCTGCCTTTCAAAACAATCCAGAAATGTCAACTGATTCAGAATAGGGCAGCACACCTACTAACAAGGCTTGGCGCACAAGCTCATATCATGCCAATCCTGTGTTGGCTGCACTGGCTGCCAGCTGAAGTCCAGGCCCAATTCAAAGTGCTTGTTTTAACCTTTAAAGCCCTAAATGGCTTAGGGTCAGGAGATCTGAAGGATTGCCTCCGCCCATATGTTCCTACCCATCCAGTGACAAGAGTCCTTCTCAGGGAAGCTCCCACTAAAGAAGGGGGGCATGGTAAATGGGAGAAGGGCCTTTGCAGTGGTGGCATCCCTTCTCTGGGATATGCTCCCCACTCCTGGTGCCATTGTGATTATCCTTTCAGTGCTAGGCAAAAACCTTTTTATTCACAAGATACTTAAAAATGAATGGATGGAACATTTTGGATATTTATATTTTAATATAGTTATTGTTGCTGCTGTATTGTGGGGATACCTTTTTATATGGAGTTATTGCTACTTGGTATTGTTCTTAGCGCCCCATGTTTTGTTTGGGTATTTTATTTTTTGTATATAGAGTTTTAATGTTTGTAAACCACCCAGAGAGCCCTGTGGATTATCGGGGCAGTATATAAATGCAATAAATAAATAGATAAATAAATGTCCCCCAAATGAGATTTAGGATGGAAAAGATGACAGGGCTCTGAGGGGGCCAGGTATCTCCTTTACAGAGCACAATCCTCTAACTGGGGGTGTCCCTCTGCCCTAAAGGGTGTCCAGGTCCAGTTTAAAGAAAAATGGCCTCCTAAGAAGGGGAAGCAGGTGGGGGCTTGACATTTCCCATCAACACGTAGCAACTGGGTGGCTGATTGAGAAGACACACAGGTCATCTATTCACAGTCTTCACCACGACGGTGAGATATTGCATTTCAGTTTTAACTATGGGAATTCTAAATACGCATCTATGCATACAAATTAGCACGTGCAAACTGTTGTCCTCTTTTGGTCTGTGACGCATTCCCCCCTTTTCAACCAGGAGCAAGCGGCCACCCTATGGCACGCCTGAGCCTTTAATAACGGTCCAGAAGAGAGAATTTTGGTGGGTGTAGCTTGTCATGAAAGCGACATCTACGAAAGCTCCCTCTTCTACACAAATGTGGAGCAGAAAATAAAGAGAACTCCGGGTTTGGCTGCTCTGCGATGCTCTCCTTTTAACCTTCAGCTGTCAAGCGGAATTGCATTCCTGCAGCCTCGTCAGTGGAGAAAGGGTGACTTGTTTCTGTGTCATGCATCAAGCTGCTTGGCTGGAGGCCAGGATCCGCCAGAAAGTCAGGCCTGTGTCCTTGACGCAGGTGCATATATAGGCAGCGTCTGCTCTCCATTCTGAAACCTACAATCTTATTTATAGCTGGAGTCCGAGACAGAGAAATCACTTCTTAAAACATAATTTAAGTGAGGACATTTCAAAACACTGGATGCTGTTTTTAAACTGTTATTGCTCCAACACAAGGTCAGAGGCAAGCAGGATTTTAAACATATCCATGAAGATTTGCTGCAAACTTTAAGAAGGCGATCAAGTATGATACATGGAGCATATTCTAAGGGCAGAACTAAATAGGATGGTGCAATTTTTAGATGCTGCTAAAAGTGGAAGGCTTGTGTCAAGCCGTCCCTCTTCTCTCTCTCTACAGTGTGTACCTACAGAAACATGCGAGTTGGCATTATTGCGTCATGGTCCCTGACCCCACACGTCAGACTGGAGCCAACCTTGTGGAACAAAACATGGATGACCAGGCGTTACCATGTTATTTGAAGCATGGCAGAGGATTGGTCTTTTCAGCACCTGTGTGTGTTCCTCATTGTAGGAAATTCTAGCCAAAGCAAGTGAGCTCTGAAAGAGCACACTTTTCAGAACTCGCGTGCAGAACCTGCATCAAAGGCCCACACCCAGCAAGAGCCCCTTGGCCCCGTGGTTCCTCTCCCCCATTGCAGCCCGCCTGTTCACCCTGCTTTCTCTTGGAAGCGGACAACAGTGGTGCTGCGGAGGAGCAAGAGAGGCCACTGCCCAACTACCCATTTCCTATTTGCCTAGCAAGCAAGTTGGCGTTACCAGTGAGGAGGAGCAAATGGCGCCGGAGCTGGTGAGACAGCCAGCTCCCCCGAGAAGCCCCTGCACGGAGGGTGCTTGCCCAAGGGCCCTCCGAAGGCCAGAGCCTGCCCTGCTTGGGCCAACATTTGAGCCTACCAATACCGGGGCACAGATAGCATGTTACCACGCCTGGCGTTCTCCCTGGCCAGCCTTTTCCTTCTCCCACAGCACAGTGCTGTGCCTCCAGTCCCGAAGTCCTCAGAACTGCGCCCCAACCGAGGCTATACGTGACTGGACAGGTGCAGCTCAGCAGCTGGCAGCCTACTGCAAATCACCCAGCGGATCACAGACAGCCACCTGCCTATCTTCACATGCAATGCTTTACGCAGAGAAAACATAAAAATAAACACAGCCTTGCCTGCAGGCTTTCAACTGAGACAGTACAGGGAAGAGAGGCAAGGGACAAAAATAGGCTGGCTGCTCATGCAGGGCTCAGAGAGAAATGCAGCACCACAATGGGGGACAAAAGAGGATGCAGATTTGCAGCAAAATTGCATACGCTCATGCATCTGAGTTTAGAAATTCCCTGTATAGTTTTTGTAATTCATCTTACCCTAGTGAGCAAGACTGTGACCAGGTGATGTGCATGCTTGCTTAGTCTACTGTCCAGGTGTTCGCTGTCAACAGGCAGCTTCAAGGTCCCTCCCTAATCTCCCTTCCTAGAATTCTTTATCTTTATGCCAAACTTAGACAGGAGAACCCTGCAAAGAAAGAATGCTTTCAAGGAGCAGTTCCTTGTAAATTGTAAATGAAGACACTATCTGGCAATGGAGTGGGGTGGGAAGAGTGATTTAGTTCCCCTGGGAGGGAAGCAGAGAAATGGGGAGCATGCAAGAAACCTTCCAGATTTGATTGCCTCTGCATTTCGTGGCTGCTCGAGTCTGGCGCTGTGTCCAGCAAAAGCTGGCAGGGGTCTGACTTCCTCTTGCAGTACTCCACATGCCAGCTCCCCCAGACAGCCCACACACACTTCATGCGAAGTTCTCCATCAACCACGACTGATCGTGCGTTTTTACTCATGTCTTCTCACAGTCACACTGAATTCGGTGGGGCTTAGTCCCTGCTAAGTGGTGACAGGATTGTCGCCTGTATGTTGTTATAGGACTGCAGCTGATGACGTGCTTTGCTTTTTTCTTCTTTTTTTTAAATCAGGGTTACTAAACAGGGCATAACATATGAGGAATGTGAAACTGGTGGTAAAGCATGGAGTGGTGGGGAGGAGAAAGGGAAACATTCGTGTGGACTTCACAACCGGAGTAATACATGCACCGTACCTAAGGAGGTGGCAGAAAACCATCCTGTCCAGGGTTTATGATGACCACGCTGTATCACTACTGGTGCAAAAGCGGGCAATTTTTCCTTATTTTGAGGGCTACACTCAGAGGCAATCTCTTGCAGAGCATCAGCTGGCCGTGGGTGGAGACAGAGTCACACCTCTTTCTCTCCACTCCAAGGTCATCATGGCTCCACACTCTTTCCCTCCCTCTCATGAATCTCAGAAGAAGAAGAAGAGTGTGGGGCAGAGGGGGTGGCAAAGGTCTTAGAAGAGAAAGACAGGCAGCATGCACTGCGCTCCCTCCAAGTCACGGTGGGGCTGCTGCAAGGCCACAGGGGCTAGCCCCACCCACCGCTGTCGCCATGGACAGCTGCCACCCCGCTCACCTCTGCACCAGACCACTGGCAGTTTGAAGTTCAGAGGCAGCGGCTCTTTGCACCGACCACAGAAAGCAAGAAAATTCCCCGGCCGGTCAGGGCCCCTCCTCACTTCCAGGAGCATACTGAGGATCCTTTCAGACAACCACAGGCAGGGCTACCCTGCAGTGCCCTTCATGTGTGCATTTGGTTTGGACAGAAGTGTGCAGGGTGGCAATGACTTGAAGTTTAAAAATATCACCACCCACACTCCTTATATGCCCCTTCATGCTCACGCCCACCTCACCGGCACACACATGCACACATTCTCTCTTCCCCTTCCTCTCTCCCTCCCAACTTTTCCTAGCCGTAAAGGCCAAGGGCTTGCCACCTCCCTGGGTGCCTCCATGCCACCCTTCATTAGCCATCATACATGCATTTCCAAGCTTACCAGCATTTTCTTTTAAGAAATCAGATGTTCTCCAGATGTTGTACCCAGTATTCGTGTCTGCACCTCAGAAACTCACAGTGCATGTCTGCTCAGAAGCAAGTCCCTCTGGGTTCAAGGAAATTTATTTCCAGAAAAGTGTACTTAGGACTGCAGGCTGGATCAAAGAATTTATGATGTCCTGGGTAGGCCTCAGTTGTACTGATGTAAGGGATGAGAGGATTGAAGGGATAACAGGGCATGATGGGACCCAGTGACTAACCAATGCAATTCAAGTTAATTAGGTGGAAGAATCCATTGTGTAAAGAGGGCAGAATTTATTAAAAATGCTAGGAAACTCAGCCATTCCATTGTGATGTGGCCCAGAAAGGGCCCTGTTGGGATGCCATGTGTGGCAGAAGTTATTCCAGGACCTCTTAACTGCTCTCAAGAGGCAGAAGAGTTCTTCTTTTTATTTTTTTTTTAAATGTAACAAAACAAAACAAAGAAGAGGTCTTCTAAGCAAGGGCTCATGTCCAAACAAAGTGGAACGGAAAGCAATTCAGTGCTTCAACCTCAGTACTCTTTCACCAGATCCTCAGCACCCAGGCACAGTAGCCTCTGCTGGGCGCATTCAGCTTGCAAGCGAGCCTCGGGTTCAGGATCCCAGCAGTCCTCTAGGATCTCTTGTAAGAAAGCCACCTAGGAGAAAGCACCAACAAAGAGGAGCAGCTGTCAAGAGGAACCAGAGCACAGGGCATCAGGCAGGCAGATGTGGAAGAAAATGGGGCTCCTGCAACATTCGTTGCTGAGCAGAAGAGGGATTTCAGCAAGAATCACTGTCTACGGGAATGCTTTCTTCTGCAGAACTGCTCAAGGTGTAGGAACACTGTCCTCTTTAGCATTTGGCCACCATAGCCAGGACACCAACCCTGGAACAAAGGCCAAGCAGCCATTTATGTTCCAGCCCAAGAGGCGGAATACTAACTTTAGGCAAGCTTGTAAACCACCACTTGACTAGCACATGTCAGCCTCTGGGAGGCACCCAACACCACCCGAAGCCATTTTGCTGACCCAGGTAGAGCATGTTTGTGTACTCCCACTTTCTCCTCCTTTACACCCTTCCGGAAACTCAACTTTTCCATTAAGTCTTTGGCTTTGCTTCCTTATGCCCAGTTGTATGCAATCCTACAGATGTGTAACTACATCTGATCACAGTAATCTCTTGCTAACTCTCACCTTTCTCAGTCTCCCATCCCATCCCATCCCATCCCATCCCATCCCAATCTTGGATTCCCCATTGTCAACATTTTGACTGCTTTTCTTCCAAGAGTTTCATAAGTAAGTAACTGTCTTTTTTCTACTAGAACTCTGTAAAGTACCAAATACATGGATGGGGATGTATGAATTAATATTCCTAGCCGCTAGGCAACCAGGGAAGGCTTTTGTAAATCACAAGAAAGGTTTGATGTTGTCTTCAGGCCACCAGTTTGCCACAAATAGCTGACATAGATCTGTGTGAACAGCCAAGCTAATTTTTTTTTTTTCTTTTCACATATGAGCTAGTAACATATGTGGGCAAATTTGCAAAACTGTTATCAGCTGTGAGAAATGACAAATACATTTATTTATAACATTTCTGTCCACCCCTCCCTCCCACTGCTCAATCATTCCTCAACTAGAACACTACACTGGATCATCAAGATGCTTTTCTCTTTCACTTTCTCATCCACCAGTGTAGCTCTGGCAGTTCACCTTGCACAACAGAGCATGAAGATGCATCTGGGATATATAGATACATAATATACATGCTGTTGCTACTGTCAAAGCTGAAATGAACTTTTGAAGAATTTTCAAAAGTCGGGAGCATTTCAGTTTCTACATTCCAATTCACCACCTGATTTTTAGGCCCATAAACTGAAATTTGCTTGATTGATTTTGCCACTAAACTAGAGAAGCTGAGAAAAGCATGAAAGAGCACCATAAGCTGATTTTATCTTTTGTATACTCTTATTAATCAGTAGGTCCCAACTTTTGTTGTAGTGAGAATGGGACTACCCTGTTGCACATGACAGATGAAACTTTGCCATTGGAATATAAAAAGCAAAATAATTGAAAGTCATCTAATGTTTAAGAGAAACCTTTCTTTTTTAGGATACCCAAAAACATCATTAGGTCTTTGAAATATTTAACACTGCAATCCCATGTATGTCCACTCAGAAGGAAGTCCCATTAACTTTAGTGGAGTTTACTCTCAGGTAAGTGAATATAAGACTGTGGACTAAACAGACTTTAGAGCCAAATTAGCCTTTACAGGCAAACAAGCTTAACTTGTTTTACATGAAAACACTTGCCCTCATTGTTCCCTTGCTCAAACTCCCAGCCTCCTCTGACCGCTTTTGTTAGTTTTTTGTCCTTAATGTAAAAAGACTGCTATATATATGTCTAAAGTGTAATGTCAGCTTAGCCATAGATTCAATCACATCTGTATGTCTTACGCTACTCCTCCGACATTCCATCAGTTTTATGTGAATTATGTGGGTTTTTCTTTTAGAGTGTATTGCTGTTTCATTTTAATCATTTAAAAGAGAAACTCAGTTGATTAATTACTTGATTGGATACAAGTCAAGTAGATAAAAGTATTTCTAAGTGTTTAATTGATCAAGACTGTAAATTGGACCCTTCTCAGTGGCAAAGGACCTTCATTGTGCCATCTTGCATATATCTACTCAGAGAAAGCAACTCCCATGGAATTCAATTGGGCTGACATCCAGGTAAGTGGCTTCAGGATGACTCTCTGACTTACATGCCCAAATCTTCTCCAGGATGCTGGAATAGCTGGTCTCCCCCTTTCCTCCACAGCCAGCTTCCGCAGCTCACTGTACGAAGGGTTGCTGCCCAGCTCTGCTTCATAAGCCAGCTGGAACTCAGGGATACTATTCTCTGGAAAGGCAGAAAGGGACAAGTTTGGAGGAGGGGCAGGGCTTGTGCATGGCAGGTCTGTCGCACCATAGTGCTGCCCCCGCAGCCTGCTCCTCCACTTCATAGCTAAGCCTAACCTATGTGTTATGCAAGGGATCTCCTCATACATCCACCCCAAACTCCCACCTGCTTAGCGCCGTGCATCTGTCTCTCTCCTGCTTTGCATGCATGCGTGGAGGAAAGGCAGTGTGTGTGCTCTGGTGTGTTTGTAGATGGGGAAGAGGGCAAGAGGGGTCCAGACCATGCTCTTGCTGGGTCTGCCGCCAGCCACCACCATCCTGTGCTCTCTGATTCACAGCCACATGTGGCCTTCAGGAGCAAAACCGTTCCCCATTGCTGGTGCAGACAGTATGGATGTAGGTGGACCACATGTCCAATGTGGTATAAAGCAGCTTTTAACGTCCCTAGGAGAACCAGGCAGCTTTCCACAAGGCCCTTTACTAAACTTCATGCCAGATCCTTGGGGGAAATGTAAATGGCAGGCTGCATGCCACTCCCTGGAGCACCATAACAGTGGGGCTCTGGGCAAGTGTCCCCAGCGGGCTCTGCCAGGCATCGGGGCACTAGCAGCTGCCACAACATACTGGATGCTAGCCATGTTGCTACTCAAACACTGGCTGGCAGATTGTCTTGGTTTACAAAGGACAGTCTTCTGTTTGAAGTAGACAGTCCTCTATTTTGAAGGTGTCCTCTGTCTGAAGGACTGTCCAAGCTTGGTTTAAAAGTTAAATCATTAAAAAGGATAGCAGGAGTGCTGATCTTTCCCAGCAAATTATTGCCTGGACTGCAGACAAAAAAATTGTATCCAATATTAGTCTAACTCAGGGGTCTCAAACTCGCGGCCCGCGGGCCCATTGTCGGGCCGGGCACGGGGGAGGGGCCCTGTGGCCTTCAAAGCGCCAGCGGCGCCCGGGCCGGCCTCCGGATGAGCGGCCCACCACCCCCGCAGTGGTGGGATACTCGATGCGGCCCAGCCTCACCCAGCCTCTACTTCCAGCAGCCCCCAGGTCAGTTGAGTTTGAGACCCCTGGTCTAACCGATGTATCATTCATTTTAATGGGTCTACTCTAAGTATAGCTAAGACTGGAGAAAACTCAGAGCAGACACAGGTGACTTATTCACAGCCTTTCCATTATAGCAAGATACATTTATTTCTATTTATAGTTTCTATTTCCAAATTTTAATACATCAACGTAACTTAAATGCAAAATGTTACTCAGATCTGAGTCTGCCTTTGCAGTCCTTTTGGCGACACACTGGCCTTCTTTTCCCTTTTTTAAGGTAATGCCTAAGCAGCAGCTGTCTTAGTTCTCCTGCAAAGCAGGTGACTCACACAAGCCTGCTGACTAGGGTAATTCTCAAGGCAAAGTTTGGAGAGGCCTCTTGCCAGAAGCAATTCAGAAGAGAAAGCGAGATGGAGGTAGGAGTAGGGAAGCCGTATAAAAGCGGGAGAGCGTGCTGCTATGAAGCGCAGAGATACTTATCGAGATAATATGCCAGAATCCCAGAAGCAACTCGGCTCCACCCCAGCAAGCTGAGTATATGAGCAAAAGTACTCCCACAGCAGGCCATGCCCCAGGATTGCCACCAGGTGGTAGCATAACCCACTCCATCGCCCACCGGTGCAGAAATAACGATCCTGATCGACTGCATTTGGCAGGGAACTAGAGTAGAACCGCAGAGACAGACACAGGAGCATCTGCGAATAGCTGCCACACAGCCCAGGCCAATCCACACCACAATGTGCCGCGAACAGATGCTCAGGATAGTGCCAGCAAATTAGATAGCCAGGATGAGGCAAGGAAGCTTTCGGGGCTTAATAGGGTACATTCCATGGGGCCTTTTTGCACTTCCCCTGCATGGCAGATGGAAGGGCAGTAGGAGAGGAGATGCCATCACTGTCAGAGTTCCTGCATCTCGCTACTTGCTGATTTGTGGCAGCTGTGCAAAGAGAAGATGCCAGCCTCTAGAACAGTCTTGCTTTATTATTGCTTATTGAACAACAAAGCAAAAATATGCGTTGACAAACAGGAATTGTATGTTGTGAAAAAGGTGGCTTCCTTTGCTTTTGAAATGATGTGTATGCATCCAACATAATTTCTGGAGGATGCGCTGCATCATTTTTCCTGAGGATCATGAAATTAGAACTGTGTTTGTTTTTGTACAGGGTACAAAATTATCCTGTACAAGCCCATTGGATTCACAAGCCAGTGCTAGATGCAACAGGCAGAGAAACAAAATCAAAGCTGTATTTGCTGCCAGCCAACAACACCTCACCAGCACCTTCCTGCAGAATCCAGCAAACTGCCCACCCAGCAGTTTGGAACCCACGGGCGGGGGGGAGTGGTGGCTGGTACTGAGAGCAGCAGGTCTTGAGTGAATAAAGTCCTTATTGTCAAGCAGATGCCCTTCCTTCTCCCTGGACAGGTTTCCACCAAAGAGACAAATGAGACTATATTTGCTTACCAAGGACAGAGGTGAGGACTAGGTGAAGCATTGTGTGGATGTTTGTGTAAACATGGAAAGGGGAAGCTAGTTCTGCAGCCTTCAGATACCTTTCAAAAGCTATTGCAAAAGCCGGATGAGTAGGTGGCCTTTAACTGGTGATCAAAGCTAGCTGAGCAGGTTTGAATGAATTCTTAAGGTGTCCTAGTCCTGCAGACAAGCTGCCTGGGACCAATTCAGACAAGCACACAGATGTTGCTTTGGGGCAATCACTTATCCCAACCATTAACAAAAGCTTGTTACCTCAGCCATTTTTCATCCACAGAGAGCAAACTGTTTACAGAATGTGCTTGACTGGTAAGAGGTATGGTGCACTGGGGTGCCAGTGACAATCAGGTGGGGAACTTTGGGTCCATAGGCCCTCCCCGTCTCCCCCACAGGCCTCTTCTGTCAAACCCTGCCCCCTCTGTAGTCTTGCCCCCCTCCACTTTTTCTACACTACTCTGGGTTGCAAGGGGGAAATGTGGGGGAGCTATTTTCCTTCTGCTTAGCTTGAAGAAGAACATGCAGAGATGTCCTGGGAATAATATAATTCCCAGTACTGGAGGGTGAGGCAGCAGTTAAACTGGCATAAACCCAGTATGTTTCTCCTGAGGACCCATCTTTAGTAACAGTGACAAAATGGATTATAATCTGTGTCTTGCCCCTCACCAAGGCAGGCCAGGAACTAGGATAAGGAAGCTGTCGATCTTGGAGTTTGCAAGGAAACTGTGGTGGCCTCTCCCCGCCCCCTGCCCCGCCTTGCTCACCTGGGAAGAGTGCAGAGCATCGCATCAGGATTTCCCATAGCACCAGGGCAAGGGAGTAGACATCCGCCTGCCTCAGTGCGGAGCTTAAGTCCTGCAGGTTCAGCGTTTCATCCAAAATTTCAGGAGCGATGTAGCGTGGGGCCCCCACCTAGGGGAAATGTGGGTGAGTGACACACGCTGCCTGGAATGGGATGGTTAAGCTCCAGGGCTGGTACAGTCTACCCTGCTCTAGCCTCAGCTGAAGCTGGACTCCTGGAGCCAGCGTGAGGCGGAGAAGCCGGTGCAGGCCCACGCGCAGGGGGCTGGCCCAGAAGCAGAGCCATGTGACTTGAAGTCCCTGCTGGAACAAAGTTCACTGAGAGCCCCTGGACCAGGTGTATACGCGGGTTCTTTTACCTCATGGGGCATTGTGAGGACTGCCCAGGGCTGCTTGCAGGAAATAGGCTATATCAATACACCCCCCCCCCCAGTGACCTGGACACATTGAGCAAAGTTGTATGCTTGGCAGTACTTTTTTTCTGTTTGCCCTATCTATGCTGAGAGAGGAGACATTTTGCACTGCAACCAGACCCTTTTGCCCTCGTGCACAGCCTTATGGAGCCATTTTGCTTCTCTCAGGAGAACCACCTTGGCTTAGATCCAGGCTGACTGTGAAATCCTATAATGCCTATTCAGAAGTAAGACCTAGAGATTAAATGCACTTTCTCCCAGGTAAGCATCTACAGCATGTTACCACCTGGGCCATGATCCCCCTTGCCAGGCCCATCCCCACAGTCTCCCCACTTTGCCCCACCACTTCCCTGTCTCAACAAAAAGAGCAGAGCCGCCAGGGGAAATGGGCATGACAGGCTGGAAGAACTAGGCTGGGCAGCAGGAGGCGAGGAAGGAAATGGAGAATCAAGCCTAATCTTCCTGGTAATCTATCCTCACATCCCACATGTTGCTCAACCATGAAGTGAGAGGTGGGGTGAGACAGAGACAGAACACCTGTACAAATGCCCTGCCTGCTTTTGCCTCTGACTCCACTCAGCACAGCAACACACCCCATCTCACTGGAGTTTGGACCAGGGTAAATGCAGCTCCCAGGTTCAAAACTGGATTGAACCCAATGCTTTAAAGTTATAAACCACAGAGATCTTCCACACTCAAATACTGCAGTGTTGCTGTCCACTCCTCTCTTTTTTGGATTGAGTATGAAACATCTCTGTACCATGTTAATGTACATATTTCTGTGTAACACACAAGGTGGGAGTTGTAAGTTCTCCGTAACTGTGTTAGCTGACACCAACCCCATCATGTGAGGAGGGCAGTTCATGGGGGGGAAAGCACCTCTGCCTGGAGAATGAAGTGGCATCTCAGAATGCAGTATGAGCGCCTCTGTTTCAAGTATTTCTCACTATCAGGCTGTAGCCATCCTGTCTAGAAAGTTGCTATTAGTTGTTCATTGCAAATGAGGAAATGCAGAGTATTCATGGCAGTGACTAGGGCACATCGAAGGAAGAGAAATTGTCCCACAGCCTGCTCTGCAGAACTTCCAAGCCAGCATTCCCAGGAAGGGGATGCGATACACCTCTCTCTCCCCTCAGCCAGATTCCAGGTATCAGGGCACGGAGCAGCAGAGGGCGACTGCCGCCATCCACTGCCACCTTCCCCAGGCTCAGTTATCCCCAGACCGTGGTGGTGCCCCTCTCCAGCCTGCTTCTCATTCCACTCCACCCGCTTCAGTGACGCACCTTGTGAATGATGCCTTCTGCAGGGCCCTCCCTCCATCGCTCATGGTGCACGGGCAGAGTCATGGCGAGGCCAAAGTCAGTGATGGCACAAGTCCTGTCTTCCCGCACCAGCACGTTCTGGCTGCTCAGGTCTCGGTGTGCCACCCCCGGTTTATGCAGACCTAGCACCAAAGGGGAGAGTGTCAGTGACATGGCAGGCTCTGCCTAGCCCAGCATAGGCTTCCCATCTGCGGGGTGGACAGAGCAGAGGACTCGGCAGAACACCTGCCCCACATGTCTGAGATTCCAGCGCAAGTGGGGAGACCTCAGGTAGTGACGATGGGAAAGGGTTAGGGTTGGCCAGCCAGAGGAAAGTGCTGCCCTCCAGATGCCGCCAAGCTACGACCCCCATCATCCCTGCCTGTTAGCCACACTGAAGCAAAATGTTCAGTCAGTGCAAGGGATAGCAGTGGTTGTTTCACGGGAACACTCAGAAACAGACATGCAGGCACCAAGGATACCAAGTAATCAACATCACCAATGCGAAGACAAAATATTACATCAGTCCCTATATTGTACTAAGGTTCTATATGACTAACATCAGCTTGAAAAGGAACGTGTTTTGAAATGGACTTTACCAGTATTGTGTTGCTGATGATATCTATATGTAAGTGGCACATCTACAATTTGGCTTTTTTTTGGCTGGGGTAGGTTCCTTTCTGCCAAGGTTGTATCTGAAAAGGCTGCAACTTCCAATCAAAGAAGATGGGTTTTGGTTTTCCGGTTCCTGCCTTTTCTCATTGAGCTTATCTGTTGACTTGGACAGAATTTTGGTCTTTTCTGTCTGCATCAGATCTCCTGCTCTTTTCAGTTCTGGATTTCAGTTCCTCTCTCGAAATGGATGGTGTTAGGAACTAGGCATACGAGAACAGAGAGGGTTCCTCCCACCATTTCTACAGTGAGAGCTGGTGCCATATAGTGTCACATCAATGACACTTCCATTTATTGACTTTGAGAACAATCCTATGGCCTCCCAACATTGCCTGGGAAGGGGGCATAGGATTATTCAGAATCCCAGAATCATATGGCAACCTCAGAGCTGGGGCTTCAAACAAGCCAGCCTCCCCTGCCACACACACAGACATGCAGCTGGTGTGGGAAGAATCCTGCCCGCTCCCTCTCCGCAGTCAGCAATTAGCCCCAGAGAGAAGGGAAAAGGGTGGGGCAAACAGGTATCCAGTGGCACCCCAGCCTCATTTCCTCTGCCTCTCTGACACTTCATCCACACAGCGGAAAATGGCTCTTTTGAGGAGGTGCAGGATGGAGCAAAGCACTACCTTGTGCTGTGTAGAGGTCACTGGATTGTGCCCTTGATGGGATAATTCTGGTCTAGAAATGGGCAAGAAAATGTTTCTGTGGTGGACTTTGGCAGATAAGGGGAATTAAAAAAAAAATGGACCAAGTGGTGACTGCTGCTGCGGAGCTGTCATTTTCTCTCCTGTGCACAAATACAACTTACCAGCTGTGGCTGAACAGTAACACGTGCAATGCAGTATTTGTTACTTTCTAGGTTAGGCCTGGCCACTTTCAGAGCACCAGGGTCCTGCTGCTTATTTGAAGCATGTATCAAGGCTGGCAAGGCAACCTTCAGTCCGTGTGGACAAATAGTTGTTAGCGGTAGATGAATATGACATCCAGGATTCTAAGCAGAAATGGAATAGACACTAGGATTGTCCAGTGTTGCCTGACAATTGGATAGCTGCTTTGACATCTGCACCTCTTGCCTGCGTGCAGCTTAGGCTGCCTTTTACCCAGCAAAATGCTTGTTTGTGTCTAATGGACACAAAACATAAGAACATAAGAACAGCCACGCTGGATCAGAACAACGGTCCAGCACTCCATACACATGGTGGGTGGCAACCAGCTGCCCACGGGATTGCTCAAGCAGGAGGGGCGCTGGACCTCTGCCTGTCCAATTCCTCAGCAAGTGGTGCCTGCAGGCATGCTGCCTCTGGTCAAGGAGGTGGCACGGAGCCAGCAAGACCAGTAGCCACTGAGAGCTGCCACCTCCTCCATGGAGCTCTCCAGTCTCTTTTGAAAGCCATCCAGACTGGGGGGCCATCACCGCTCCCCAGGGCAGCAAATTCCATAGTTCCACAACTATATGCGGTGTGAAGTCCTTCCTTTTCTCTGTCCTAAGCCTCCCACCAACCAGCCTCATGGGATGACCCCAGCGTCAAGTGTTATGGGAGTGCAAGAAAAACATCTCCCTCTCCATTTTCTCCACAGCATGCATTATTTTGAACACCTCTATCTTGCCTCCCTTTACTCACCCTTTTTCTAAGCTAAACAGTCCCAGTTTGTAGCCACTCCTCATAGGGGAGTTACTCCAACCCCCTGATAATTTTTGTTACCCATCTGTGCCCTTTTTGCAGCTCAATAATGTCCTTTTCCAGGCAAGGGGACAATAATGGAACACATTTTCTAAGTGTGGCTGGACCAAAAATTTGTACAAGGGCAGTAAGATCTTAGTAGCTCTATTTTCTATTCTTTTCTTAATTATGCCCAGTGTGGGGTTTGCCTTTTTCACAGCAACTGCACTCTGGGCTGACATTTTCATCAAGCTGTCCACCACTACCCCAAGATCTTTTCTTGCTCAGTCACTACTAGCTCAGATCCCATCAGTGTATACTTAAAGTTGGGATTTTTTGCCCCAACATCGTTTTTGGGAATGTACACTAATTAATTTTTGCAGGAAGGAAGTTATCATATGGATAAACTTAGTATTGAAACAATTTTTCACCCTAATATTTGCTGACGAACATGCTCTTTTAAATTATTCACCTGCTGTGAATGGAAATTAACAGTCAGTGCAAATGGATTCTCTGTGCCCTTGACAGCTAAAAGACTGATAGTGTAACACTGAAAGGATAAATTTTCATCTCCTGTCATGCAATGAATTGAGGATCTTAAAACATTTTCAACATTTGAACAGGTATCATATAGATGCTAATTTATTTGGTGTATTTTTGTTGAAGCCTGTATATAGTTGCTAGTAGGTGGCATTTTCATCTTTATATATTTCTGATGTAGTGATTGCTCTGGATATCTTTACAAATGCATGCATGTGCATTAACCCCCCACCTCAAAATCCAAAGAAATGTGTATCTAAATGTTTATGGTTGCATATCTTGGTACAATGTAGATACAGTTCATGTAATTTTGCTTTTTGCATTGGTGGTATCGATTAAGGTGCTGCTCAGATACCAACAACTAAATCACCAAATCAAATGAATGCAAAAATCAATAGTGCAAGTACAAACCTACAAGAAGAAAACTAGCACATTAAGGGAATGGTCAGAATGAAGCTCATTTTTCAGTGTTATGCTATGAGGAGGCAGGAAGCTTTTTACACAAGAGACCATTCAGACAACCCCCAATTAGCATTCCACATGGATGTGCTGTGTGCTTTTTCTGGGTCCAAAGTCACTCTCCCTCTCATCCTACATTTTCTATTTTGTAGCAAGAAGAAATAAGGAGATGCCCAGGGGGCAGGTAGATTCTTGTCCTTCTTTTGGAATACTGTAGCATAGGGATGACCAGGCTTCAAGCTTTGCAATCTAGTGTGTGTGTGTGTGTGTCCGGTCCGGTCCGGTCCGGTCCTTCCTACAACCCTGCAATCCACCAACCAGAGCCAGGAGCAAAACCTGCCCCCACAACAGCTGTATCTTTTTCTCACAATGTCCCCACACTTACAGCAGAGCAAGGTCTCACAATGGTTTCCCAAGGCAACAGGGCAAAAAGATACAATCTGGAATGCAGGATGAAATCCACAGAATAGCATTTTCTGGTCCTGCAGCATGAATGAACAGCCCAGAGCTGTTCCATGTTGCTGTATTGCTTTGAAATACAAACAGCTCACCATGCCACAGTTAGCTCTGTCCCTTGACAGCAACCACCCGAGAAGCTGGAGATCTGCAAGTCTCTAAACTGTGGCGCCCTCAGACCTACAGCCTCTTACCTTCCTTCCACTGCTCCCCATGTAAGAAAGCAAGGCCCCTGGCAAAGGATGATCCCAGCCGGATGGAAATGTCCCAGGAGCAAACATGCTGTCTGAGAAAATTTCTCAGGGATCCCTGCAAAGGTAACACAACTTGTCTTAGGCCACATGAGTCCTGCTGATCAACACATGGCTTCACCCCTTCCTTGAGGACTGCAGTGGGTAGCAGTGACTCACACCTGCGAATGAATGGTCTCGGCACTGAAGAGGACTGTTGTTGGTGAGAAGCGGGCCTTGGTTGGGATTGCAGTCTTTGACTGGGATTGCATTACTCAACACAAGCTTTCTTTCTCCATCATCTAACATTTCCCTGGAGCAAATTTCAGATAAACTACCCAAGGCCCTGGCATAAGTAAATTAATATCATTGTAGTTTATGATGATAAAGGCAGATTTGGGTTGCAAGATCTGGAATCTTTGACACAGAATAATCATATATTCTAAGCCCATTGACAGGATAATAATGTATTTTTCTTCTAAGATTCAACTCAGAAACGTGGGTCTGAAGTTTGTTTTTTGTAGGGCCTTGGGAAACTGATGAAGGGAGGAATGTGAGCTGGGGAATAAAGATCAGAGGTGAATGACAAAAAGCTGGGCCAGATCCTGATATTCCTACACTTCCCCACTCTAGCACCTGAACTTTCATTAGGCTGTTCATATGTTTAAAATAATTCTATATAGTTTTAAGGTCAAAAAAGGGAAATTGAGAATCTAGTGGTACTAAATTTGTGGGGATTCAAAATCCCTAACTTGGGCATGTGAAATGCACTAAGCCCTGACAATGCTGTGCTTTTAATCCATCAGATAATCATATGCATCACGATATGCAAGAAGGTATTTGCAAAATTATTTGGGTTTGTAGCGCATGGCACTCACCAGTGGGTACAGCGTCAGCACCAAAAGGCCACCCTGTTGCTCAGTTGGTCCTCCACACCCAGCAGCCATGAGCTGGACCACGTTGTCATGTCCCATCAGTGGGAGGCTGTGCACAGCCCACTCTGATGCAAATTGCCGGTAGCAGAAAGGGGGAAAGACCTTGATGGCTACAGGCTGCTGGTGGAAGGTCCCTTGCCACACTTTGGAGAACTGCCCATTATGGAGAACCTTTGGGCAAAATAGATAGGGTGATGGTTAGATCCATCTTCCTAAATATGGGTACCCAACCCCTCTCTTGAGTCTGTAGCCTTGCTCAGACTCTTAAGCTAGTTTAACAGCAAAACAATTCTGGGAAATGTAGTTTTGTGCTTGCTCTCACAATGTTCTTGAGTTCACTCATTTATAGAAGCCGGATTTTGTACACATCTGCATAGGTGAAGCTGAAACTGGCCTCTGTTGAAATTGGTCTAAAGTTGTGTGGGCCAGAATATATATGAGGTTTAAAAATGGCTGTCTGCTCTCTATAGCAGATCAACCTTCACATGCAGCAGAGTAAAGTGCAGATACCCAGAAGTGCTTTCTTCCCTGTTGGGGCTGATCAGGTACACCTGACAAGTCTTCTCCCCTGTAAACATGAAGAGTGTTTCATGGCACTACTTTCATTTTGCAGCCACTCTACTTTTTCTATTGCTTCTTCCATATTTTCTTCTTTCCACAAAAAAGCGGGGCGGGGGAGCAAAACTTAAAACCAAATCAGTCTAGGAGGGGAAAAACAGAACAGCTGCACAAAACTGCTTGATGAGTAGAACTAGGAGCCCTTGCAACTGAAAGCACCTGAAGGAAAAAGGAAATTACAAAGCAAGAGTGCTGAGCCTGATGTTAGCCATCATACAGAAAACCAAGGGGAGCAATTAGGAGTAATGGAAATGAGAATTCTGCCCAATGTCAGTACCATGTTTATATTAAAAGCAATTAAGAAAGAACCTTTTAACATCAGCTGAAGCAGCTCTTGCTTTAGTTAGATTGGTAATGGGTATGTAAAACCTACAGAAGGTGAGAGAGGAGGGATCATTACAAAGGCGTCTTGGCTGCCTTATCTTCCTCATTAAGAATATTAGCACTAGGCAGGAGGCCTGGAATTATTTATGCAAAATCCCTCCCAGTCATACCCCCTTTTATCATGAGATCTGCCATCTCTGAATAAATTTTCTCTTGTCATGCTGGCTGCAGCTCTATTACAGCCTTCCCTAACACTGGACTTTGCAGATGCATTGGACTATGACTCCCAACACCCCCAGCTACTGGATGGGGATTATGGAGGTTGTCATCTGAGTCATCTGGAGGGTGCCAAGTTGGGGAAGGATGCACTGATAGTTCAAAAGTGACAACAAGGAGGTATTTCAGTTGCAATTAGTGGCCCCCAGTTTGCATCAAATATTAGCTGCTTCGGTGAATTTCAGAGAAACACTGCGGGCGAGGTAGGGGAGCAGAAGTGAAGAAGATGGATAAGACCAAGGGCCTGTCGAGTGGCCGGCCAGCTGCCCGCGGGAAACCTCCTCCTCCTGCCCAGCTTCTCCAGCAGGTGGTGTATGTGGACAAACGGCCTCCAGGACCCAAAAAGCTTGCAGCCATCAGGACTGGTAGCCACTGATCTCCTCCATGGCTGTGCATTAATATCACATGCAGAAAGCTGCCGATGCCCTTGGCTTCTCTTGTTCCATTAGTGCTGCTGCTATTTGCCCATGTCCTCTCATCAGAGGGTTTTGTTCTGACAGGTATTCATATCCTGGCAGGAAGATTGCCAAGTGTGGTCTTTGCACACCTTAACATTTGAGATTATGTTGAACATAATGCATCCTCCACACTGACATTTCAAAGAAGAAATTGGTGTATGTGCATACACAGAGTTCTTTGGAAGCAGAAGCATGATGCCCAAAATGCCATTTCCTGGTTGGGTGGCTACTAAGGAAGCCTCTCCCAGGGTTTGGACTATAGTTCCCATCATCCCATCAATGGAGTTGTAGTCCAGACACCTGGAGGATTCCAGACTGGGGGAAGCTGAACTATGGGATGCCCTGATGGATAGGCCTGGGTGAAAGGCCAAGCCAGAATAGGGCTGGGTTGGGGTTGGGAGAGAAGGCTGAGTCACCCGCTGAGGGCTCTGGCTCAAGGTACTGCAAGTGCCTAGAGCAGACAGCAGCTCCAGCAGGAGGTTTGCAGCAGCCAGTGGCTTCTAGTTGGCTCTCTGAAATCACCTGATCCTCAGGATGAAGATTCTGGGCTATAGTGCAACTGTCCCAGGTCAACCTGCTTGCAGTTCCTTCTTTGGAGGTCACCTCTGCTGGCACTAGAAGCCGGAAAACCGTGTCTGCCCCGCAAAGCTCCTGCCCTGGAGAAGGAGGTCAAAGCAAGGCATAGTGCCTCTCAACTGGACATGGGCCTCCCCGGAAGCAGACCGATACCTGCAGAAACTGAAGGTCTGGAAGCTTCTGTCTGGGCACTTTTCTCTTATCCTTTTGCTCTGAGGTTGTGATGACCTTGGTGAGCTCTCCAGCTTCTTCTGGGTTTAGCAGTACTGCAGGAGCTTTCCAGTGCCTTAGAACTAGAAGAGAGAGATTTGCTCCTGCAGCAACGCACACATTTCGGAGTTACTAAAGTCCTGGGTCTAACATAAACTATGCAAGTACTCATATATGCACCTAAACTAGCCTGCTGGTTATGGGGCAATCAAGCTCTACTCCTGTCCAGCAGAAATCCTGCTCAGCCTCCCACACCTATTCACTATGCATTGATCATATATTTTCAAGCCTAGGGTATATTTGAAACGTTAGGGGCTAGAAACTTGCACTTTGAAATAGTAACAATAAAATATAATATCAGTTTCTGTGCTTATACCACAGTACAGCCTGCAGCAACCTGACACACTCAAGATGTCTTGAACTGAAATCCTCAGAATCCCCCTAGCCAGAATCACCATTAGCTATGCTGGCTGGGATGTGAGGGCTTGTAGTTGAACTCATCCTCAGGACACCAAGTTAAGGAAAGCTAGAATACACCACACTTCAGCTTGTGCAGCCAGTGCAGTGTACACTTGCCCACTCTGATCCCTTTCAGCCATGCAAGTGGGGGGCCAGGTTTTGTCTCCTGCAAACAAAAGTGCACATGGACAGCATAACGCAATGCCCATAACACTAGCACAGGGTCAGAGTGTAACTCTGAAAGTATCCAGGTCCGTGGTGCAGAACTTTAGGCCCGGGAATCAAATCCAGCCCTTTGGGGGTTTCCAGTGGGCCATATTCTCTTGCCTTGACCACTAATCATCTTATAGTTTCCCACCCCTTTCCTTCCCCCTTTTGAAAAGTTGAAAACATATCTCATAAGTTTATGGCAGGAACAATTTTAAGCAAATATATGTTAGCACTGTGTCTACTTTTGCCTTCCATCTTTTTTTTTTTTTTTTTTGCTTTTGCCCCTGCCAAATATGGAAATGCGGTCCCCCAAAAAACATTTTTGAATGGAATTTGGCCCTCGGGGTGAGAAAAGGGTCTGCACACCTGCTCTAGGCACTAGCGTGTGACAAATCAAGAACAGGCATTTGCGCATTTGGATGCATCTGTGCAGATTTGGCTTCAGGTTTTGGAAGACCCTTGGGCAAGATTCCCTCAGTTGGCCTTTCTCCCTGAATGGGCTCCCATCCTTGTTGCAGTAACTGGCGCCCCTTCACTTGCCCTCTCCCTCTGGGTGGAATCCACAGGACAGTGCGCACTGCAGCGGAGGTCACTGCTTGCATGTGTGGAGACGGTAAGTGACTGGACAACTGTGGTACGGGAAGGACAGAGTCAGCGAGTCCTGGAGATCAGCAGGGCCCAGGCCGCTGTGTGGGTCTTGGCAGGTGGCCAGTAATGCCTCCCCCTGGCACCAGGTCTGTGCGTTGGCAAAATACAGAATCCCCCACGACCACTCTCGTATCAGGTGCATCCTTGGCAGAGCCAGCCCTTGTTTTAAGGAACTTGCAAAACTTCCCCTTAACTCACAATACCTAGAAAAATCAGAAAACCCAGGAAGAACAGAACAGGGCAGGCTGCGATGATCCAGAAGATCTCACTGGGGCTAGGCAAGGACTCCGCTGCAGAGATAAGACGAGGAGGTCACAAATCCACACAGTGAAATGGGAAATTGCTACAGCTTGTTCCAAGTTTCAGAGGGGAAGAATAATCTCTTGTTACCTACTTCCCACAAAGCAACTGTGTTGGTTTCCAAGGTCTTGGCTCAAAGTCTTGGGCACCCATCCCGCCTGCCCCTCCTCCGCACCTCTAGGTTCTTACGGGCCTCTGGATGTCTGTCTCCGAGACCTCTCTGCCCATCCTTGGCATCAGTTTCCTTCCATCCTCATAGGATGTTCCTCTGATGTTTTAATTAAAATTAAAGGAGGGGAAAGAACATCTGCCTCCCTGCAAGCACCCAGCCACCCCTTCCCCTCTGCACAGCCAACATTCCTGTGTCCTCCCGTTGCTGTCTGATCTTTGAAGGCCACAGTGTGGCACTGCGATGCTGTAGTGCAGCAGGAGGGGGCAAGGCCAGCCCCTGCAGCGAGTCAGCAGGGAGGTCTGGCAGAGCAGAACCCCAGAGTCCCTAATCTGTCCAGACCTGTGCAGCCAGAAAATGGAGCAAATGTGGGAAATGAGGCTGGGGCCTCCGTTCTTACTTCCTCCAGATTTCATGTAGGGCTGAAACAATGGTGAAGATGTGATATGTGACATCTGTGCTTCCCAGCAATGGCTCCTCCCACCAATCCAGCCACCCACACTTAGCCGTTTTGGTCTTAGAGGGCTGATTGAAGACGGTAGTGAGGAAGAAAAAGGGGCAGCAGCAGTGGCTCCATTGCATAGGGCTGAAGCAAGGCTGAAGCAAGAAAAGAGCCATGGGGAAGGGAGACCTTTGTGGTGAGGTCAATACACTCTGCTCCCCAAGTTTTCTTTCATCTGCTGCTTCCCTCCTATCACAACTGGATCAGGTTTTGTACCAAATAGAATCTGCAGGAAGCTTTAGAGCCAGCAAGGGAAGATACTTGCTATGAAGGAAGCTTTGGCTTTGGGGCAGTATCGAAATATATAGGATGATGAGGAGGAGGAGGAGGAGGAGGAGGAGGAGGAGAAAAGCAGACAGGCAGGAAGAAGGAGGCAGAGGTGGATAGCTCTTCTGAGTCCCTGATAACTTTGTTCATAGAACTGAATTCTTAGATCAGTAATAACAACATTATTACAAATCTCATCCTAAGACCAATCTTTTCCGCAAAGCACTTAGCTTAACCCCTTTGATCACATTCATCCCTTGCTGCCTCTCCCTTCCTCTGCTGTTTCTTGTCTCATACTATTTACATTTAGATCGTTAAGTTTTGTGGGAAAGGCCTCCCTGTCTGCAAAGAGCCACGCATGCTATAAATAAATGGGCTCAGATTGCATTTTTTGCAAGGCTGGCTTCAGATTTGCTAATAAAATGCCTAGTCTACTTGTCATCTCTGTCTCATGAGTGTCTCCTGTATCCCTCAGGAGGGGAGAAGAATACCTTACTGTTTAGTTTCTCTAAGAAAGAGCTGCCAATTTCTTATTCATTTGTTTTGGGGGATGTATGTAAATCGACTGTCGCAGGAAAGCCAGACTGGGGATGCTCAGGTTCAAACTCTGCCTTCAGCCCCGAGGCTTGCTGGACACCCTTGAGCATGGCCTAACTTCTTAGCTTAACTTCTCTCCGGGTCTGGTTGTGAAGATAACATGGGGAGTACCATAATCCTGAGCTTCTTGGAGAAGGGTAGTATATAAATATATAAGAAGCATATCAAATACTAACATTAACACACTCCCTGTTCTAAGGCTTTGTGTTAGGGCCATGGCACTCTGCTCAGTCACTGTAACAAGGCCCAGGCAGAAATTTTGGACCTGAATATTTATCAGAGCCAGGTAGGCAAGGTCAGCCCCCTGCCAAGTGCCCACACCACAGCGGGGGGGGGGCACTGATGAGAGCCCTGGAGTTGCTCCCCCTCTTTCCCAGTGCAGCCTGCTAGCTCACCTGCCTTTTGCTTTGGCCCAGATTTCAATTCAATTTTCAATTTCAATTTATATCCTGCCTTTTTCCTACAAAGAGCTCAAGGCAGCTTACATTATTCTCCTCCTCCATCTTATCCCCACAACAACAACCCTGTGAGGTAGGTTGGGCTGAGAGTCTGTGACTGGCCCAAAGTCACCCAGTTGGCTCCATGGCTGAGCGGGGACTAGAACCCAGATCGTCTGAGTCCCAGTCCCATGCTCTTAACCACTACACCACACTGGCTCTCCTGTTGCAGAAGGTGAGGAGGAGGAGGAGGGTCAGGGCCTACATGCCAAGCAAGGAGCAAAAGTAGTTTTCTTGTGCCTTTCGAGCAGCAGCTTGACCTGTAGTGTGTGAGGGCACAGGCAGATCTAGGTCTTCTTCCAGCAGAAGCATCAGTCCTTGCCTCTGGTTTGGACGGGAACTTTAACAAGACCCCCTCAATGGCTCCTCCCTCGGGGAGTCTGCCTTCTCACCACCATATTCAGCAGCTAGTGCTCTTCATCCCAGGCCTGAAGAAGACCATGTTCCTCTGGTGCCCTTTTCCCTGCTTAGTCAAGACCTTAAATCACAACATGTGCCCCTAGTTTCTTCTCCACATCCCCCCACCTCTCTGCATTGTTGCTCCTGAGTTTACTGCATGTTAGGCTGAAAAGCAATATAAAAATACTTTAAGAAATAAAACATGTAAAATAAAGAACAATCCTGGCTTCCTTTTTCCTGCTGAACTAAGAAGAGTACCCTTGAATCCCTATTGCTTGGCCCATGCACTTTACTCTTCCAGGTTGCATGTGCTCTGAGAGTTGCAGCTGCTGAACGTTTCCCATACAAGTTGTAGGGCCATTTGACACCCTATACAGAGCCTAACCACCGCTATACAGAGGAGAACTCAACAGCAAGCAAAGTCCACCCAGGGCTCCCTGGTGGTTGTACCTGCGTGATACCAACAGCTTTGCTGTTTCCGCACTTTACATTTTTAGGTGTATGCCTAAGACGTCGTATCTGTGCATCTGCAAATTGAGGTGGCCATGCAGTTTAAGGGGATGCAACGCTCATTATTTTTACATTGCAGTTCCATCCTGCCTGTTTAGTTCTTGTGAGGAATGCACAGCTCCATTTTATCCTCATAACAACCACCCTGGGAAGTATCTTAGACTGATGGGCCAGGATCGCCCAGCAAGCTCCACGGTTCCTAGTCTAGCACTCCAGCCACCGCACCACCAGTTTGCACCACTGCACTTCCACATCCAGGAAAGCAGAGAGATGAAACCAGGGCTGACTTCCCTTGCATCTAAAATGCCGCTTGGGTCCAAATGGGCTTGGGGCACGTCTTGGGGGAGATACTTGGGGAGCTGTGGAGGGAGGTGGGGGAAGGCAGCTTTGCCCAAGCGTTCCTGTGAGAGAACTCCTTCTCTGAACTGCAATTATCAGGCTGACTCAGAGGTCTGGTGTGTTCTCTCCCTGCTCTCTCAAGGCCTCCTGCTGAGCCATGCACATGAAGAGGCGCTTTTCCTGCTCCCCTCTGCTGATAAGCAGGAGTGCACCTGTTTGTCGGTGTGGGAAACAGGACTTTCTCTGAGCTGTGGAAGGCCTGGATAAGATTGACTAAAGGAGAAGAGGATTGCAAGGGGGGGGGGGGGGAGAGAGAACAGCTTAAGACGGCCTCAGAATTTCTCTGTTTCCTCAGGTTCTTTTTCTACAATTCCCAGAAATCCCAGGCAGCATAGTTAACAGTCAGGTACTGTGGGAATTGCAATCCCAGTTATCTAAGAGCATCATTCTGCAGCTGGAGTAGAGAACATGCAAGCCTCCCATGGCTGCTTGAGTTCAAGTCCCATCAACCCCAGGCAGCATGTTGGAAGTTACAACAGCTAGAGGGCCACAGGTGTCTCACTCCTGTTCCAGAATGACTCTCAGTTGAAAGTCTAGAAAGCTTGCCTCTTTCCTATTCTGGCCTGCAGCTCCCGTTGACCTCTTACCATGGTTCTCTCCTGGCCCACCATAGCTGACATGGGCATTACACAGATCGGCTTGACACCTACAGGATAACATGGGGGCAGCTGTTTGAGACACACAGGCTGAAGAATCACAGGGTTCATTTTCGCTAAACCAACAACCTGGATGTGGGGTGAGAAGAGGGAGAAACAAAGAGTAAGGAGGCCAATCTTCCCATAGTAATCTCCCCTCCATCACCTGAAGAGATAGAAAATAGTTTCCTGAGAAAAAGAGTCCCACTTTATGCATCACTTCTATCCTTTCTTTCATTTATCCAGCCCCTTTATATTGGAACTATGGCAACTAAGAGCATATAATGATAATTCCCCCTCCTTCCGGCAACATAAATCATTAATAGCTGGACTCATTCTGATTCACCATGCTCCTTCCCTTCCCTTCCCTTCCCTTCCTCCTTATAACTGCAACAGAGCTGTGTTTTTAGCACTATAATGGTAGCATTCATAATTGCACTATCAATCTAAATACATCTGAAGTTGTTGTCTTTTGCACTTTCCTTTGCTCCTCTTGCAGTTTGAACTTCTTCAGGTTGGGACAAGGATTCACCTGTCATCCTTGATGCTGTTGCCCACTTTGAATTTTTGAATCAGAGAGAACTACATTAAAACAATCAACAGATATACTCCTCTCTAGATATGGTGAAAAGGTTTACAGTCTTTGGGTGCTTCCAGACATGTTTACAGTGCAATCATGTTGCCTCGTTCATGGCATTTTACAGGGAGTCCAGACACTGTCATTTTGCACTTATATGGTTCCCATATTTATCCCACTGCTTCTTTGATCTTTTTTCAAACATCCATAAAGAAGGAAAAGACAGAATGGCAACACAATGGTTTTAAAATGATGGCATTGGCAGCTGTGTGTCCAGAAGCCCATGCTGCTTCCTTCAGGAAGCTAGAAGGGGGTTATATCAGTGTGAGATTTCAAATGAGAAAAAATGAAATGGATACAGGGTACAGGGAGAAATATGCGTGTGGGGAGAGAGGGGGCAGGACTCTAATTAAAATGCAGTTGCCAAATCCCTCAGAGTCTTAAAAAGAAGCTGCCACTAGGAAGTATACAGCACATCTGAGTACACAGGGATTCTAGGGTTGGGCAGGCATCCTCACAACCACTACTGTGTTCCTGCATGAGAAGGGGATTTGAGACAGAGATACTGTAGATTGCCCAGTGTATTGCGCCTCCTGCTTGCTTGCTAGCCAGGCAGAGAGCCAGTGAGCAAGCAGGAGGCGGCATCTGCTTCTCACCCCCACTATTTTCTTAGCCAGATAGAGAAGGATGAACAAGCAGGCTGCACTGGTGAGGAGCTGGCCCAAGGGGCGTTTGCCACTGCGCTGCCTGCAGGGCTGCCGGTGCCCAGTCAGGCCTGTCTTTGATACCAGGCCTGCATGGCTCCTGTAAAACAAGGCTCTTTTGCAGGACTAGCCCTACCATTAGGCAGAGAGTGATGCCTCAGGCAACTTAGATTTGGGGAGTTATAAAAGGGCAGTAAATTGTATTTATCTTTCGTGTGTTTTTACTGTCAGGAAAGGGGGAGGTGCTAGGGGGGCGGGTTCTGCCTTGCACTGCCCAAGTAAGTTGACCAGTGTTTGTTTGTTTATTTAAAGCTTTCTATCCCATCCTTCATTAAAGTCTCAGGGCATTATACATCTCTATCCCCTCAAAATGGGGGTGCCATTTTGTGTCTTGAGCTGCAAAATGTCTTGGTCCTGCTTTGTGGCCTTGAGCCAGGGGATCTTCAGGGCATCACAGCCTAACTGGTGTAGGAGCAAAAGGGAGCCATGTGGTGGTGAAGGAATTGCTACTCTTAGCACAGGGAGCTCAGGGATTGGCACATTCACCCTGAACTGCTGGTGGTCGTGTTTGTACGACTGTTCCTCCTGGCAAACTAAGCAAGAAACAGTGGGAGTTGCTGCTATTGGGATACACTTCCACAATGTGCACTCCAACCTTATCTTCCTCCACTCTCTCCATGGTAACCAGCTCCCCAGCCCTCTGCAGGAGGGCGGGCAGAAGGGATAGTGTGTTTCTGTGCCAGTTGGGAGGTTTTCCCCCCTAAAGAAACACTCTTTTCCCACTGCATGAGCCTAAAGGAGCAAGTATGCAACCCACACTGTATAACTGGATCCTTGCCTTATACTTAGCAAAACCCCTCCTTCTTTTGATGGATGTTCCTGCATTTTGCTTCTCTCTCTCTCTCAGGAGAGGCAAAGGGCAACATCAGAAGAAGGAAGGGTAAGGCAATGTGATCTAGTGACCTGAATCTGGACTCAAATTGGAGCATGCCAGGTTCAGATCCCCATTCAGCCAGGAAGCTCACAAATGACAAAGCAGCCCAAACGCTTCATGTCACCTCACTTCATGTCAAGCACAACGCTTCTGTGAGGGTGTGGAGAAGACACTCAGACGCTCAACTGCAAATCATCAAGTGGCAAGATATTGAGAAATAAACAAGTGCACATTCAGCTTTAGAATCCCCACACATGCGTGTGCACACACACGTACATGGACGCAATCTATGATCAAGCTACTCCTTGAACAGCTCAACCAATCTGTTCAATCAATCAATCAATGCAATGCAATGCAATCAATCAATGCAATCCAGATTGCATTATTCCATAAGGCTTGTGGCACAAGCAAAAGGCAGCTGCTCAGGACCCAGTCATTTCTGCTGTGCTGCTTTCTGTGGCAAGCAGTCATTTCTGAGGTGTTTGTCTGTGCCTTTTTATTACTTGGCAGTTATCTTAAAATGGGTGATAGAAATGGAGGCCTAGTTTTCTGCAGGTTGGCTCGCTCTCTGGGTGCCAATTGCCTAGTTTTCATTTCCCTCCGAGGCCTGTAAATTTGGCCTAGAACAGAGCATCTAGCCAGCACAATGGTGATCAATATCTTGGAGTCAGATGGGGTGGAGAGAATGGTATTTTTGGGGGCCCCAGGATGAACCTGATCACCTTTTGGTCTCCCTTACAACCTTAGGAATAAAATGCAAGGCCCTGGCGCTAGAGACCCAAACGTCCCTCCCTGCACAACATAATCCCAGTCTCTTACTGGACAGAAACACACCACCCTCTGAGGGTCTGAAATCATGTGAAGGTGTGGACCTTACTCCTTGCTCATCCTATCCAGTCCCGTTCCCGTTTTACTCCCAGGGAAAAATCCTAGCTCCTCTGTCAAGCAAGTAGATCCTCACCTTGCAGCTTGGCTCGCGGTTGTCCTTGGGTCAGGTTCCAGATGCCAAAACAGCACTGGTTGTGAGGGCACTGTATGGTACCATTACGGCCATCTTCCAAGATCAAGCCCTGGAGATGCTCCAAACCCTCGATCAAAGCATCAGATCTATAGGAAACGCAGCTACGGTTTCTATTCCAGGTGCTTTTGCTCATGCTTTGCTGTTCCAACACTAGTAGCAAAACAGCCAGTCTCCACAGCAAGCAGTAAGACCCCATCTACTTCGCAGCGGCACCTGAACTGGATCTGCACACCCAACTTGCCTGCCCTGGAGTCCTCCCCCAGGCCCAGGTGGGAAGGACTTGGCTAACTCCTGCGTGTGGGATGGGTCTGGTTGCTGTCAGCTAGTGACCGCAAGCAGGAAAGCAGGGGAGGGAGCCAAGGAAGGACAAGATGAACTTCCAATGGTCCTGTCTTTATTCCTAGCAGGTTGTGCTGTTTCTAAGCCATCAGATGGCAGACTCCTCCCCTGAGGCAGCTTCATTCATCCCCAAAAAACATCTCCCCTGAGGATCTCACATACCCTAGCCTGCTGGGATGTCTACCGGGCGGGGCCAAGGAGCCTGGATCAGGTTTAAGAGTATGCCTGAGAAGAGACTGTGGGAGGCAAAGAGATGTCTGGAGGTTATCAGCAAGGTTGGAAGACCCACTCAGATGGGTATGCCGGAGATTAAACTGCGTGTGCATGTGCATACACACAGAGCCCTGCCTGGTGAGAAACTCGACTTTGCTTCTTTGCACAGAACTTAGCTCTAGCACTTCCATGCGATGAATATACTTGTGTACTTGTATTCTGCTGAATTTGCAAATAATGGCTTTATTGATAACAGAAATAAATGTCCACTGGCAGATATGAAATCACACAACATGAAACAACCAGCCGTGTTTGTTAAATGTACAAATCACTTCCCCATCAAAATGCTTGAGGCATTTAGAAATTTCGCTGCCCAAAAAACTTCCTAGAAAATATTATTTGCTGGGGGGGGGGGGGGGGGCTCCAACAGGGCGTAGATACTGGAAGTAGAAAGGATTTTTTTATTTTTTATTTTGCACATCTCTTCCTTTCCTGCATGTCTGTGTCAGCAGCTTCAGACTGCAGTTTTTGTTCAGATGATCTTAATGCATACTTGCCTTGGCAAACTCGGAATACTAGCAGATACCTTGACAAGATAGAATAAAATCGTTTAACCCACCTGAGGCTAAACAAGTATGGTAAATGTTGCTGGAAAGCTCCCCACAGTTCCTGCTGCATGTGCCCAAACGGCGCTGATGTAGATGAGCAGCACTGGTGTTGTTTGGCTGCATAAACACTTCTGCAGAAGGCACCACCTCCCCTGCTGCGGCCAACAAGACTGGCAGTGTTGTGACATCTAAGATGATAAAGCAGTCCCACCGTAGACATAGCAGAGCCTTCCACTTCCACTTCTCAGCACCAACCCTTCCCATGATCACTGTCTATCTGCATATGATCAGGATCAGTGTCTATCCTGTGTTACAGGCATTGGTGGAGAGATGGCAAGTGTGCACTTTAAAAACCCCCGAGCATCTCCACAGTTCCCTGTTGTGTAATGCCTAACACAGAGGCATATTCTCAAGATCTCTTACCAAGTAGTCATGCTTAGCTGTTACATTATCTTAACTTTGCATGTTTGCCCACACATCCAACCAAAGGTCCATCTAGTCAGGGTTCCTTGTAAGAATCACAGCAAGCCGTAGCGATGATGTGGCCCCCAAGAGCTTGGGGGTCCAATGTTTACTTTTTCCAGCCCATGCTATGGACAGTGTACTATATACCCTGTGCATGTAACACACAGTGGATGATTTCTCTTCACTTACCATATTCTGTACACAAATGCTTCGAGCAACTAGCCCCAGATTGCATGCAGTCTACTCTGGGTTGAAGCACAAACATGCATCACAGGCAAAATGTATGATATACATTTAAAATATATATTTCTGTATAATAGACTCATTGCCTACAGCTCATTTTGCCTTTCCTAGGATCTCCTAGTTTTTATTTTAAAGCTTTACTGTCTCAAATTAGTAGAAAATGAGCTTTGCTCAGAACTGAAAGTTTCTCCCATTTCAGCCCAGGGCAGGGGGAAAAGGTGACCTGGAGCTTGTCTGGAAAGGTCCTTGACGGCGTAAGTCTCTACACTATCTAGCATTCCAAGACTGCCCTCTACAGTGGAGAGCTGCAAGTTCTACAATAAAAGGCCATCCAATTTCAGTCAAGAAACTCCAAGAACTAAATGCAAAATCCATCAAGTGAGCTGCATTCCAGGAACCTCCCAACACTGAAAATAGTCAGGTATTCTCCTTAGTTAGCTCATGAACTTGAGGTGCATCTTATATACTCATTAACAGAACTCCACAGTGGGTGACCATAACCCACATTGTTGTACAAATCTATAGATCTTCTGAAAACGCCATATGCATGTATGAGACGCTGTAATGGGCGGGAGATGAATGAATGAATGGATGTGGTTGTGGGAATACAGAACATCTGCCTATCAACAGTGCAGTCAAGTGTTGGGGGAATTACTGCATTGCTTCTGCGTGCCCAGGAAGCAGAGACAGAGGTACACAGTCAACCTCAGCCTGCTTTCAAGTCTGTCCTAACACAAAAGACCATGTGTGCCAGGCCCCCCAGCCCTGTCAAGTGCTGGGAAAAATAAAGTTCATGTGTTGATGTGGCCAGGAGTGACAAGGAATGAGGAAGAAACGGGGTGGGGTGGGGTGGGGTGGGGGGAGAGACACTGAGGCAAGGGACAAAAACGAGACGGAGGCACAGGCATTCCACATGATAAAAGGGAGGGCTTGCAAACTGGGGCAATGAAAAGAGAAGATCGGGGTAACAAAGATGGGCTGCAGAGACCCTGTAGATGGTGGAACAAAGAAATGGCAAAAGAGGAGGGGTTTGGTGGCACAGCAAAAAGAAAGCATGTGGTGATTGAAAACAGGGTTGACAGAATAAAGAGCAGTTACAAGCGCAGCAAAATTGCTTTTCTGTAATCAGCTTTTGAGTTAATAAAAGCTTGATCTAGATTGTAAGATGGCTTTTCATCAGTTTTATCCTGTGAAAAAACCAGCATCTGCATATGCATCCCGCCCTGATTGGGTTCATAACTCAGTGGAAGACCACCTGCTTTGGATATGCAGACTGTCCCAGGTTGGAATCCTAGGACTTCCATTTAACAGTTAACATCTGCCCAAAATATTGGAAAGTTGCAGATAGGCAACATAAATGGTCAGATGCTATAGAACGCAGCTTCACATAATTGTTAATACCCATTAGGTTTACTTTCCCCAACTTACTTAGTGTCTTCCAGGCATTTTTAACTACAACTCCCACCAACCCTGCTGAGCATTGATAAGAATTGTAGTTCAAAACAATTGGAAGGCACCAGACATGGGAAGGCTGCTTCAGATGCTGCTTCCCTTGAATACTTAAGAGCTTGCTCTCTGTGGGGGTGCAAGAGCAGCTTGCTCATTCTATTTGCGTAGTTTTGCCATGCAGTGGACAAACTATGCAAAATAAGCACTGGACTGCATACGCTGCAGCTGGACACTGTTGGTGCAGATCTGGAATGTTTTAAGCACAGAGTATGTTCAAGTCCTGAACGTTTTGAAAAGCAGGTAACTGGTTGTAAACAAGCGTGTTTGAAAAAGGTATAGGTTGAGCTGTCAAGGAAATAAGCAATGAGTGCTGCTAGTTATTGTAGTGTCAAAATTCTGACAATTACAGTGGTGCCTTGGCTCACCAACGCCTCAGTTCACAACCAAATCAGGTTGTGAACAGAAATTTCAGAAAAATTTTGCCTCAGGTCGCGAACTCCCCATCAGGCGACGATCGCGATCGGGCCCATCTTCTCTGTGCGACTGCAGTTGTGCTCGGTGGGGGGAGATGGCTGCAATTGTGCCAGGGGGGGGGGCGTGTGCACTAGCTGTGATTGCGCCCACCTTCCCTACCCGAGCATGGTTGTGCTTGTGGTTGTGCTTGCACTTGTGCAGGAAAGATGGGCGCGAGCGTGGTTGTGCTTGGGTGGGGGAAGATGGCCTCGATCTTTGTTGTTCTTTGTAACTTTGTTTCAAATTTTTGTAATTACAGAAAGATTAACCTTATTTATATTGAACCTTATGGAGAAATTTGACTTGGGTCACGACCAATTTGGGTCGTGACCAGAGTCATGGAATGGATGAAGTTTGTGAGCCAAGGTACCACTATACTAGCAGACTCAGAGCCAAACGAGGCCTCCAAATCCAAGTGTCTTGCTAATTATGATAATCTATGGGTAAATGGCTATTTCCCTAAGAGCTGTACATCTCACATACAAGCCACATGATACAAATATTGTGGACTATCTCTGCTAGGCCTCCTAACATTTTGCAAGACTTGCCAGTAAATGTCAACATTCACCAAATATAAGACCAGCATCTGAGCAGAGCTCAAAGGCTACAGGTAATCAGTCACGGTACTTTTAGGTTCAAAATGCATGTAATGAAATATTTGGGTGGGGAAAAGACATAGCCCATGAGGTAATTTAGATTAAATACAAATGCTGTAGATACTTCTTCCTTTATTCCTTTCATTTTAAAAAATTGTAATCAGTATACAAAGGAGCCAAACTATTTTAATCTTTGTACAAAAATAGCACTTTTAAAAAGTGTTTCAGACATCATTACATCGGTAATTGTATTTTTTTTTAAAAAAGCACATACATTATTACAAGATAAAACAAACTGTCTTTTACAGAGATAGACAAGAATTATTTTATTGCCAGTGTTACAGGTTGGCTTAAGTGTCTGCAGAGTTGTGCTGTAAGCACCAAAATAGAAGACATAGATCGCTACCCCACCTTCCGTGTTCCCAGGAGAGGATATAGAGGCAGCCATGTTACTACAGGATTACAAGCTATCAAAGATAATGAAAAATGCTTATTAAACATTAGCACAGTCTGTGAATGACTGAATGGCAACCGGGCATAAAATGTCTCCCCCAACCGTCCTTTCCACTGCAAAGCATGCAAAAAGCAAACACTCATCCTGTCTCCAGAGGACTGGGGTGAGGGGGAAGTTAATTACTGAACTCTTATTGCCCATTTAAATTGACTGTGACAAAATTAAAGCTAGAAGAGGCTGTTTCAAGGCACAGAATGCTAAAGAAGAGTCTCTTAAGGCTGATGGCATTGGCTTGGCTATAGATAGAATCCCTGTATATAAAAGGAAAGGCACATTTGATTCCACCCCCTCAAAAATAAAACAATAAAATAAAAACACCCTGAAAGGTTTTAAGATAAGCTTATACTGCGTGTATTTTTTTTGTTTGTTTGCAGATTTCAAACTGAAAGGCCAACTGATGCAATCAACAACATGCCTCAAGTGGTAAACCTTTTTCCTAACTCTTACAGCTGCACATCTGAATGATTCCCTCTGAACACTGCTTCCTAATACAAAGCATGACAAGGAAAAGGCTATTCTGCATCCCTCTGTTGCATCTTCTAAATGCTATTTTCCTAAATGTACATAGAGTGCTGCCCCACTTCGAAATATGGAAAGCACTCAGTAAGGTAATCATTCCCATCCTGAAGAAGCATGGGGGGAGGTGTATACATGACCACCTGAGCCTGCTAACAAAATGAACAGCTGAACCTTTTTTGGGGCCTCGTGTATACAGCAAAGGATGCTTTCTCAGGTTTCATGTGTAAAACTAGGCAGTGTGTGTATGTAAGCAGAGACCATCTTGTGGAAGGCAGCCCCAAGACCATTTCAATCAGAAGAGAACCAAACATCACAACATTATCCTGGCATACAGCACAAGGCTGTCCCACCACAGATAAAACAGACAGGCAAAGAGGGAGAGAGAGCGACAGGCAGATACACACACACACAAAAGTGGGGATGCAACTGTTTAGTAGTACAGACAACTCCCTTTTTGAAACCCACAGGGATTATTAGGATCCTTCAGATATTTCCACACCAGAGGCTTTTGGCAGTGCTTTCTTTCTTTCCCACCCAAACGGGGACATGGGATTTCTGCTATGTTGAAACAACACTGGAGAGGGCAGAGCTCCCCAGTAACTCATGCATTTTGCATTAGCCCATTGTGCTGTGTAAGCAGACAGAACAAGAAGTCATTTGGCTAGGAATTTAAGACTTCAAGGGTCAAAGTCCTTGCTTGTGGATGGGGCCAAAGAAACCGATGAGGTAGTGCCAAATCCTTCTTTGCAACGGGGAAAATAACACAAGTGATGCTGAAGACACCATTCTACACACACCAGTTCCTAGCGGGAGCTTAAATTCTATGCAGGATTGCAGTCACAGCACAGTCCACAAGCTGGACTGCCTAAGTCAGAAGAAGCTCTCTCAGCTTAATTTCCAGAGGAAAATTAAGATCTTCAACTGAAGATTAGTTTTAGAGCTACCCAAAAAGGCATTTGCTGGACATTTTCTGTAGCAAAGTTTCCATTGCTGCTGTTTGTCTCAATGATGGTAGAAAAGAACAAATTTCAGGTAACTTATTTATAACAAGGGGGAAAATACTGGCAGGATTGACCATGTAGGCTTTCCTATCTATGGCTCAGGAGCTAATCATCCTTGTTTTGGGGAGATGGGAGTTATTTGAAGAAAACAAGACAAATATGGTAATGTACAATCTTTGTATAGTGCATGCTCTTTAATGATCTACTATGTATTTGGCAAAATACTGCATATAAAAGTGACTTTGGACAATGCAGAAAACACATTGGCCTGGTTTTGACTTCATTTCTAGCAGAAAAGTACACAGAAAGAACCAGCAGCGCACAGGAAGCAAGGACAACAGTCGCCACCATTGGGCTCTCTCATTAAGGCCATTATGGAAAAAAACGCTTGTGGGAATAAATACTGCATTAAACCAAGGGATCTAGGATCATTAATATTTCCAAAACACATCATTTCCAATGCAGCCAAAGCTACTAAATTTCCGTGGACTGCTATAAAAAATACAGAATGCTTCCACACTCTTGATATAAAAATATATCCCCACTGCCACCAAAAAGGAAATAGGAGAGGTTTGTAGCAACTGGTTTCTCTTCTTCCTTAGTGTTCATGCATCACAGTTTGGTTGTATTTCTGTCACTGGCTGGAAATGCCACTTTCTGTTTTGAGGCCTTTGTGTAGTAGCTTTAAGCAGGACAATGTTGCTCTTTAGAAAAACAAACAAGAAGATTCAGCAAGAGAGGCCAACCCATAGTTTGGGTCAGGCAAGCTGCCGTACAACGGACTTGGTTTCACACACAAAAAACAAGAGTTCTAATCATAGGCTATTGATGAATTTTTTACTCATGCCACATTAATCTTGCAAGTTAAGAAACCTCACTCTGAATGAAGATGCTCTACAGATGTAAAGGATATCAGGAAAACCAACAGAGAATCTTGGGACACTTTAAAGATGAACAAGTTTATTCTGCAATGGTATAGATACCATCTGCGTCATCAGATGGAGAAATTCATGCTAGAATAAATGTGCTGGTCTTTATGGCGCAACAAGAAGTGTTGTTGCTTTTACTGTAGATGACTAACATGGCTGTCCCTCTGGAAAAAATATGAGGCATCCTTAGCTACACAAAATGTATACAAGAAATAGTTTATGCAGGTATTTTTGTGCAGTTGCAAACACTGGGCAAACATTCATGGTCTAAACCCCACAAAAAGAATGACTTGGGATGCCTTTCCCCCAACATTTCAGGGGTCCATTCTTTTCTCAGAAAGTTAATACTGAGGACATCTGATTACCAATCAATAGCTTGTGGTATTCCAGGAGACAAGAGGAACATTTAGAGTGACTATTCTGACAAGATAAAAAGACAAAATTGGAGTAGGAAGTTACCAAAGTGAGTTTTGCACTGCTAGTTGCTAAGTTTACCTAAAACATCTACTCCTACCTTCACTGCATTGACTTCACTAACAGTATTGTTGTCTTGTCTTGGATGAAGTTTGAGAACTGTCATTGTAAAAGCAGACTTAAATGTTCATACTAAATGAACTCATGCTTTGAAAATCCTTGCTTTTTTGGAATGTCTAGCCCTGGTCAGAGTGTCCCCAAAGTCCTGTTCTGCAGAAAACCTCTTCACTTTGAAGCAACTCTGCTTCAGGGAAGACATGTTTTTAGCCATTCTCATCCATTTTGTGCCAACCAGTTGGTCTTCATTAAGAAGGGCATACTGTTTGTCAGTTCTAGTTGAGCAAAGAAACCAGAACGTTTTCAAGGAAGAGAGTCATTCTCTCTCACAACCAGTCAAGCAGGACCGAGTAAGATGAACAACCCTTCTGAGTTTGTCACAATAAATTTCACTAGTCTTTCTATAGGTGATTGAAATGCATTTGGTGTGCATAAAATAAGCCTATTTACTTCTGCTTTGAGGAGGACCACTTTCACAGGTGCAATTCTAGATTTAGTAAAATAGCTAGGAGCCCAAGCTCACTGATTTGTTTGACTCTAGTGTATCTTGCAGGTTTAGCTTTCACATTGCTAAATGGAATGAAAACCTACTCAATTTTTTAATCAATAACAGAGAACACAAGACATCTGAACAGTGTCTCCCTTTCTTTGCTGATACTGGAAGTTTACTTTTAATAAGGCTCATGAAACACATACACTCATATGGGCACACTTGTTTCTATCTGCTTCTTTGGCTATTGACTATGCAGAGTTTGTACAGAGTTTGTACTTTGCAGAGTTAGTTCTGCTCTTTCCAACTTAACATCTGCACAACAGGATACATCAACTGAACCAAGGGGAGTGGGAACTAAACTTCACAGAACCACACGCTTCACTCCCCCTTCATGCCCTTTTCTGAGCAAGAGGGGCTCATTCTAATATTTCTGCCTCAATGAAAAGAAACCAAGCAAGCCAGAACATTCGTCTGCACTGCAAAACAAACCACACCACAACTTATACCAGTTTGTCTTTTACATGATGGTTCCCTATTACTGAAGGTTTTGTTCTGAGAACAGAAGAAAATTCAAACATACATACCTTTGATCTAAACAAGGTTTCCATTTTCCCTCATTTCAACAAATACTGTAGACCAAAAAGACTCTCAGGCAATCAGAAATCATAGATCATAAAACTGTAGCTGCATGCAAAGCCAGGTGAGCACCAGGAGTCAACAAAAACAGCCTCTTGGTCAGTAGTGGTGACTGTTATGTTTAATTCCAACAGTCTCCTAAGGAAGGAAGATGAAGAGTCACTTCCTTCACTTCTGGTTTAGCAGAACTGCTCAAGTTCAGTCCTGCCAAGCCACTGCAGAAGGCATCAAATTCCTATGACAGGAGTAGGGCCATGTTTCCTATTATCAGTGTGTGTGTGTGTGGGGTGGGGGGGCTGGCCCGATAAAAGAAAGCTTGCAAGTGGATATAGGAGGATATAGGAAGTGGGGATGCTGAGTTGCCAGACAAGAGCTGTAGAGAAATGCAGAGGAAAGCTGTGTCCTGGTTCTTCTGCTGTTTAGGAGTGCAATTATGGCAGGACTTGGTGCAAAGCAGTGGCATCAAAAAAAAAAAAAAAAAAAGAGGGCTTCTAAGCTGCCCACAATTTGTAGGCTCACTGTGCGCACTCTAAGACATGGAAGGGAGTCCAGCATAAAGAAATGAACATCTATATCTGCTAATGAAATCAGTTTAGCAAAAGCTGCCACCATGCACGAATTCAGTATTTACTATTTTCCACAACACTTCGTGAAGGCAATTTATCTGTCTTGTTTTAATAGCTGAAAGGAGAGGTAGAGAAAGAAGAAAACGTGGCACCAGCAGCATGGCCAACTATGGTGCCGGATAACGCACCCAAGCTCTTTTACACTGCACACCCACACTTTGGGAAAAACACCAAAACCAGGCTTCCCCAAGCTGGAGCACTCCAGATGTGTTGAACTGCCACTTCCATACTTCCCAGACTGAGAATTATGCGAGCTGCAATTCAACAAACAGGTTGGAGAAAGCTTGACCTAAACTGCTGAGAGAATTCTTTACGTACTTGTGCCAAGGCCCTTTTCTTAAATTGGTGGGGGGGGGGTGCTACAAAGGCATTCCAGGCCCCCCAAGAGTCTCTTTGTTCCTTGTCCATTAGCACTGGCCCTCAAACATTTCTGCACCGCTTGCATTGACTGCCAGCCACTACCACCCCCACCATTCAGCTGCACTTCCTTGTAATGCAGTGCCCGGATGGACATGCATGGTATCACAGAGGGAACAAGATGACTGGAAAGAACTTAGGTACAAGTATAAACGGTAAGTCTTTCTCGAGGAAGGGTAGCAAGGCCAAAGGTTGGATCAATTGGCCCCCACAACCTAACTGAAAGCTACAAAAGACAATTTAAACAGAACTGGAGAAGTGCCAAGTGTTTCACAGCAAAGCAATTGACTGAGCTAAAACACACACACACACACACACACACACACACACACACACACACACACACACCCATTCTTCCTTTTCCACATGGCCTGAGTATTTTGGACAGACAAAAATCAGAACAGGATCCACCTTCTCACACATCACAGATTTCCTTACTCAAGCCAACAAGAAACCTGTACATCCCATTGCCACACAAATAAGGTTTTGGCACTTCATCATCTCCATGTATACCAGCTTATTTGAGCCTCAGTTCTATTGCGGGTTTTAATGTAAGAGATTCTGACTGTTTTACATTAGGAACTGAGATGGGTTTTCCCGACTGCTGGTGCCAAATTTATAGTATTTGGAGGCCTAGAAGTGACTACAGGTATGATCTTCCTCAAACATAATCACAATCTTCCTCTGTGCCCCCTTCTACCTGCAAAATCAGAACATATTATGGGTCATGGACCCTACTACTCTGGAAAAAAATAGTGGCTGGGAGCTTACACATGCGTATCTCCAATGGAGAAATTGAAAATTAACCAGTTAAAAAGAGGTGGAATTTTTTTTTTGTTTTTGTTTTACCCAAATGGAGCAGGTAGGGGTGGGAAGACAGACAAACCTAAAAGCCAAGCATACAAAAAGCTAAATTTATGTTTTTATAGATACAATGTAAAATGTAATATAGGATCTGAACATAAGCCTGAGCATCGCCTAACAGCTCAAGGAGTTCCAAGTTAAGGCATTCGAACAATGACCAAAAACTTTAGTCACAGCAATTTTAACTTCTCTCATCAAAATGAACATATTTTATAGTTTTATATAATTACAATAATAATTATAATAATAATAATATAGATTTTTCTGTTTAAAAAGTATTTCAGTGATCATATACATTTAGAACCAAGGCATGATGGCATCTGGGGTACCTAATAAGGGAGCAGAGAGATTTTTATAGGGCAGGAGAAAGCAAAATAAAGTGAGTCAAACAGCTCTGAGCTGTCCCATTTCCCCAGGCTTTCACATCAGGCTTTAAGAGGGCTGACCTGAAAAGCAAGCAGGCCTTATTCTGCATATACAACTCCTGGGAGACTGAAATGGGGTTCGAAGGCTGGGTGGTGCAGCTGAGTCCCCATCTTTCACCACTGGTGTAATGAAAGACTTCATAGCTTGGACCCATGGCTACCTTGAGAATCCCATGTTTGCACAACACCACTACCAAACAGTCCGTGCCACCTCAGAATCCATTGCCACTGATGTTGATTGACTGGAGATCTGCCACCTGCATGACATTGATGCCACTGCTGGCAAGGCGTGCAATGCTTTCTGGACAGATGGCTTCCATGGCCACCATGTTGGTCGCAATGAGGGCCGACGGCGTTGCTCCACCAGTGCCCTCTGCAGAAGCACTTGCGTCCATGGAGACAGCAGACACATCCATGGCCACACTGTTGGGTGCACCTCCCTTCTTGTTTTGGTGGGTCTTGATGTGTTTGGAGAGGTGATCACTCCGCATGAAGCGCTTGGGACACTCTGGGCAGGCAAACTTCTTCTCTCCTAAGAAAGGAAATGTACATGAGACTACACAGACTCACGCCACCCTGAGTGGCAAGAGAGCAGGAAGTACTGGCTTACAGAAAGTCAGCAAGAGGAGCGCCAAGCCAGACCTTGGCCAATACTATCTATACACTAGGAACTTCCAGTATGGCTTACTGGAAATGCTGTATATAGGGCTGCCATTGAATATGCTTCAAAAGCTTCAGCTACTGCAGAACAGGAGTGCTATAAAGGTTTATTACAGCTACTGCAGCTCAGATACAAAAGCTATCTCCTTGCTTCTGGGTCAATTCAACTGCCAGTTATTACCATTAAAGCAGTAAGTGCCTAACGCTAAGTGTCCTTCAGGAGAAGCCTTCACCCTCCTTGCTTTTAAAGATCTGCAGAGGTCATCTACATGCAAAGGGTGACAGGTTATGCCCTATGGCAAGGGTGAGCAACAGGGTGCCCCTGCTAATTCCCAACCGCTACCCAGGCCAGCTGAGGCTGTTGGTGAGTCCAAGACCTCAGAAAGACCCAAGTTGCCCTGTGTGGTAGCCTCTGCTGTGGCACCTATTTCGTAGAGCTGTCTTCAACAGAGATGTCTACCTTACACTACCTGTCTATGCCTTTGTTTTCCAGGAGTACTTTAATCACTTTTGCACTGTTGCTAAAGTTTACTTGCTGGCTCACAGCAAACTGCTTTTTACCATTCTATGAAACAGGGTTTCATTGCCATCTATTTGAGCGTTTATTACCATTTATTTTACCTTAAGCAAATACTGGAAAGGTAACTATAAACTTGTTTTCTACTCTATATAGAATAGCATCTTTAAAAAGACTTCTGAGAAAAAGTAGCAAAAGAATGCAATATTTCAAATGTTGTGCCCCTGCCCCAGCCCACAGCTGTAGCCTCCACTGTGTGGACAGAATGTGAGACTAGATGGACCATTTGTCTGATCCAGGTGGCCCTTATGTTCTTACCCTACTTCAGTTACTTCTTAATCTAGTTAACTCATTTCTATTAAGCATGGGAGTATATATGCCATGAAAATGACATCTCGTTTCTTAACCCTGTATTTCTGAAAATATTACCTGGAGTAAAACCTTCAGCTTTGTCACTACCTTTTTTCACCACCAAGGGAGTAGCTACTTGCCCTAAAGCAGGACTATATAGCAGTTGCTTTCAGTGCATGGGTAAACAGGAGAAAGCCAAGAGCTTGGAAGAAACAGGCCTCTCATTTCCCTAACTAAGTTCAGCCTTGTAAAGAACCAGTGGTGCCAGAGAGTCCAATACATACCTGTAGTTTGCATACTAAAACTACTTAATTTTGAATGACCCTCCTATACAGTATTCAAGAAGTTTTTACCTTGTGTAAAACTTCTCAACCTGAAAAGGCACAGTCACAAAGACTTGCTTGCTAGGCTAAATGTTGGTGAAGTTTCAAGCTGCAGAATATCAGCTGTTCCACCCTCTCCCATACATGTGACTATTCTATTGTCCCCAGTCTGTCTCAAAGTTCCACTCAAGGCTTGCTTATATGCATTTTAAGCAGAGTATACCACCATGACATGGCAACAGTGCAAACGTACCATTATGGGACCTAGAGCTCATTCCTGGCATCACAGCAAGCTTTTTACAGGGCTCGAGTGTTTCAATGCAATCAAATATACTGATTTTGGGTTTCATCATACAGACAAGCATGCCAGTTGTGTTATTTTTCTGGTGCTGTCATTTGCTTTTGATATTCTGTATTTGCTTGTTTTAATCAGCTCAATTGTATTGTGATTTTCTGTATTTTAATGTAAGCTGCCTTGAGTATGGGCATCTCTTTTGAAAAGTAGAACATATTTCACCAACACATTCTTTCCAAAGTGCTTTCTATCTCTACGTCCTATCACATTTTACAGCAATGTACTCCACCACTGGAATGCCTCTGAGCCAGGGAAGCATTAGTTTCGTTTCCCATGGCTATACATGTAGCTGTTCCAACAGCAGCAATACTTGTGCCAGTTGTGGCTTGTTCTGTAAAAGCAAGCGTGGCTTTGTGCGTGGCTTTGTACCCAGCTTGCAGGAGTTTCCTGGAAAAGCACTGTGATTTAACTAGTCAGCAATGGAATAGAGGAGCCCAAGTGGAAATTCAAATGTACAAAAGGATACTTAAAACATCAGTCCTGTGTCTATGTCATTTCAGACAGCAGAAGAGAGGAAGTTGCTAATTTGATACTTTCTCATGTTTAAAATACCATTCTGTATTTAGAAAGTTAACATGTAGGAAGCAGGCTGGGCTAAAATCCTTCTCCCTGACATGTTAGTATCTCTTAACCAGGCAGCTAATTCACATAAGAGACCATTAAGACATTCATTTTACAACACTCCTCCCAGTGGCAGTCTGAACTCATACTGAGCCAAGAAGAAATGCACCATCCATAGCTGCACTACTGAATATGCGCTAACAAACACCTTACTCCAAGCTACTTCTGTTTTTGTTTGTCCAAGTCGTGCAAGGGTTTGTACTTACCTGTGTGGGTCCGCTTGTGTCGCTGCAATTCATCGCTACGTGTGAAGCGCTTGCCACAATACATCCAAGAGCACACAAATGGCCGTTCTCCAGTGTGCCACCGAAGATGAGCTCGCAGATGAGATGTCTTCCCGTAAATTTTCCCACAACCTGGCATGTGGCATATATGCTGCTTCTTCTTGCCTGGATCCCCAGAGCTCCTAAGAACATAAACATACGTAAGGTCAAGCAGGATGTTTGCCTTTCCTGTAGCAAAAAGAAGGAGCTACTGTGATATGCATTGTTCCATAGTCTTCATGGGAATAGTTTTTAAAGTGACACAGCAAAGGGAAAGGCAGGCTACACACTGGTGCTTGAAAGTGTTTCATTATATGAAAGTAACCTGCATTTTAATGAATGTTCTTCTTCAGGGCTAAAGGCCCGTGTCTTACATAAAAAGCAACTTACCTGAGAATATACTTTCAGTGAGTGAAAAGTGTATTTCATAGTTTCATTTGGGAGTTTGTTATTGAGCGAAACTTTTTATCTAAGGCGGAGACAGGTAGATTTCATAGTCGTACAATCCACTTTTTCTCCTCTAGACTCCCAAGATCCACTAGCCACTAATAAAAATGTGAATTAAAGAAATCCAAGCCAAAGAATTTGTTCTGAGTGCCAGAAGTAATCAGAGTTCTGAGTTCACAATCCTTCTGCACAATGAAAAGTTCTGATCACACAAACACCAGCTTTCTTCATTTAAATAGTACAGTTCAGGATGGGAGAAACAATTTTATTGCTGTTGTTAAACTACTGATGGCCAGCCATTCTAATAGAAACCATCAAATCACTGAGGTCCACCTTCTATCCATCCTGATCTTGGGCATGAGAATAACACAGATGAAATCCCTTTGCTCCTGAGGAAGACCTCTGGTCAAAATACACTGGATAAGCCTTCATGTTATGAATTACTCAGGCACCTATCTGAGGTCTGCCTTTCCTTTTGCTCCTCTGAGGGTGTTTCCCCCCTCCCCTTTTTTGGGTACAGCAGTCTTTTTACTCCTTGCTTCTTGAAAACACATGTTTTGCTTATACTGGGAACAGCTGCTTTTGTCTATAAGGAGAGCAGCTGCTTCCAGAAAAAGTAAGGCATGGCTGCTTTCCAAGAGCACAGTGCTACTACAGTTGCTAGACAGGACAAAGATGGATGGGTGTGTGTGCATGCATGGCAGCTACTTACTATGGGACAAAGGAAATGGAGAGTCAATTAATGAATCCCAGTAAGCCATCCTGGATGTTCCCTACCCCACAAACTCTACTGGTGGAAGGAGGTCTCCCCCCTCTTCTACAGAATACAAAAGTAGGCCGAGAAAGACCCTCAAACATGTGTTTTCTCCGATGTGTGAATCATCTGTTACATTCTATAGCATCCCTGGAAGATGTCTGTCTGGACTTTCCTTAAAAATTTTCAGTAATACAAACAGAATCTTTTCACTTATCTGCACATTTCATTGTAGAACTGCTTTTGCTTTGCATTTAATCTGGCTACCTTTCAGCAATGTAAGCAGATGTTGTGTCTCCACTGGACTTGTTCTCATGCAACTTCTAAAATAATTTTGAAAGCACTCAATTTCCCTTAAATTTATTTTTACATGAATAACCCCCACTTATATCAAGTTTTCCTCACGAGGCATCTGCTTTCCTAGTTTCTTATTTCCACCTGTCACTCTTTACCTTCAACCCAGTACTGTGCTTTATTCTACAGAGAGAGCGAGCGAGACCAAGCATGTCACTGGCTACGGCATCACAAATAATCAAGTCTCTTGTGATGACTACTTTTCATGTTTATATTGCACTGACTTTCAAATCAGTAGTCAGTATTTTTAAAAATTTCACTAATGCAGATTTAAAGGCCAACCTATTCAAAGGGCTCAGGATTGATAGTGTCTCTAACTAGAAGTGGACAGTTCTCTATCCCAAATCTTTGTACTCTAAATCTAAAATGTTACTCTTATTTTTAGGTGGCAGCTAAGCAGTTTTCAGAAGTTTTATCAGATCATTTTACTTGGAAGCTACTTTGAGAAACTTCTGGTGGGCTAAAAGCTGAAAATCTAAATGAAATAAATTTAAGTTGCTGCTCTCTGGGTTTCCAATGGAAGAGAAGTCTAACTATTTTCATCACCATCTTCAAAGTAAAGCGATATATATTTTCTGCTGCCTGTGATTAGGACATAAAATTTGCATTACAACAAAAAGTGAATTTCCTGTTATAACAAAATCTGTAGCACTCTTAACCATGCTCAGTTACTAGGTCTGCATTAGCAGATGCAACATTACCCAGCTTTGCAACAATTGGGATTTATAGCCGAGAGCCATGACTGGCCTGGGCAAAGAGGCAAAGTAATGGGACAGTGAAACAAATGTGGTGAGTGAAGTATGCAACATGTAAGGCAAAAGGTGGAAGAGAGAATACTCAGCCATCCACAGCTACTCTTGGAGTTGTATCACTGGTCCTAGAAACCAAGAGTGGCAAGAAAGGTTGGTTTAGCATCGCAATCAAAAGGGAAGTTAATACAGCCTGAATGTAGTGCAAAAGTAATAACAGTGACTATGTAGTCTTGGCAAGGCTTTGTCTACAGAAGAGGACTGGTCTCTAGAATGCGCCATCTGAGACCCAGACACTTCAACACACTGGCCTGGATGAATGATGCCTGCCCTAAGACACTCGCTGCACGTCTGCATCAGAGTATGAAGCCATTCCTTCTCCTCAGGGAACCTGGAGTTGTTGTTTCGAGAGAGGGCTGGCTACTTCCACTTCCTCAAAATACACTTCTCAGAATTCTTTGAGGGGGCATTTTGCAGTATTATATACTAAAATGTACAAATCTGTACATCTTATGACTGGTTCATGTGGAAATTCTAGATGCAAAAAAGCTACCCCAGAACCACAGGCCAACTCCATTTCGCATTTAGTGACCTTTGCACAACAATGCACTCTGAATGTTTAGCAATGCTATGGATGCACTATCTTACCTTCCTTCATTGTCTTTGCAGAAGGGGCAAGTGCATGCTTCTCTGCGCATTCTGCGGCTCTGCTGTGGTTGAGCATCTGGACTAGTCTCCCCTTCTTCCAGGGTTGTGCCATCCTCAGCTAGCCCATCACCGCCAGTACCAGGAAGGCTGAGGTGGGTATTATGATCACCTGCATGGAAAAACTTGCCTTTTACCACCAGGAACATTGCACTCAAGAAAAAAAAGCACACAAAATCTACCTAAAAAGCACTATCTGGTTAAAACTGAAATCTGACCAACACATCCTGCTCTGAACTTTAGCAGGAAGCAAAGAAAAAAAGGATGGTAAACAATTTGCGGTAACATGTAAATGGGGAACACTCATTGTAATTTACAATTTCCCATTGTGGGGCAGCATTCGTTCCTCTTGGGTAAGATCCCAAAGTTAATTTTACAATATTACTCTGGAAGACAGTGGGTCTTACTGATGCCTCCTGGAAACCTGAAAAGTTGCCCTTAGTCATGACTCAGTTCCTTCACATCTTTGGACTGAGATTAACAGGTATAACAACATTGCTCAGAAGTCTCTATGGTTTCCTATATAGCTAAGAATTTTTTAGAAACTCGGATTCAGCACCTTTAAATGAAGGTTTCAGAAAAAAACATATTGTCCCATTTATTAAGGTTCGCCCTTCTAGCCTGTCAAACTGGCTTTGACTTGAATTTGATATATAGCCTACATTCAGACGTCACAATAAACTGTGATTTACTATGATGAGAATGAACTTGTGCATACTCTCTCCTTTTTGGCCAGATCCATGAGGGGTTTACAAGCTTTCATTTCCTTTTTTTGCTTAGCTGTAATCTAGCATTAAATCTGAATTTGAAATTCTGGTTAACCTAGACTAATGCTTGTTAATGTAAACTAGCTTTGTAAGTCACTGTTTTATACTGACCTATTTCAAATAACCATACTTAACATTAAACACCATGTTTTATCAGGTTTGAATGGCATGCCACTGTTTATAAAAGATAGGAGTAAAACCTTCAACTCCTCCCTCTCAAGAGAAGCGGAAGTGAGTAAGGCCAAGGTCTACTGTGATCTCTGGACATAGTCACATGCACCAGGTTCACACTTAATGGCAGCCCACTGTGAACCAATCAACCTGTAATTTGCTATGGGACATGCTGTGCCTGTTTCACAGCCATTTTGAATGCTATCTAATATCTAAAGCTGGTCAGTATAGGTTAATCAGGTCGAACAACGCACAGATTCCGCCCCCTCCGCAAAAGGGAAAAAAAAAGAGAAAAAAAAGAAATACATTTCCAGCTCTATATAACTAGGTCCCCACCACTATAGTAGGCTGAACTGGGGCCTGGATACTTAAGGACTATTAAAGTTTTCTGATGTGCATTACACATTGTTTTCTTCAAGTTTCTTTGTTTGGGAACTTGCAAAATGCTGGGCTTAACAGAAAGTGTTTTTGTTTTTTTAAAGTATCTGTTTAGCTGGAAATGATTGCAGTAGCACCCGGAGAGCTAATCTGCAAAACAGATGTGAACCATCCCAACAATAAAGTAAGGCGAAGCAATAAATACAGCAGGCTGGGAGAAACAATAGTTTAAGTAGTGCTTTCTCCTAAGGAAGGTATCAGGGTTTCTTTGGGAGCCTGCTAGCTGGCTAATTACTGTGATCACAGAAAGGATATATAAACTTGAAAAATCATCTGTTAACAGCCGATGCACCATATTCTCTCTTCCTCTTTCTCAAATGCCAATATCCAATTACAAAAACCATAGGAATTATAGTGCAGCACTGATGAGTTTTCAAATGCAGGGAAGGATATAAAACATTTTGCAAAGGGAGGGCAGCACTGAAGGAATGGGAAGCTTTCAAGTCTATCAATTTTTGTTTCCATTTTATAGGGTTGTGCTTATGCTGTCATCTAATTGCTTTTTCCATAACTCCCAGCTATACTTCCCAAATAGTTTATTCCTCTACAAGCTTCACTGCTTATTTCCACACACCAGGGGTGGGGAGGGGGACCCACACAAATTGTAACAGATGCAAAATGCAGCAGGCTGAGCAATCTGTTTTCAGAGGCAATTAGCATATGCCAGGAAGAGGGTCCAGGTTGTGTATTTCTATCAGACTGAGGCATACATAAAGCCCTTAGGAGCCTACAATAGTTATTGCATAGTTAGTGCTGCAAAATGGATCCTATTTATGAGAAGATACACAATCACTCCTTTAAGTCAACACTGCCATTAGCTTGCCATGCATATTCTATCCCAATGTTCTCAGTAGGGGTCAAAGTCACAGTATTATTCTATATGGGAATGATCCTCAGGCGGACCTTATCACACAGCTTAGTCCTAAGTCAGAAAAGTTAGGTAGTGCTTTACAGTGTTCACATGAGTAATTGCAGGACCTTCCTTCCTTCCTTCCTTCCTTATTTAGGGAACTTCTATGCCGCCCCATTCGCCGATCGATCAATCAATCAATCTATCTATTTATTTATTTAGGGAACTTCTATGCCGCCCCATTTGCCGAAGCCTCGGGGCGGCTCACAAACATAAATAAATAACATCATATAAAACAATATAATTTAACAGTATAAATTAAGTCGCCCTGGCCAAAGAATAAAATAAATAAATAATATTAACAATTAAAATAACGTTTAAATAAAAAGGTCTTTGCCTGGTGCCGAAAAACAAATAACGACTGCGTCAGGCGGACCTCTCTGGGGAGCGCATTCCATAGATTGGGCGCCACCGCAGAGAAAGTCCCTCCTCCGAGTACTCACCCTCCTAATTTCCTTCACGGAGTGTTCCTGGAGAAGGGCCTCTTCCGCTGATCTCAAGTGGGGGGCATAATACAGGCAAACCTGTATTATGAGATCGGCAACAGAAGCCCTCCTCCGGGAACCCTCTGTGAAAGATATTAGGAGACAGAGTACCCGGAGGAAGGCCTTCTCTGCGGTGGCGTCCCATCTATGGAATGTGCTCCCCAGAGAGGTCCGCCTGGCACCGTCATTATATGTTTTTTGGCACCAGGTTAAGACCTTTTTATTTAATCAATATTTTAATAAGTTTTAATATTGAATCGTATTTTATTGATACAGAGTGGGTCGTCAATTTATTTATGTTGTTAGCCATCCAGAGACATGAGTAATTGGACGGCATACAAATTTTATAAGTAAAATAAAATAAAAACAAAAACCTTCCCCAACTAGGTGCCTTCCAAATATCTGAGATTTCAACTTCCACCAAGCCCAGCCAAAATGGGTAATGGTCAGGAATAACAGGAACTATAGTTCAAAATGTCTGGACAGCACCGGCTTGGGAAAGGCTGCTTCAGGCCAAGGCTCTTATATCACTTCATCTCCACACTGCAAAAGGGGTAAGGGAGCCAGGCCTGAACTGCGGCAGTACAGCTTGCATACAATCATCTACAGAATTAATTAAGGGCTATGGTGAGATTTAAATTAAGGGCTTCCTTACTTCCAACTCAAACTTTGCCATCACACTAGCTGGCTGGCATGATCCAAATTAAAATCTCTTGAGCTCAATTTATAGAATCAACTAGAGTGGGAGGGCTGCTGCCTCCTCTGCTGCACCTCCTCCATTCACATGGCTACAGGGGACTACATGCCTTGATAGTTTGCAGGTGACATAAGACAACAGCACCAATGTGCTTGTGGTAAATTGGCTAGATTTAATAAAACTGTCATTAAGAGCTAACATATCATATTAGGAATATGAACTGGTATGCTCCTCTCAGCTGCAAAGTGTTTGGACAAACCGCTACTAGGCTATCCTCAACCTTGAGCTATCTGGCAGGAGAAATTCAAACTGAGTCTGGAACAAGAATCGGAAGCATCATGATGACCTGTTTTCAAACTGCCATGCATAGACTGCCCCCTCTCCCTAACTGTATTGTCACATGAAATCCAATACCCGCAACATCTACTAAGTAATTCATTTGGTCTGCACTCTACAAATTGCATATCATGTGATGACATCTGGCCACATTTCTGGACTTCTTTCTTTCCCCATCCTTGCTTTTGGTATTACCTAGCCTGACAAAGAGTTTTGAACCACCTGAAAGTTTACCAATTTGTGGAACGTTGGCTGGACCTAATAGATGTAATCGCTAAGTGTGACATTTAATTCCCCCCCACTTCCAGATCAATGTGACTGTCTTTGTTGTTCTAGTCTCTCTGCTGGTGTACACAGCAGCTGCTTGAGGGTTTGCAGCCAAGGCAAACATCTACCCCTCTGCAGATGGTAATTGTACTTAACAATGTAGATATATAACTTCCAATATCCTTTAATCGTTCTGTTCTTTTCAACAGCAAAATTAACAACATATCCTAGATGAGAGAGGTATTTAGACTAACTATTTAATAGTATTCTATGTAAATGAATAATCTTTGCTTCATTACAGCTGAGTAATATGCTTTAGCCTCCTTATTAAACACACACTGAGCACCCACATCACGTACCAGCAGTCACACATTGTGGTAAATAAAGCTGGATGGTTGCATAAACACCAGACTTGTAAGACCAGTAAGTCCGAATTGTATGTGGTAGAAGTAACAACTTTTTGCTGTATCGGTTTACTGTTCTACAAAAAGTTCCAGCACTGAGTAAAAACTACCAGAACTGCAAGCCATCCTTCCTCAACCTGATGCTCTCCAGATGTGCTAGACTACAACACCCATCATTCCCAGCTAGACAATGAGCATTGTAGTCCAGAATATTTGAAAGGCATCAGATTGGAGAAACTTATTGTCAGCAAAGGGAAGAAATGTACTCAGTTCTTTTAATCAATCACTGATGATTGATAGGGGTTACAAAAAGTCACCAGCTCTTTTTGCTGGTTAAATTCAGTTCTTTTTACACTTCTGTACAAGTGGCAACAATGAACTTTACACCTAGTTTGACTTGCATGCCCAAGCACCAGGTTCTTTTCAACCAGGTGTCAGGAACAAAATCTTGTAGCCTCTTAGGTTAACACATAAAGCCTAGGTCACATCTTGCCTCTGCCCCATACCTCCACCCCAAGTCTTAGCTGAAGGGAAAGAAAGCACGTCCACACACAAAGCTACATGTGTACATGCAGGGCTATATATTTGGAAGGAGGGCAAATACCAATATTAGATATGGATATCCAGCAAAGCCCCG